AGGTTTTCCTGTATTCTATAAGTAATTAGCTTTACATTGAAATCGATTTTATCAAAATCGGTCAATTCTAAGTTGAGATATTTCATTTTGAATATAATTTTTTGATATTTTAGTATAATACCACAGTTGTGCGCCGGGGGTGTTGGTCTTTTCATTAATTTTTTTAAAGGGTGGGGGTTGTATTGTGTGATCGTAAAGAATCGTGCTATCTCATGGAAGGAGCAAATAGATCGGCTTTCACTTTTCAAAATGGACTTCGGTTTTCCTTATGGCGAAACCTATCAATTTTAGGTTTTTTTTAATAATTATAAGTTTAAAAAGTATCAATGGTATCCTGCAAATAGAGTACTGCGTTGATAATTTTAACAACTCTTATAATAACTTGATGTATTTTTTGAAACGAACTTAAAGTGAAAATTATGATAAAAAAAATAGCAATTTCTATGCAGTCCACGTAATTGATATTTTCCTCGAAGTTGTTATATTTGATAGTTTTTTTGAGTGGATAAAAATAAACTGTTTTTCACTGCTCCAAATTCTTTCTTCGTATACGGCTGATTTATCAGGAGCAATGAAACATCGAACTACGTCTATGATAAATGGCTCTTGCAAACAATTCTTTGGCATGACAAGCGACTGGACACGTTCGTTCTTTGTTTTCGAAAAGTTGATTGTAACCAGCAATTCGAAATTGGAAATAACATGATCTGTAGTGTACACGTATAAAAAATCAAAACCGCAACGAATTGTATATATAAGTCGACGAAGGAACGTCATCGACCTGATCGCAGCAGCCAGGCGCACGTGCCGGACTTTCTTTTCCTCGTATCGAGCAATATCGATTTTATTACGATGATATACCTCCCGCTGGCCGAATATTGGTTTGGGCGATTGCTCGTTGCAATACGCGGCGTCCGTTATCGTCGTCGTCGTCGTCGTCGTCGTCGTCGTCGTCGTCGTCATTGTCGTGAGTGCTAATTCGTTTTCACTTCTCACCGCCGCGTGGGTCACTGGGGGCACACTCTCATTACGTGCGCGCGTCGACCGATTATCGTGTTTGCTTAAAGCGGTTATGATGGAAAATTAATGAGCGCAACTCGCGCGAGGTTAATGAATGCGAGATTGCTCCGCTTAAAAAACTCTGAAGGCCTTCCATAAAGCCCTGATTTACGCGCGCCCTGTGCACTTTACGCGAATCAATGCCTTAATGGCATCGATACCAATTGAAAAACTAAACGACTCGAACGGTCGAATCGCCTCGATTATATATCGAGGGTACCTCAACAGCGAGGCTGGAATTCAACCGACACGATCAATTAAATCCGAAGGTAAAAATCATTTCTCACGATGGCCTTTTGATATACACCCAGCTTCGTGACAAAGTGCGTGCACGCTCGCTCACTTTTGCACTTGGACGGCGTAATGGACTTCCCTCTTTTTCTTTTCTCGTTCGTTGAACAATGAGCCGCGCGACGTTTCTCAAAGATAGACCTGTCGCGTTTGCCCACGAAAAAAAAAGTTGACGCACGCACGATTAATTTGCATTGAGAGTAACGCGTCAGCAAACTGAATTAAAAAGAGAAATTGGCAGACTTCTTATCTTCCTTTGCTGACGCTCGTGGTCATTTCTGATTTTAGTGAAAAGTGCGTTATACGGTCCTTTTTTTATTTCTGATTTGCGTATAGTTCGGACGCTTTCGGTTAAAAACCGTAGGCGTCCAATTCGTATTTCAATAGAAAACAGCAACAACAAAATTCTCAACTGCGAGAGTAGATTCATCCGAGTCTATACGGGTCGTTACGAAAAACTTCTCTTCGCGAAACTCGTATAATAACGACAAAAAAAAACTCGAATTGATAAAAGGCCGCCTCGAAGCAATTCCCTCGGTTGAAAAGTGATTCGAAAAGAAAGAAAAACAGCAGCAGCAGAACGAATTGTCAATCTATCGGGAAGAACAGCGCGATCGTAAATAACGTGGCAGAGGAGGGAAATTGATATGGACTATAGCGCGGCGGCAGGCAGCAACGGTGTTTCGCAACTCCCCATGAAATATATCGGCAATCATGCGCAGCGCGTTTCTGCGATCTTTATGCGCGCTGAAAAATTCATTGTGGAGGAAGCGAAGATTGATTCTGATCGATACCCGCGCGCGCTCGCTCTGCTTTCCCCGAATTTATCAATCAACTCTACGAGAACGTAGTCGGAAGGTTCGCCTTCACATCAATCACGCGTTAACCATCGACCACTGCGATTAGATACGTTGATGCAACCGTGCACTCGCGCTCATTTTTACATCTACTTCATTTTCGTTTTCTCTTGTTCTGCTGCACGGCCTTAAATTACTTTTCGGAGCTTTCCTTCCCGGGAATCACAATTGACCTTGCACGTGTAACTTCAAATGCGCTTTGAATGCCTGCACTCAAAATTAACGCGAAGATATAAACGTTTTGAACTTTCTTACACCGACGACTGCCAGCTTCTAATGCTCCAAACTGAAGGAACAATATAGTTTGGATTAATTATTATTTTCTCCGTTTACTTATGATTTTTAACCTAAAATTTCCCACATTGTACATTCAACAGACGTATAGCCACCAGCATTAGTCAATATCTTATCAGCTACATTTTCCAAGTTTCGAGCAAGAAAAAAAAATGTGTTCTTTTTTTGCGCACACAATAACATTTACCAAAGCTCTATTTCGCAAAAAAAGATCCTTCAATGTGCCTGTTGCGCAATTAATGCGGTGGCACGCTCGCACGTCTCTCTCCTTCTCTCTCTCTAATTTTATTTTTTAAGGCGCCATTAACATGTACGTAGCGCAGCCAGCGCACACACGTTTCTTTTCAGCCACAGAAAAACGTCCGTTTAACGGTTCCCAAAGTCACGACGCGCTTCTATCGAACGCTCTACGCGCAAAAATTAAGCCGTCCTTTACGCGATGATTTTGAAAATGTGCACCGCGATAAAAGAATAAAAATGATGACTACACGCCAAGTCTAAATAGTCGGTATCCTCGAGAAAAGCTATATATTCTAGCGTCGAAAAAGTAATATTTTAAAGTTTTATAACAACCTATTCGCGATCTTAATAAGTCAGTCAGCGCCGAGTTCTTAATGTCTGCGGGCGCAAAACATTGTTACTATGGAGGTGTCCGCTTCCATTTGATCACGAGAGGATATACACATGTTACCTTGACACTATAATATCGAGGTTGTAAACAGTTTCTCGTGGAAAAAAAATCCTGCTTCATTATCTCTTCGTTAGGCTTCATTATTTGCTAAATTTGGCTTGACGCAGGGAAATTCAATTCTGTTTACAACAAAGGGTTTTTCCATCTACATTAGACGTGGCTGTATCAGACTGCGCAAATTTCAACTGTACAAATGAAGCGTAAAACAAAGCTGCAAAGACTTTTCTTTTGATGAAATCCATCGCCGTAATGGATCAAGCCCCCTTCTGCATGACAAATCCTATCACTTAATAATTTCCTACTTCAACAATCAGCATTTGCAACAATCCCAATACCACGCGAACGCCGAGTTATTAACGATTAGCCATGAATGGAAAAATTCATTCTTAAGCGTGACAAAATATTTGCGTACATCGACATCGACGGTAAGCCTGCCAAAAAGTACGCACAGGTCATTAACACCGCGACATAATCCCAACTCGCTTGCAAAAAGTAAAGAGAACGAAAAAAAAACGATCAAACTCCGATCGAAGAAGGATTCGTTCCCACGCAGCATCCCCCCGAAAAGTTGCAGGTGCGCACCGCGGAGTTGTATGAGACAACGCGCGCGCACGTACACACACAGGTGAACCCGGAGGTAGAAAGAGAGAGATAGAGAGAGAGAGAGAGAGAGAGAGAGAGAGAGAGAGAGAGCAAAAGAGAAACTGGTTTAAAGGAACGCCGTGTGGCGAGGAGTGAGGGACCTCCTTCGCCTCGCCGCCGTGTCGCTGTCCCCAACGAATATACATTCGGCGGGGGCCGTTGTGCACTTTTTCCACTCGCTACCGTTCCTCCGAATGGCTTTCTTTCTCGTTCGCGCGCAAACCACCCAACGAAACATCACCAGCCGAACATTAATTTCAACGTTCGCCTGATTTTCGATGTAAAATTTTTTTTATTGTTTCAATGTCGCGCGCACTCGTGCAATCGCGTCAATCCATCGCACAATACTTTCTCGGCACAGCGTTCCTTCTCTCTCTCTCTCTCTCGCTCTCTCTCTCTCCTCGAGCCTCGGCTATCGTGCTTTTTTATGGGACGAGCTACTTTCTGCGGGATTCCCCAGGTATCGCGGAATTGTAGCAAACGCTCACACCGAGAATACTTAATTAGGTGGGTATTTCTGCGAGACGAAACTAATCGATCATAAGGAAATTGCACAACGCGTTTATTATGAAATCTATTCATAGAACGATCTTGCGTATGTATAGATTCCGAGCGGTTATTTCAGAAAATGAGATATACACGACGCACTGCCGCCTTATCGTCATCAGATTACACGAGACGAATTGCGATGCCCCAAATGTTCACTTGCCTACGTAACAATCTTATCTGTCCCAGCTAAGTAAGCTTGTTTTCAAACACCATCTGAAAAGCAAAGAAAAAATAAATAAAATAAAAGAATGGACGACAGTTAAAAGCATCACCCTGTCTCGCGCAAAAGCCTCTCACTTTCGCCCCTCACCTTCGCGCGAGTAAAAAAAGCTCTTTCTCCCATTGAACAAAGTGGAGACGAGGCCGTAAGCGTACGATCCACCGCCACCGCCGCCGCTGCCGCCGCCGCCGCCGCTTCGTCGTCGGCGCTCGAGGAGAGGGACATACCGGCTCCGTAAGTCTTGGGTATAAAGTACAAAGTGGTAGGGGTCTCTCTCTCTCTCTCTCTCTCTCTCTCTCTCTCTCTCTCTCTCTCTCTCTCTCTCTCTCTTTCGATCGAGCGGCGAACAACCGCAACAAGTAGTCGTTTACAGTTATAGTCAGTCCGTATCGGGCGCTCGCTCAGCTGGGACACACTAGTCTCTGACGCGAGCGCGTGCGTACCATTTTTCTTTTTTTTTCCTCTGCTGACCGCTCTCTCTCTCTCTCTTTCTTTCGCTCTCTGGCATTTGCGGCCGAAATTCGACAAAGGCAACGCGGTCAGCGGCAAAAACTCGGCGCTCGATTGGTCAGTGCTCCGTTCGGCCGCGTGTGACAACTAAGTGCGCGAGTGCGTCGGCCGTAGTACAACAAACACACGAAGAAGAACGGAAGAACTGCATTTGGTCGTCGCTGGCTGCTCGGACACGGTACGGCTCTCGAGGCGCAAAGGCCCGCCACTTGCCTAGAAATCGCAATTTCACCCGTTGCAAAACTGTCAGACGGCACGAGACTTTCATGCGCCCGCACTCGGCTGTCCCCGACGCTCGTGGAAACGCACAGCGAGGCTCGGTTTTCTCTTCTCGTCCCCGCAGCGCGCGCGCGACCGAGAGAGAGAGAAAAGAGTCGACGCTCGAGTTTAATCCGCCTAATCTTATTTGTCCGGCCTGCGTCTTGGTGCGCGCTCGCTGAATACGTGGACGAGCGCGGCACTGCTATCGTTCGAGCCGCGATTGTGAATGATTTATGCAATCTGCCAACACGCGCGCGGGCACGCGGCTTTTCCGTCGCCAATGTCGCGAGCATTATACGCTTACTTGATTTCGACAAAAAAGTACTGTCTGCGTGCGCGCGTTGCGATACCGTTATATAGACGGTTTAAATGGCCGGCAGGAAATCGAACGGTGAATCAAGTGCGCCTATGTGTCTCGTGCCCGTCTGTGTTCGCGTGCGAATGTGTGCGTGTCGTTAATTGATAGGTGCGATAAAAAACTTTTGCATACGAGAAGAACAACAAAAAAGAAGAAAAAAGTAATTGCGTGGAAAAAAAATTTTGTTTTCTCTCGCCACAGCGAGCTGGACTAAGCTCTTCGCTTCTGATTATTCGCCCGTCATGTCGCCTTTACATAATTCCGCCTGATTTGGTTATCTACATATATATGCGCACGTTCAGCTCGTTCGGCCGTGTCTTCTTTTTTTCTTCTTCTTCATCGCGATCATCGAGACGCCTACTCTTTGGAAATTCTCTCGCTTGCTTTTTATTCGTCAGTAAACGAGAAACTTGATATCGGCGACTGGCTAAAGTTAGTGGGTTATATGCGAATGACGTTTTCATACTTCTATTCGTCGATTCTGCCACAAACTTTCCGTTTAAGTTTTCGATATTAAAATTGCGACATTCGCGTATGTATGTACACGAATTTCAAAAATAAATAACTAAACGCGACGTTGGCCAATTACGTGTATGTAAAATTTCAAAGAAAAGCATCGCATGTACATTCAAATCTCAATTAGAATGCAACACACTGATACTACGAAGAATTCTCTTGATAGAAAGATTCTCTGTGCTACTCGCGACAGCTTAATTCTATAAACAAGCTACTTGTACGCAAGCAAAATGCACGGAAACACACTAAAACAGAAAGAAAGGGGGAGAAAGAGACAATGATTATTCCACTGTAGATGTGAAATTTGAAGAGGTAGTTTAAATATAGCTTAAGATTTCTTTGCACAGCTTCAGCTGTTACCTTCTGTACACACGTGGACTTGGAAAACGTCAATCTAAAGAAACGAGAATATTTTCAAACTGAAGAAATGAAAAAATAGGTGGCTGCCTCGTCCGAAGATTTCGCTATCAGGGAAAAACGCCGGTTGTTGGCCGCGAGTGCGCGTTACGTCAGACGCTCTTTCTCGTGGTAGCGCACACACATATATGTATACACACGGCTGTGCCGCGCAAAGTCACTCGGTGAATGTCGAGAGATAGCGACTCGCTGCGACTGGACTTGACGCTCGGCGCTCGGCGCTCGGCGGAGTCTCCTCTCTTTTAATGGCTCGTGCGGATTCCGGACGTGCAAATATGTACACGAGCTCGCCGGCTTTTCCAGCTGACATTGCACGGGAAAATCGTTCGGAGAAAATTCACCTTCGCGCGGCGCGCAGTTTTTTTTTTCTCTCTCGCCCGCGGTGAAACGTTGCACAGCCGTTGTTGTTGTTGTTGTTGTCGTCGTTGTTAGTAGTGATGCCGGCGAGACAAGCCATTTCCTTTTTTTTATCGCACCTAGATTTTCTTCGCGATTAGTAATTTCGCCGTGATTGCGCATGCCACCGACTATGAGTCGCCCATTTTGACGTAAACCTAAAATGAGGGGACTACGTGCGCATCAATGGTATTATCGATTTTTACAGTGTCCGAAGGAAAACAAACACGGACGCTCGGGCGTTTGCCGTTCGAAAAGAATATCGGAACTCGTTAAACTCACCAACTTTGTACGTACGAATCAAGATCGCGGGGAAGTCGGAGCTCTTAGAAAGTCATAAGTATTTCTCTTTTTTCCTTATTTTTCAGTGTCCTTCGTTTGTCAGATAAGAAAAAACTAATTGTTCATCTATAGTATAAATGATATAGGTATATATGCATTCCGGCGGGAATGAGACATTTTAACGAAGTAACCGTGCGCTAATGTTGACGTTGTAAAAATGCGCAATGAGCTGAAACGCAGCTGAGAATTCCTCGTTTGCTTTATTGATAATTATTCATTTGCTCGCTCTCGAAAAATCTTATCGTTCACACTTGCGAAACCCTCTCGAATCTCATTGCAACCGCGTGCTTTTTTTTATCGCGCTCGCTTGCATTATTCAAATTCGAAGCCTTGAGAGAAAGAAAAAAAAACGTAACAGGCAGAGAGAAAATGAACATTGAGCATTCACGAAAACCAGTTTCGTTTCTGTCTAATTTTCGCACGTGACGGTTATTACGCTTTGTCGTGCGGATTTGCAGTTAATTGCATGCCCGACGTTCGGACATTATCATTTCGCTCTGCCTTTTAATCCAACAGATCAAATTTCGATTTACTCCTACGTAGCGTGCGAGATTACTTGATCTATCAGTTTCTGTTATTATTCACAACTGGGAAGAACGCGAATATTTAGTTTTTGGATGTGACGAAAAACGTACACGTTTAATTGACGATTCGACGCATGCGGGAGTGAAACGTGCAATTTTCGAGCGCCTGTAATTATCGAAAGTGGTTTTTGCACAACGCATGATTTTTTTCGACCGATCCTTTTTATAACTTTGTTCCCATGCCGCGCAAGATAATTATCAGTTTGTGTGAGAATTCGCGTGTATCGAAAAGTTATAATCTCTCTTATGGAAAAACTCTCAATTACAATGCGTAGGAAATTCACTTGGTTACAAAGCTTAATTACATCTCACGTAACTCGAACGCATGATCCAGCATTTCATTGGAAATTATAAATTTATTTTTTTTTATTACCGTCGTAATAAATAACAAAACTGTCAAAAAAAACTAATGAAGTGTGAAATGGTCTTTTAATTACGATCGCTGTATATATACCAGCAACATTCCAACATGTTCTTTAACACACATATTTAAACAGCTTGCAGAGCATTTCTTTTCTTTTTAAATCGTGAATTTCCGTTCACGACCGATAGAAAAAAAGATATACTGTTTTATCTTCGGTTCATTAAATTTTTAGGCCAATCGAATCTACGTAGAATGTATCTCATCACTTTTTGCGTACAGAAAATTTTTTGGAAATAAAGCATCCAGGAGTCGTCGTTTATCCGTCGACGAAGTCCAGTCGAAGCGAGTAGCCGTATAAAGAAAAGTGCGTTGATCGCACGATCTTGGACACGATCGGCGTCGTAGCGCAGAAGACGCGCGCGAAGAGGAAAAGAGCGAGCGATCGCGAAGGGAGTTTTCGCAATCTCCATTAGCGAAGAATGCCGAGCGCGCGCGGCGTGCTTCGCACGAAAATGAAAGTACTCCATTTCTCGGCGGCGCGCCGAGCGTCGCGACAGCGAAAGGCGGAAAAGCCGCCGTAGCCTTTAATACTCCGCGGCGATCTGACACACGCGCGCGCGGTCACGCACGCGCACATGCACGTGCACGCAAAGGAGATTTGCTTCATTCATTGATTAACATTGAAGCACTCGAATCGCGTTAATTAAGATAAATATACAGTGTACACATAGATTTTTAACTTGATCATTGACAGCGAAAGCGTCAGCTTATTTTTTTCTTTTCAAAGAAGAGGAAACGGATGTGCGCAATCACGCAAGATTTCACTCTCTCTCTCTCTCTGGCATTTTTTCAAAGTCACCGAGTTAATTAACCGACGATGTCGCTATCGTGTTTATGTTTTTTATTCTAGTGCAGCGGTTGCTAAAGATAAAGACGAGAGGGCAAAGTAATCTCGATGCGTGATAAGCCACAAGGCAGCATTCTTCGATTCTCAAATCCGTCCTCTCCCTAAAAGTAAAATAAGCCTCTGCGCGCATTGCCGGTTGCAGAATCATTAATGCGTCTGCTTGTCTCTTTTGTTGCTTCAGATATGAGGATCGAGGAAGATCGGTGAGCGAGGAAAAAAACAGTGTTTTGAGTGTGTGCGGAGGAGGAAAATCCAAAGACGCTTCGCGAGAATTTCAAGTTCATCGGATGCTCTCCTCGAGATAAGCGTGACGATCTCGAGAGAACGGCAGTCGTCGAAAACTTGTCTTTCTCTTTTCCTTCGCTCTGTAGGTGAGTTTTCGTCGTTATCTTTTTCTTGATTACATTTATAATTTACGACTGACGTGACGACAAAAATCATGGCAAATAATAGAGGGAAAGTCGATTAAATAAAAAACGAGCTGCCAATTCTTCCTTAAAATGGCGCGCGTTCGCGGTTGGCGTATTAGCGCAAAAAATTGTGATTTTTAATTGCGGGCGCGCGCATCGCGACTGAAGGATAAACAATGAATTTCCTTATCTGACAAACGAAGGACACTGAAAAATAAGGAAAAAAAGAGAAATAGTGTGTTGCGCGACGCAATAATCTATGTGATACAAATTTAAGTGGGTCGTATTAAGCAATTGTTTATTTTTCATCGTTTCATCGCAATCGTCTCCATGTTTTCTTTTTCGAATAATAAAAGTATTATACGTATAGCGTGCTTTTTTCCGCCCAAACGCACGTCGTTTGCGCACGTCGTGACGATCGTGCAGCTGTTCGCTCGTGTACATAGATAAACCGAACTCGCGTCTTTTTGTCTCAGAGCGAAGAAGACAAGAAAAAGAACTCTAACGGCCGTCGCTAGCTTCAAATGAAAGACGCGGCTCGAGCAGCGCTGGAAAAAGATTAATTAACATTTGAATCGGCCTGCCCGTTATCGAACGAATAGCAGTCGATCCAGCAAACGCAATAAGTCGTACAAACGTATGCGTATGCGCGCACGTATACGAGTTCGTCGGTTTATCAAATCGCCATGTCCCGCGAGCGAATCTTTGAGAGCTTTTCGTTATTGCGCCTCGCGTTCGATACGCGTTATCAATTTGTGCTTGATGCCAAAGATGACGTTCCTGTCTTTATTTAGATTCTCGTAGATTTTGCTGCTTTGCTCTCGTCAAACTTTTACTTCTTCCTAGATTAACTATTGTAAGGCGCTGCTTTGCTGAGCGTTAATTTCATACCTATCGTAAATGCGCTGCGTTCTCGAAATAATTGCGCTAGATATAACGACGACAACGAGCAACTTGAAAGTAATTAAAAAGGAAAGTTGAAAGTCACATAATTGGCGCCTGATAAAAGATAAAGTTTCATTCAAAAGGAGACCAGGTTTGTTTCAATTTTGCTCGTCCAAGTTCTCCATCGCTGAAAAGTGAGATGACAAGCGCAAACGCATACCATCAATTTACAGCCAAAAGAAACAGCTTAACGATGTTTCGCTGATACACATAAAAAAGGAAGTGTTTTGAAACGTCTACTATATAATCCAGCAGGTCAGTCGCTTATAGCTCCGCGCAATGAGCAAACAGTTTTTGCTCTAGCAAGTAGTTAAACTGAGAACTGACCCGAATGTATAACCATTACGACACTCTCTCTCTCTCTCTCTCTCTCTCTCTCTCTCTCTCTCTCTCGAGAAAATGAGATAGTCATTCACAAAGAATCGAAAGACGAGGGAGCAAGACAGGCAGCAGAAAAACAAAACAAAAAACATGGAGACGTCACGCGGAGAGAATACAAGCGCAACGCGCACGGGACGCTGGCGAAGTGGGACGACACGCGCTGCGACGCGCGAAAAACCAAAGGAATGCAAATACAAGCAATATTCGTGAATTCTGCTGATACAAAGGCTTCGAGGTAAAGAATCAGAATGACAGACTTTCCCGACGGCGACGACGCTGCGTGGCGTGTACAGAAGCGCGCGAGCGAACGACTTCATAATAGGGACACACGCGAGAGGGCATATATATAGCGGCTTCCTCGTTAAAAACGCATTACGACGAATAGAAATCGTCCATGATGATTCACGCTACAGCGAGCGTTGTTGTGATTGAGACTTAGATACATAGCTGGCTGTTTTTGTATAGCTACCACCCGCTCGGCACCGAATCCGAGTTGTGTTTGGACAACCTTCTTATTTTTCGCTGTCGCTCGATGAATTTCCAACATTCAGCAGCACTGCCATTTCCGTTTTATACAGCCTCGAAGGTCACGAAAGGTCAGGTGCGATTAGCCCCAACTTCCATAGAAATTTCGTGCTCTGAATATTCAGTAGTTTGGCTGCTTCGAGCTTCGGAAACCAATGTCTGACTGGCTTTCACATCAAAAGGTAGGCCGAGCTTGACATCGTTTCGTTCAGATCCGACGAGAGATGGTGGCAATCTTTGATCGCACGGTCACGCTATATCGGTAGCACCGTCGATAAAAAAGAAAAACATTTCGAGTGCTAATCTTGGATAAGTCCTTGCAACTCGTGTGCAAGTCGAAAACCGCAGGTGATTCTGAACGTTCGGTGACGCTCGACGTTCGTCGTCAAGCAAGAACCGATGCGTTTCGTAGAGTGGAGCACAAAATACACGTGACTTTATCGGTAATTTTCTCATACATCGATGTCATTCGATTGGCGGCGATAGTTTCTTTTATTTTTTTGTCCCGTAAAGCCTTATCAACGCCGAAGCCATGCACACACAGCGCAGGATTTATTAAAGAGCGGCGGGGGGGGGGGGGGGGGGGAGAGAAATGTATCGCTATCAGTTTCGTGATGCCGAGCGACATCCACAATATACATACATATGAGAATACGCGCGCGATCGCCGAGTGAATTTTTATTTGAATTCGTTATCGCGCGCGAGCGAGGCGATAAAGCGAATAAAAAATGTGCGGGCGTGTGCCACTGAAAGAAGTGATAGGCGCGAGCGAGACTGGCCACTGGTAGACACTAGAAATCACAAACTAGACAGATAACGACGCATCGTCGTCCTGCGACGATCATTACGAGACTTCTGTATATAATAGAGCGTAGAAGTGACATCAATACCGTGACTGAGAAAAAAAATGAGTTATAAATTCTTATCAAACTGTGAAACGCCATTTCGATTCCGAAAAAAAAATGAGCACGTCAGCAGAAAGTTAAGATCCTGAAATACGACATTACGAATTTCGCGAGCTCTTGTCTCTGCGCGGGCAAAGAGAAATGCCTGAGGCGCGTCGTCATCCTTGAGAGGCCGCGCCGCTCTCTGTTACGCGCGCGCGGGAATTCCCGCGGCGGCAGCGAAATTTCAAGAAACGCTCGGAACCCGCGGCTAGGGCAAGAGTAACGAGGCATTCACGCGCGCCGTAGCGTTGTATTCCTCTTCTCGTTTTTTTTCTTGCAGAGAGAGAGAGAGAGAGAGAGAGAGAGAGAGAGAGATCGGTGTTGTTTTGACGCGCAGCCTCCGCATTCCCCTCCCACCCCCCTCCGCTTTTCCTGAAGATTCACGGCCAAGGTCGTGCGTCGAAATAGCGTAATGTCGATGAACTCTCGATGCCTTGACCTACTTGAAAGCCGACGAAAAGAATGAAAATGCGCGCGCAAGCTCCGTCTGCCCACGAATCGATCGAAGATCCGGCGAGCTACGGAGTCGCGCGCCAGAGAGGATTGCTTTATTCGATTTCGCTCGTACAGCCTCGTTCGAGCGTTTATACGCGTAAGCGAGAGACGTCCTTTTCTTTGAAGGTTGCGTAACGACCGTTCGAAGCTCGAGTGGACAATGCAACGCGATGATTCGGTCGTTTATATAGGTCTTATGTGAAAACCGATTACTAGGATGATCGGATAGAGAAGAACATCTTTTTCCGCAGCAGAGCATTGAAATTCGCAAAATTAGACTACGGCAGTTTCTCCGATAAGAGTAGATTACGTCGATAAAAGAGAAGCCTCTATTGACTTTGAAAGGCTGATTTTCCTCTCTGCCTACCTCGAGACAAGCAAAGAGTCTTCCAATAAATTACGTAAATGAACTCGCTTGAAAAAGCAGATTTGCGATGAGCGGCCTGCAGCACGGCAAAATTATGCACACTTGGAAAAACTTTCTACTTTGAATGCAGCGGCGCGTTAAAATATTTCTCAATGTAAATCCAAGCGAAAAACGAAAGTGACGCGCGCGCCCGCGGATAATCCGTCGGTGAGAAATTGGCGCGACGTGGCCGCGGGCGAGGCGCGATCGGCCGAGCGCACTGAGCGCACCACTCACGAATGGCCATGCTTGCAGGATAATGCGAAATCTAGAGAGGTTATCAGCAGGCAGCGATCAGGACTCAGTCGATCAGGAGATGTACATCGACCTGGACGACGCCTCCGTGGACTCGCTGAGCGGTAAACGAGGCCGTCACCACGTCGCCGAGGTATCCATGCATAACATTACAGATTGCACGCACACGCGCCGCCTCTTTTCGTCCACTATCGAAACTCATTATGCACCCGCTCCACATTCTCTACACTTCCTTCCGCTTGTATATCGCGCTCTTCGTCCTCGTCACGCTTTAACCTGCATTATTTTTCCATTTTTACGTTCTTGCTGAAAAAGATGAAGACAAAAACAAGCAAATTTATACCTCGCTGGCCGACGGATGGATCGTAAAAATCTCGACTTTACGTAGCGTGATTTTTAATTAAAAAGGCAGCTTCTCTCCGAAAAAGAGTTATGGAAGCGCGCGCGCGCGCGCAGCCTGCGAGAAGGAGAGCCTTGGCCAAAGATTTCATTGGCCGATACGCGCGCCAAGCGTCAAAAGTTTTACGACAATTTTTACGCCAATTTTTACGCCAATTTTTACGCCAATTTTTACGCCAATTTTTACGCCAATTTTTACGCCAATTTTTACGCCAAGATTGCGCGCGCGTTTCGATGCGCGCAAACTCGGCTACATTACGCGGAATAATGTCAGTGTCGCGGAAAGCCTGTGCGCCTTCATTACTTTGAATGTATCATTGCAACGAAATACATGCCTCCGGCGCGTGCGCGCGCGCGTGACTCACACACGCGCTCGGTTATTAGCGGACTTTCGATGTTATTCCTGCCTGAAATTAGCGAGCGCGGAAAACGCTCGTCTCTCGCTCGAGCATTGCAAACACAAGCGTTTCCTCGCCAATTATTTTTCCACGGCGATCGTTTTGCTTGCTTCTCACTTGTGAGCCGAGGCGCGCTCGGAAATGCCGATCGACCGGTCAAGCTGGATCGCCAGCAGCCCGCTTATGCGCTCGCGACTCAGACGGCACATTGCTTATCGGCACGCAGGTGGGCGACGAGAGCGACAGCAGCGGCAGCGAGCGTGGCCCGAAACGAGTGAAGCGGCGCAGTCGAGGTGGCCCGCCAACGACCCGCAGACGAAAGAGCGGCATCTCGGCACGCGAGCGAACCCTCAGGCGGCTTGAGAGCAATGAGCGCGAACGCATGAGGATGCACTCGCTCAACGACGCATTCGAGGTATATATGCTTCTTCGCTCTCTTCTCCGCTTGCCTTATTCGCGCGGAACACTACTTGCTTTCTTTCTCTCTCTTTTTCTATTTTTTCTTTCTTTCTTTTATTTATTTCATTTTTTTTTAATTGTACTTTCTTTCTGACGTGAAAAGATTTTTGTACGGTCCAAGCTCGCATTTCACCAGATTTGCATTTTGGTCTCACGACGCATTCAGAAACGATTTCTAAATTTTTTTCTCTCGGAATTTGCATTTTAAATCGCGGCGTTTTGAAATTTGGAACGCTTTGAAAGGCCAACGAGATGCGATACGCCTAGCGCCTAGCCAAACGAAAAAAGATGCTCTGTGATTGACACGCGTATAAGTACCTCGAATATACCGTTAAACAAAAATCATATCTGTCCGACGTACAATAGAAAGATAAATGAACGTGTTACTACATATACTACATATACCGATACCAGGATCTTATAGCTCTCGAAACGCACTGTTTCCCCTGTCTCTTATCTATTTTGCCACTGAAATTAGCAACGTGTTTCTTTGAATTAATATTCACGAGAGTCGATGCGAGCGTGATGTAAGAATGTACGCGCGTAAAGGTATACAGTATTCCCTCGGGTAGAGGATGTACAGTCGATAAATCACATGGCGAACGAGATCGGCAACCTGCGAAAAGAGAAAAATAACCCACAGAAGAATTCACGCACACTGACGGCTGTATGATATTGTTTGAACAGCAACTACGAGAAGTGATACCGCACGTAAAAATGGAGAGGAAGCTCAGCAAAATCGAAACGCTCACGCTCGCCAAGAATTACATAATGGCACTGACGAACGTCATATGCGAGATGCGTGGTGAAGAGCAACCTTACACGTAAGTCCATAAACTGTCACACTAAAATTGGAATTTATCGTTGTCGGCAGCGGCGCGACCGATAAAGGTGCGCTACGGGAGGTCGCGTTCGACCGGGAGACACACAGAGGCATGGAAAAAAAAAAAAATACATGAAAAAAAATTGATATTCCCGTGATAACCTGATTATCGGGGAAACTTTCAAGATCGTCTTGTCGTGATAATACATCCCAGGAAAATACAGCTGAACCCGAGCGAGCGCGAGCTCTAATGCCGCAGCGGCACACGCGAAGATAATGAGAATTTATCGATCGAGTGTGTTTTTTCTCTTTTCTTTCCTGTGCGTTCGCCTTCGCGAAGAGATTTCGTCATTGCGTCAGTAAAAAAAGAACAGGGACAGACTTTGATGGCCGATTAATCAAAAAATTAATTATCGCGCCGCTCGAATCGATAGCGCGCCAACATCGTCGTGGCGTGGCTCCTTATTTTCACGCCCACGCGCTTTGCAGCCGCGCAATGAAATTCGGAAGACAAAAAAATTATTGCAAGGGCTTTCAAATGCCGCTCACTGATAATATTGCCAAGCTTTGTCGGACGATGTATAATTCATTGTCGCTCGCGCTGTCGAAATTAATCGGCGAACGCGTCAAATAAACACAAGCAGCCGGCTAATTCTGTAGCTGCGGGTCGTTGCAGAGAAAAGCAGAATCTCTTACAACGTTCGCATCTCGCTATTATTATCCGTTGCTGTTAATTAGCCAAGGAATATTCCTTCTGTGACCGTGCAAAAGCGAGTTTTGCAATGATCGACGCTTGTCATTGAATTTCCAACTTCTGTGAACGAAAATGGTTAGGATTCAACTTTTCTTCTTTTAAAATGTTTCTTTGCTTAGCAACTTCTCTAAATTATAAATTGCTGAAATTACTAGAATTGAATAAGATTGTTTTTTCAGTTCAAAGTGGACGATACTGCGTGCAAAAATGTAGCTTTGAGACATGACTGAAAAGAATTTCACTTGATGTATAATATGACTGACAGATTCTAATTAAGCTCCTATTTGAGTGAAATATATTAACATCGCTTTCCTAATATTAGATGGCGTCCTACTTGGTTTCATACTACAATCGAGCAAACTTGAAATCTTTTTAATAGACACAAAGAATTAACAAGAAATTGTAATGATATATACAAGAATTTTTATAGACTATCTGTCATTCTGTTTATTAGAAGGCTCTACATATTCTCTTTTTACAGTTTATTTTATTTACAGTATTATTTTACGAATAAAGAATTTCTAAGAATAAAATTTCAATTTTTCTAAAAATTTCCAAAAAGATATGATGATTGTAATAATTCCTAAAATTCCAATCGTAGCGGAAAATCAGCCAGATTCACCGGACGTATTTATAGCATGAGTTTTCTATTATATTAATAATAAATGACGTTGAGTATTAGTGAAAATAATTGGTATCTTGATGAACTTCGACAACCAAACGCACGAGTGCGAACGAAATCCGGGAAGCCCGACAAAAAAGCTGCCTCGCGTAACCGAGAATCTTGCCCTTATCAGCAAGTGCCGATAAACTCCTAACACTGTAACCGCTATCTGTCGAACGAAATGGGAAAAAGACAAGAAACGAGTCTGTCATCAAGCTAAGCGAGTTGGAATAAACAAAAATACTCTTTCTATTTGTTAGATTCGTGGACGGTGAGTGTGGCTCGAGCAGTGGTGACAGTAGCACCGGCCAGCTGGAATTAAGTGGCAATGACGAGCAACCTGAAGAAGCGTCGCCGGCATCTCATCACGAGACCAATAACAACAGCCTGCTACACGAGGATCTCGAGCGCAGGATATAAATAAAAACATTTGTGTGCAAAAAAGTGTTGTTCGACGAGGCGAAACGATAAACTGTGATAACAAATCGCCTCCAGTGCTCACACGCAAACGCATACCCAAGCACACCCATACATGTAATATTACATATATTATACATTCCTCCATAAACCGTGGTGGCCCTCCCCCTCCCCCGAAAAAATGGAAAAAAAGTGCAAAAACCCGTCCAAAAGCCCCGATGAAAAAAAAGTGAAAAAAAAAAAATAATATATAAATATTATATTATATTTAGTATAATAACCAGAGATGGACAGAGAGAAAGAAAGAGATAGAGTGTCGGCCGTGTGACGGACATTCCACGATAATCGTCATCATCGGATTCCGACTCGCGCGTTGTAACGGTTCCGAAAAGCGCGCCTTCGTATATATACGGCGTCAATGAACTTCTCTTGAACGACGCGAGCAAAGCGACTAAACCGGAGGATGGTGGAATGCGGCGGCGGCGGTGGCGGCGGCGGTGGCGGCGGCGGTGGCGGCGGCGGATGCCGGTTAAAACTCCTCGTGCCGCGGAGAGGGAAAAATAATTTTTTTTCTAATTTTATATAAATAAACAGACGCCGCTGTATACGATCGCACATTGATCTGTGTGTATTATACGTGCGCGCGCCTGCGTGGTTGATTTATATGTTAGGACTTGTTAAGGAGCGCGCGATATTGTTGTACGTCGATTGCATAATGTGCGAAGAGTTTTTTCTCTTAGATTATTACTATTACTATCATTCTTCTTTTTGCAGAGCAATAGAAATTGTATATTCTGAGGCTCGATTTCCTTTCATTTTTATTATTTATGCAATCAGTTTCTCATTTTTATTATTCATCTTCTCCTGAATGCTGAACATTCGACAATGCACCTTCGGTGCTTAGTTACCAAGACTCGAGCAGAACGATGTACTTCAACGAAGCAAAAAATAATTACATTCTGACGCGCAACGCGAATGATGCATGTGAATAACTATAGAAACGTAATGAATTTTTTTTTGTTCGTCTTCCTTTTTCATATTTTTATACTTGTAAATGAAAAAAGATGATATATATATTTGATTAAGGATATCGAGAGAAAAAACACTACTTTTCCAAGAAGGTGCAAACATACACAAACATACATATACATACATGGATATTAGCAAAAATTGCTGAATCTTTCGAAATGGAGAAACATGTTTGTGAAGTATTTTTAAATTGATAATGGATTGAAGTGATATTTTTCTTCCGATGAAAAACAAAAAAAATCTCTTGAGATATTCGAACGTTGAACGCTAAATCGATATTTAAATTATTTTCGTGTGCGGAAAATTGTACACGGTTTTATCGTACACACAAACTATTATGCACAATAACGTGGCGCGAATCAAAGAGTATCAATTCTTACACTATGTTACTGTGCACAATCATTTTTCTGTACAATAAAACCGTGCACGCCATTATTTTCGTATTTTATTTTTGTTATCCTCTTCAACTTTTCGACAACGATTGTTGCTTGAGTAATTATGTTAGTTCTTGATTGATTATTCTTTGTTAGCATTCAGTTTGCGGAAAGATCACGAATTGCATGTTTTTCCGCACATTATCGCTTCACCATTGTACAAAATATATCATTTAAATTTTTAAGCGAATTATCATCACCGAAAAACACATAATTTATGCATATTATCAAATAAAGAAATGCGTGCGATCATATTTACTTCTTCTTTTTTTTTCTGTTCGTCAATATTTTATTATCTTGTCAAAGTAACTATTGCGGAGTTAATATAATCTATTCAAATTCTAATATTTGTTGACGGAGGCGATAACTCCTGAATGGACGTGTAAATGAATTATGTATTATTTCTATCCTCAGCAAATGACGTAGCTTCAGCCTTATCATACTCTTTTTTTTTTCTTTTTTGTTTCAACGTCTGAAAATCCAGTCTGTATCATTATTCAAACCATTCCCGTGTAATAATTACTGAAAAAATTATTTTTTCAATTCGACGAAACAAAATGTTGTTAAAACGCTGTAATTGTTAGACGAAGAAACTGTGAATGTGTGCCTTGTCTCGCGTGTACAAAGCTGTACTCCATTAATCGCCAAGAGAGAGAGAGAGAGAGAGAGATAAAAGCTGTCTGGTGTACATAATAAATAAACGAAGTGTATTCTAGGAAAATTAATCGACTGCGAGGGACGATGTAAATTTATCGATTTTATTTTTCGATAAATAAGCTCACACCTGGCTTGAGCATTATACGCGTTGCTCGACAGTTTGCGTCTTCATAATTGTTCGCCGAGTGTCAGCTTCCCTTCTGATGCGATATCAATTAGCGGCCCCGAAGAACTAAATTTTTTCCTTATAATCGTGCCGTGTGTTAAGTACTTATTCTTCTCTGCCTCTCGTCTGGTTACTTATATATGCCAGAAACACGAGTTTCTTCTTTTTTTTTTTATCGCTCTGACTAATTGGAAAATTTTCGAGCTGTTGTGATTATCTTTATAGCGTTTCTCGCTTTAGTATTTATTGAAGAAAATTAATATCATCGACAAAATTTTACCACTTGCATTGCTTTTCCTTTTGTTACTCTGTGCGTCGTCTAATAAACATCCAGCATGCAACTAACGTGATTAGAATGTGAAAACTCCGCGCAAAAACGTTTCATTATCGCTTGTTGATTTTACGTCTAATAAGAATTATGAGCTAATTATATTTTTATCGAAATGCACAGCATTTTGCTTTCAAGACAATAATTCAAACAGTGGCCAAAAATATATATATATATATATATATATATATATATACATACATACATATATATATATATGCATTTTCGTTCGATTTAAAAAAGATAAATGTATTCTCGATCGACGATTATCTAAACTAATTACACACTTCGATTCGCATGTAAATTTCGTGAATGTACACAACATTAAGGAAGCTACATTTCCTTGAGTTGTATAGTATAATGTGTGCGTGTGCGTGTGTGTATGTGTGTAATGCAGCGACCGCGAAAATTTCTCATGTACACACGCGGAGGTGAAAGCGGCAGTGCCGCGTATACGTGAAGAAAAAAATATGTATAATCGCGCCGTTCGTAACGTTGCGAAAACCACGCGAGGAAATCCGCTTGGAAAAAAGAGTGACCTCAGAGTGAATAAAAAAAGAATTCTAAAAGGATTATGTAAGACTGCTGTGAGATAAAAGAAAAAAAAAGATGACTGACGATCATATGTTGCATATGTCCGTCTGTGTGTGTGAATTAGCGGATGATTGACCGCGGGAGAATCCGCCCATGCTAGCGAGAAAAATAAAAATGCATGCGTTGTGATGAAATTTTAATTTAAGCCGCCCCTCAACGAGAGTTTTAAGATTGACACGATGTACTCAGATTATGTCTATGTAGGTCTTAACGACAACAATTGTGCGATGTGTATGTGTATCAAGACGCGACAAAAAGATTTTAAAAAAAGAAGCCTGATCGTGAAAAAGGTTTGTGTGTGTGTGTATTCCTTTCGTTCTTTTTACTTGTGCGCTTACTCGGCTAACGAAACACACACATCGACGAAAAAAAAATACGTCGAAAATTACCATCATTCCTAGTAACTCTCAAAGCAGTCACTCTATGAAAATGCTCGTATCACACACATACATATACAGCGATTAATTATACACACAGAGATAGTATAAAAAAACGGTTTTCTTATTAGAAATAATATATATCTGCTATGCGTAAAACTTCGATGTGCCTTAAGTTACTAAAATAACTGGTAATTTTACATGTAATATCATAAAATATCTTCCTCGAGTTCGATTTCTGGTAAAGAGAGTCATCTTCGATTTATATATATATCTACACACATACACACACACGCGTGCGCGCGCGCACACACGCACGCACACACACACAGAGACACACACACACACACATAAATATAGAGAACTGTCATACCGGATGTATAATTTTATGCTTCGATAAAATAAACACAAATTATTAAAATAAGTAGCCTACAAGGCGAAGAAAAGATCCTAAGCATATGTAAATGTAACGCGCGCGAGAATAAATTTACATAAAAAATCATTGATTATTTCGAGAAAAGAGTGAAAAAAACCTATTTCATTTTCGCTGTATTCCTTTCTCATTTTTTTGTCTTTATATGGATTTTTTATTTTAAATTATTTCATGCGCTTCTCATCCTTTTTTCTCTTTTTATTTTCTCTCATTATCAATGTGTTTTTTGAAGGAGGAAGACGGCATATTCCTATTCTGAATATATTACAAATATACGAATTTCATCGTAACTGTTGCTTAATAAAGTGCAAAATATGTTTTTTTCTTTACACGAGTATTTTATTCAAATATCCTTTGAGTCCTATTACCTAGATTGAAACGTATTAATTTTTTCAGCTGATGTATCGGTTTGGATCATAGCACCATTATATTTTATTTAACAAATAATGAAAACTACTGTTTCATCAATTTATTTTTATTTATAATATTGCAACGATTTCAATCGTTTTGAAAAACACGCTCTATGACCCTCTTCTGATTAACAATACAATAATATAATGAACATTTATTATGGACTGTTAAAAGTTTTTGTAAATAATCTATTAACACTCACCGAAGGGTTAACAACGAGTACAATTGATATGAAACATATACTCGCGCGTAATATAAGTATGTACATGTATGTTGAACTAAAGACTGAAGGTAGTGATACCAAATTAACGATTATGAAATTACAATTTAATTAACTATCACTTTCAATCTGACCTCGTGGACTCAGCGAAACATATTCATCAATAAAATATTTGTAACATTGTTTTAATTTGTTTGTATCTAATTGTTTGTTGATTTTTCTTTTTATTAAAGACTATTTCCGAAAAACGTTATGTACATACTTATTGATTTCTGTATTTAAAATTTTTACGTTACTTAAATTAACATTATGGTCCGTGTTCGCTGAATGTTCCACTAAGGCTGAATTTTTATTTTTATTAATACCATCTTTATTATGTTCGAATAATTTCTTATTCAGCGGTCTACAAACATTGGACCCATACACTATTACACTGTAAATAATCAATCTTATAGACAATATTAATTGAATTGTTTTTTATTTAATTTTATTCATTATCAGCTGCCGTTTTATAAATTTTTAATTTACTTATCGTTTAAAAATGAAATTTGAAGACAATCCTCAAATTAACGAGCTAAAGTCACTTATATCGAATTTTGGATGCTAGTCAGTATTTAAATATAAACTCAATTGCTTTTGGTTTGATGAATAAGTACAATTAAAGTTTATAATTGTTAACAGAAATAAGTATTCATTAAATAAAAATATTTGAAAAATGAGGATTAATAATAATAATTTTTATTGATTTCGATATTTTACCTGGAGCTACTATCGTTTGTAGCTGAAGTTTGGAAAATGGTGTAAAAAAAAATAAATCAGAATATCAGAGAAAGAAGTTAGGTTTTATTTGAAATCGGCGCCACTTTAGTACTCAGGACTGTGGAGTTGGAGTTGGCTGTTATTGGAATTGGAGTCACCGCCTCGCCGGTCGGGGTTGGCCGGTGTCGGCGGTGTCTGCGAGTGCGAAGTCTGGACTCTGGAGTATTAACACTACTGACACCTTTCAAAGAATGTTTCAACCAACTTTTGAATCTTTTTGTTTGGTAAATATAACGTACATACAAATAGTTTTTGAAGTGGAATAACTTGATGATTCCTTCTTTTTTGGACGAGGTATGTACATATTTATGAAATCTTTGTTACACATGCTTCTGTTAATTTGAAGAAAAGTACGCCTTCAATTCCCACGCACTATTTTTCGTACAAAAATTTCCGATATTTCTTTTTTTCACACAGTTTTTTCGGATATTTCTTTTTATCATGATTTTTGCTGTAAAATTTCATTATTACTAACCTGTAGCTTTGATGTACAAGTTGTGTATCTAAATAAACCCGAAATATTTTCTTGTCTTTTTTTCATTGAAAATGTAAACAATAATTTTTACTCTAGGTTAGAAATACTGCTTGAATGATCATCCATACTTTTGCTGACTTTTGAATAATCTTATTTTTCATTTTATCAAGGAATATAGATACTTAAGAGTCTACATTTTTTAGAAATGCCGCCATTCCAAAAACCACGTAGTTTTAAACAAGATACCTTTTTGTTGGAAGCTGTAAATGCTAATGAAAGTCTAAAAAATGATGTACAGGTTGTTGAAGATTTAACTCAAAAACAACAGAATACTTCAGATTCAAATAAGCCAGAGACCAATATAGTAAAATGTATATCAAAAACTGTAGAGCAATATTCAAGTCATCTAACTGAATTGGAGCTGTCGAATCAGAATTTGCATGATTTATCTGATCTGTTCAAGTCTATTGGCAATTTGAAAAAGTTGTATATCCATGACAGTTTGTTAGTTGAGTTACCTGATTCCATTAAGGAATTGAAGAATTTGCATGAATTAAACTTAAGTCAAAATGAACTGAAAGAGCTTCCAGAAACTATAAGTAATTTAAAACATCTGGAAAAACTAATTCTTACTCACAATCATCTGAAAACATTACCACTATCTTATGCTAAGTTGCAGTTACTCAGAGAACTAGATCTCTCAGATAACAATTTTCAATGTCTTCCAAAATGTATAGCAAATGGATTAGGAACATTGAGGATATTGAATATTTCTGAAAATCCTCATGTGCAAGTGAATGTTATTCCTAGCAGTAAATATTTGGAAAAATTTATAGCCAGAAATAATAAAAATTGTGGTACTTTCCCAGATTGGATTTTGAACTCAAAGTTTTTTAATATGAAAGAGTTCAATTTAGATAACACACAATTTGATATTTATACATTTAATGGAAAGGAAGGAGATTTATACTATACAAAACTGTCAATGACTTCATCAAATTTATCAAGTTCATATTTAGATATGATGATTGAACACATGATCAACCTTCGAATTATTAATGTAGGTAATGAAAACATTCAAGGATCTGGGAATGTTTTTAACTGCATACCGATTCAGAGTTTTAGAAATCCACATTTTATTACGGAAATAAATTTTCGAAGAACAGGTCTTGGCACTGTACCCACTGCAATAAATCAGTTATGTAATTTGAAAACATTAGATCTAGGATTGAACACTATTTCATGGTTCCCAGATGAATTCTATGAACTACAGAAGTTAGAATATCTAAAACTTGATGGAAACCATTTCATTTTGTTCTCAGATAAGATTGGCAATTTAATATCCATTAAAGAAATTCATGCAGAGAATAACTCATTAGAAACATTACCAGAATCATTTCAGAATTTAAAAAATCTCAAATTAATTGATTTCTACAATAATAAATTTAATGAGATTCCAGAAATACTTGGTAAAATAGAATCTTTGAAAGGTTTGGATGTTGAGTTCAATTATTTTACAACTACTGATATAAAAGTAATTGGATTTTATTTTACATGCCAAAATGAATATTTTTATTTTCAGTACATGATAGAATATATTCTATTATAGGTTGGGAATACTGATTATTCAACATTAAAAGAGTTTTTACGAAAAAAAAAATGTATTGATAATAGGAATACAGGAGTTTCTAAACAAGATTCATCTTCAGACGAACATTCTAGTAGCTGCATTGGTTCGTTTACTGATTCTAGGTAAATCAGTGGAAACATTTTATCAGTGTAAATATATGTAATTGCATTTCAAAACCATTTCTTAATAATTTCTAGTAGTGAAGATAAAGATCCATTTTATATATCATGTGATTCCGAGGAAAATTGGGATATTACTACAGATACAGATGATGAGTTTGAACCTAATAGTAAGTTTTCCTTTAATTTAATTATATTCAGGAAATACAATGAAAATAATATGTTTATTAATTCCAGGTTTGGAAATAAATTACAACGAACATTCGAAAGAATATTTGAAAGCCAATTTTGCTCCATTGGGCTTCTGTCCAGCAGACCTTCATTCAGTGTCCATTCGTCAGGAGGTGGCATCTATGCAGGCTTATGGTTCTATACCTTCTTACAAAATAGTAGAAGGTCAATTCGATGATGCTTGAACGATAAAATCTAATTGTAAAAAACGCGCCATATTTTTATGTATGCAAATATGTTTGTTAGTTTTTAAAAAACTGATTTTATTTTAATTATGTGAAATAACTCCGATTACACTAATTGCGCTTAAGTATAAATTACAGAGTACAAATTATTTATTAAATTAAGTGATTATGTTATTAAGATTAAATCATATGTGTTCATTAGAACTAAATAAGGTGAATGCTATGATATAAGTATGAGGAAAGAAGATAATTTATAGAATTATATATATATATATACATGTCCAATGTACAGAACAATATTATAAAACCTTACAAATACATTTTTTTATTTTTTTAATCTATGGAATTATTAATTTTCTGATTTTCTCTGCAATTATTTTAAATCTAATTGACTTCTATAATTTTGTCATTTAAATATAAAATACAGTAACTATAAATGTCATAGAAGTAAAAATCAAGTTGAAAATATTAATTTTTATAGATCTTTGTTTTAATTCTATTCAGTGAATTATATTATTTCTTATTTATATTATATTAAAGCAATTCAATTAAAATGTTAGTACAAAAGATTTGGATTTGCTCAAAAAGTCATATCAAGTTTTAATGCAATCTTGATATATGTAAAAATTCTAAGTTTTTATTCTCTCGTAGAACTTAATTATAGAACACTAAGCGTTCATCATCTCGTCTATTTCGTGCATAACAGTATTTATAGCTTGTCCATTCAAAACTAAATAAAAATGAAAGTAAGAAAACAAATAAAAACATCAATAGGCCGAAAATTGAAAAAGTTTATGGTCACAGCAAGGAAAGCAAAAAGAGAGGCGTTGATTGAAATCCTCTCAACCAAGTACACACGCGCGCGCACAGACACACGCACGCACACACACACAAAACACGACCTTGTCCCCTAGCGGCGGCGCCCTCGTGTTCTCGTGGTCAAGGTCGGCTCCGTCAAATCGTTCTCTTCGCAAGCGCGCAATTGCGCTTGCAGCCATGTATGTCTCAACAGAGCATAGAGTAGAACAAGCTCTCTCTCTTTCCAAAAAATTGAGGCCACGTGTGCGCGTATCAGTTGATCGATAGCAGCTTTCCATTGTCGACTGATACTACTTCCTCATTGTCGTCGCACCAAGCGAATTTGTCGATAACGAGTGCACCGGCAACGAAGACCGAAGTGAATAATAGCAGATAAAACAGACCGATCATTAGCATTTCGATCATCATCCAGAAATCCTCGTCACTCCAATCATCGTCGATCTCTTGCAGCTCTGCTGCACTAGTCGTCGCTACCAAGCCACTACGAATATTGGAGTAATGACAGTGGTAGGCTCTGACGGAAATTGACATCTATCTATTTGCCATGTTCTATTCGTATGTAGAAATTTCTCTCGTATAACGTACGTCGTTTCGCTGCTCATGGTTGTCACGTCGGGAAATGGCTCATTGATGGATCGTAGCAGATCTTTGCCGAGCTCACGGAAGGTTGTTTTACCGAGCCAATCTGCCAAATCACGACGACCCAACTGACGTAATCGACGCTCTAAAAGCTCGTGCGACTGGCCGAGGCCTTCCGATACTCTGGAATTCCAGTGCAACAGCAGCCGCAGGCAAGACATGTCTTCGCCGATGTTGCTCTCTCATCAATGCCAATACTCGTTAGTTTTATGTTCGTTTGAGGGAACTCGACGGATTATTGATTCGCACCAAACGGCCTTTTTATCACCGCGTTATTTTAACTCTGCGAACAAAGTTTCTGGAAAAAGCTCGTCGAGAGCTTACGACGTCGCGAAATACCAGTACAACCGTTAATTTTATGATTGCTCAGACGAATTGAAAATTTTTATACAGTAACAAACTACGTTTTATCGCTGCGCTCATTTAATTTATCGAACAGCGTGAACATGAATCTAACAGAAACAAAGATTCAAGTATTGTTTCAGATTTGTATTTTGAAATGATTGTCTGACCACTCTCTGACAATAACTACTTAACTCAACTCGCGAAAAATTCACGTTGCGAAAAAGAAGAAAAAGATAGAATGTAAGCTTGATTTTGTAGTTGAAGCTTAAAGTGAGCTAAAAAGCTATGTATACCAGCGTCTTCCAAATTCTCTGGCAATTCATAGTTGTGATAATGAAGAGCGGCGACGAGTCGACGACACTCTTGAAGGTCTAGACGAGCTGCCAAGTATTCCAACTCGGAGAGGTTAACGTCTATTGTGCCGTGGACCGAGGTGATCGACACCACTGTAACTATTAGCCACAAATCGATTTTCATGTTTGAATTTTAAATGGCCAACGAGTACTTATATGGTTAGGAGTGCAGTGAGAATAAATAAATAAAACAATTGATTGTGTTGTATAACTTTATTGGCTTATCAAATAAAAGTACGCATAGTAAAGTAATCTAAAATTCATTTGCGACGTCTCTTGCCGGATTTGGTTCTTTTCTTCTTGCAGCAAGGTGAGCAACCTACGGGTGTGGGCGATTCCTCTTGGGCCATAGTCGTCCGACTGTCCTGAGTGGCAGTGTTGATCAGTCTTGGAGGATTCTTGTTTTTTTTAGATTGCTTGGAAGACAATTTGTTTGACGCTTGATATGGGTATTCTCCTTCCTCCACGTCGAATAAATTCACTCTGCACGAAGCATTTTAATAAATTTGTCAGGATTATTGTTTAGACGCTTGCCACTAATACAATGACCTTTGTCAAGAAAAATTATCGTAAAAATGAATTTCTTGACGTGACGCGTTTGCATTTGGATATAACAACGGCAACAACGGCGCTTACTTGGAAGGATTTTTTTTGCGCTTTCCCGGCCAGCATCTCTTGCAGCAGGCAACCAAGCGATTTCTCAAAAAAATCGCGCAGCAGCAGGCGAGAAGGACAATAACGCCGAGGGCACCGAGGACAAATGAAAGTCGTAATTTCGAGCACAGGTGCTCTGCGCAAAAACCATCGCTGGTGCGATTTACTCTTGCTTACTTTGAAATTTATCGCCCGGTTAATTAAACTTACCGAGCGTCGGGTTTACTTTGGAGTCCTCGTGTGCCTTCATCTTGCGCCTCTTGTCCTTGCGATGACTCTTCTTTTTTGTGTTGTGCTTCGGAGCTTTTCTCGCTTCGATGGAATCTTCACCGCCACCGTCGTCGTCGTCGTCGTCGTCGTCGTCGTTGTCATCATCGTCGCCGTCGTCTACCCTTCATCGTCATCACCATCGATTACTCTTCAATCTAGCTTGAACAACAACACTCTTACATGGAATGTGTCTTGCTAGTGCTACCCTTATGTCGAAGTTTCGGCTTCACATCAAGACTCAAATCAAGATTCGAGTCCGTGCGCTTCTGCCGCGGTCTTTCAAAGTAGGTAGGTTCGAAAACCGGCCGTAATCGAACTGGACTGAAGTAGAAGTTACCCAGCGCCGAAGCTCTAGGTTGGCCGTTAACCATTAACATCTTCGATGAGAATTGAATCCTCGAGAAATTCGATTAGAGTTGGATTCTATTACAGGATACAATGTCACGAGTGATTTTAGTTCCGAGCTTGCACGAGAAATAAGCGATCATCATATTTATAAGTGCTTCAAAGCTCGTATAAATTATAGGTAGAGGTTAAGGATAAAGTGCTCCATCAAAATAAACTTTCTATATAAATAAATTGGATTTTCGATCGGCAGCTGCATTCAAGTAGTTTACAAAGTCGTAACCTCTTGCATAGCTAGCAGCCATGAGGTTACACCATTTTAATATTACTAGCTTTTTACTAAATATTATTGTATTTAGCCTATTTTAGAATTAGATATGCAAACTTTATGTTATTTTTATATTTTTGTTATAATTTTACTCAAGGTAAGTAAGTAACGCGAAAACCTCCTTTGTTATCAAAAATCTTACCATAAAGTATATTTGCTGTTGTAAACCCAATGTGTAGAAAACTCCTGCTAATGCAAAACACTAATTTCGCGATGTATTTTCACTTGTCAATGTGAAACCGACTTCTACCTGACGGAAAAAATGAATCTTCAAGTCTGTGGAGTAAACATTATACGAAATGGCGAAGAAAAATAGAAAAGTTCCACACGGTGATAATCCGGTTTTCTTTTTTGTGTGCACATGTGCAGAATCTCGAGGGAGCATCGGACGTAGAGGAGCAGCGGCGGCAGCAACAGCAGCAACAGCAACAGCAACAGCAGCAGCAGTCAAGGCACCTGTCGCGAAAATTGAATCCCACCGAGGCGACGAACTGCCAGGGGCAAGTCGCCGCTCATTGGCCCGACAAATTGCCAGGTAATGCTGCATCCCCGTGCGCCTTTCTTCTTCCGCAACAACCACAAACTTCATATTTTTCATGCTTTTGTGTCGCTAAAATGTCTGTCTCTAGCTCGGATTTCTTCCGATCTAATATTTGAATAATAGCATCGACTTTGTCAAATTAAAAACTTGCAGTGCGATATGGGTGCCTTTTGTAATTTGCACAGAAACGCGGGCAAAAGTTTTAAGTTGGACGCTGCATTCGCGCGTGACTGTATATATATATATATATATGTATATATATATATATATATATATATATATATATATATATATATATATATATATATATTTATTTATTTATTGCGTGCGATGGAAAGTTTCTGTCATGTGCCTATATGCCTCCGTGCGCTATGCGATAGCGAATATCCGACATAAATTTTTCATTTCGCGCAACTAGTTCTGCATTCGAATCAATCTGTGCGTGAATGAATCAAAAGGGACTGCTTCGTTGGTATATCATCTCGTCGAATCTTCCAATCAACTGATTGTCCGAATTTTGTTACGTCAGCACAGATCGATTGCGTTAACACTTTTAACTTTTGAACAAAGCTTGAAAAAAAGATCTCGCCTTTTCAAAACCTTTTCAAAACTGTCGGTTCATCCAAAACTTTAGATGGGTATGAATGAATAAAATGTGAAAATTGCCAGAGGACAAAGAGGCGTACATCGAGAGCGAGCAGCCTCGTGCGACACATCATCACGCGAGACGTCATCGACGCGAGACTCCAATGCACTTCGTAGTCCGGCTACCGGTGGAGCGAAACAATCGCATCCGTCGGCAACCAAGACACAGAGTCCGCAGGCGTCGTAAAAGAAAACGAAGCGACCCGTAAGATAAGTTCACTAAGCTCACATTCATCGCGTTAAACGAACGACAATAAAAAGCCACAATCGCCTGATTAGACCAATTCGTCGCACAGGTCCGTCGCGAACGACTTAATACCGTAAGTTTTGTGTGAGGTAATTTCGTTTGTGGAATGGCGCGATCTTCCAGATCTGACGTGGATGTACCTATGTATATAGCACCGGGCAAATTGAGATTGACGACGAAGAGGAGAACGATCTGGTTGACGCTAGTATGCTACAAGCGAACAATGCATCGGGCGAATCCAATCAGGCCAAAAGTCAGCTGGTCTTCACGATCCTTTCGAGCATTGTGGCTCTGGTACTCGCTGGATTGCTGCTAGCTTATCTCTACAGGCGCTCGCGTAATAAGAACGAGTGCGACCCTTTCTTCTGGTAATGAGCTGCCCTTCTTTTAGCTTGTAGTTTTTCACTTTTTTTTCTTCCAATCCAATCCAATCCAATTCTCACGGACGAATAGAGCTGACCGTAGATCGATTCTTTTTTCATTCGACTCATTAAATCAGTTACAGCTGTGGAGCACACATTGCAGTAGAAAGTACGCGATTTCTATTTTGATTCAATCTCGATTTACAATTCGAGCGCGCAATCTTGTTTTATTCGAACGTCGCGTTCTCTCAAACGAGAGTCTCGTCGGCGCGTTACTTTTGCCACGGCGCGACTGAATGGCTCGCAGCCAAATAATGACAAAGCCAATGAGCGCGAAAGATATCCGATCGCTCGGAGGCTACTGTTCGTTGGTACCTTTGTTCTACGTGCACGTACAGTCCCCCGGAAACGGGCCCTAATCTGGATGAGGTCGATCGATGCACCTGCTGCTCGGAAAGAATAGTGGATCAGTCGTCGTTCCGTCGCGTTTCACGTCCTTCGACTAGACGGAACTCACCAGCGCCGAAAAGCGCGAAGAGAGCGACGAATACAAAACGGGTTAAGAAGCCACCACCGCCGCCACCGCCGCCACCGCCGCCACCGCCGCCGAGGCTTAGCGAGGCTGAACTCAGACTTATCCAGAGTCGAATCGCTTGTATTCTGCGCGATGACTGCGCCGCTTGCCACTGCTGCAAGTGCGATACTGTCGCTGATATTGGTATATTCTTCTCTTTTTTACCATTTTTTCCGAGCTCTCACCAATTTTTTAAGAATCCACGATGCTTTTATGAACTGACTGTGTAAGTGATGCTTACATGGAATATTTTGGAGTTCTTTTTTTAGAAACACTTCAACCTCTTGACACGTACTATCAATGTCTATTTAGATATTCGTCGCAAGTTATTCCGTCTGGACTAGATAAGTATTCAGAATATATAGTCAACAGAGACAGCAAACTTACATTGAGCAAACTTGATTGTCAAAAACGTTATAAAAAAGAAACCCTATTTTCATGAAATTTTCAATAACCCAGCTGAGATCATAAACAAATGCCGAATTTAACAAAAATTAAGAAAAAACTCAACTCACAGAGCAGTCGAAGCGCAGTAAATTCAAGCTATTCCGTAAGAAGAAAAAGAAGATCAGCTTATGCAATGACGCCCGCTGCAGCGAGAACAAGGTAAAGTGTCTAACAAATCTGTGGAGCAACTGCAACTCGGACACGGCATCGTCGCGAGCGGTCGGTCACAGCGTTCACGAGCCACTGTTACCAAATCCATGCGCCAAACCTACGACGTCGCGTGGCCGTGAAAAAGCCAACTTGCGAATCAAGGAGTGAACGGAATGAAAAAAAAGAAAAGGTAAGATGTACTTCTATTATGCGGGTTATTGGCTTGCAGGAACTCTCATAATGATGACATGCACGTGCGAATGTGGTATATCCGCTATACGCTCCGAGTCGGAAGTACGTAATTCAAATAAATAGACGGATAGAGATATATAAAGTTTAGAACAAAGTTTATTAAAAAACACGTCGAATACATACACATAGCAGTACACAAAAAGTGAAGGTCCGTTTAAAAAAATAAATGTCCGATTCCCTTTTCTTTTATACTATTCAATCAATTAACAATTGCAAATAGCATTTATATTATACTTACGTAGGTATAGTGTGAATATACATATTACATATAGATATTTGCGCGTGTATGCGTACGTATGTGTGGGTGTGTGTATGTATGTGTATGTGTATGAGATAGTGTTGTTTAGCGACGAGACGTCGAAAGGCGAAGAACAAAAATTCTGTTTTTCTGCGAGTGTTGCGCGCGCGCGCGCGCGCGCGCGTGTGTGTGTGTGTGTGTGTGTGTGTGTGTGTGTGTGTGTGTGTGTGTGTGTGTGTGTAAGAGAAAGAGAGAGAGAGACGCGTGCGCGAGACAAAACAATAAGAGCTCGCTCTCTCTCTCTCTTTTCCTCCCTCTCTCCCTCTTTCTCGCTCTCGCTCCACGTCTCCCCCGCTCTCACTCTCTCATTCTCTCTCTCTTTCTGGCAACAAAAGTGTCGCGCAGGCATCTATTGTGCTCGAGAGTACAAAACGAAAGACGCAACAACGACGTATACATAGACACGCATACACACAACAGACGGGGATAATGGGAATAAGCGATTTCATCGATCGCTCGGTCAGAGAGAGACGGGGAATAGTAGATTACATGCCTAGGCCGGGAAAGTATTGGTAAGTTTGACAAGCGAGGCAAAGCCGATGTTGTCAAATACGTGCTGTGGGCTTGTCAATTTCGCTACCGGGGTGCGTATACTATTTTTTTCCCAGCGAGTCCGAAATTAGTATGTTACCGACCGAGTCTTTTTTTACACGAGCAACAAAACAGTGAAGTGGTATACTCTTCGCAAGAGCAATTAAACTTTATGTACAATAATTTTATGTAAAATAACAAGCAGCAAAATAGAGAGAGAACATCAAAGCTATGCATTTTCGATTTGTTTGATATATTTGTACAGAAACACGATAATTGCTTTTCTTTCATATTTTTGTGTGTACGAGTATGAAATAGAGACAGAGAGTGAGGAAGAAAGAGAGAGAGAGAGAGAGGGAGAGAAATGGGGGTGAAAGAGAAGGGTTTACGATGGGCCAACATTACGTGGAGTAAGCTGAAAATATAATGCTATACGCTGCATCCAACGTCTTGTTCCATGCCTCGGACGTCTCGGCCGTGAATTTGGCACCCAACTTCTGCCGTAGAACTTCCATCATAACTTCTTTCAAGTCCTGCAATCAAAATACATGCCAATTTACAATGCACCATTGCTTTTGAAATCGTCGAGCTTGCGGAAGTTCGCTAAAAGCTTTTTACTCTATAAAAACGTCAAGCTTAAAGTTACTTTGGGAACGAACGAAATGTTAAAAGCTCTTATTGAAAAATGCACGCAACGTCTTCGGCGAGGAAATGGTACGATAGAAATATGCTTGTGTGCATTGGAGAAAGGTTAGAGAAAATACTTGGCTGCATGAAATATTTTCAGAAATATTTGAGAGAAACTCGCCGAATGTTTCACTTGCTCCAGTCAACTCGAGAATTTACAAAAAAATGTCGTCTCGTTCGCGGGCGCCTGCTAGTTTCTCGCTCGCTTGCTCCGTCATTCACGTGATATCGAATGAAAATTTGTATAGTGTATTTTGAAATTCTTGCAAGCTCGTACGAACCGATAGACAATTGTAGCAATGCAAATGCTGCAACGATAGAAAGCTGCATATACGAACAACCGTACGAGGAGCAGCAGCAAGCCTTCCATCACGAATGCAACCATAAATCTTCACAAGGCAGCACGTCTATCGATTGTCAAATTGGAGCTTGTTGACGAATATGAGAAGCTTATAGACAGGAGCAAGAGTACCCCTACAGACTTGTGCATGGTCTTTGGGACGTAATAATTTAACGAGTTCTTCGCGAACTCAAGACGTCGGTACACACCTTCGCGATCATAAGGCCTTGTTTGCTTTTCTCATTTATCCTGATTAAAAAGTTTTTCGCGCGTCGTAACTTCTTCTCTCTTTTTTTATCTTCGCTACGGAGTTTTGATAAAGTTTGACCGTACGACCTCCACGAATAATAAGAGATCTTCTTATCGCGACGCGAGGGCTTGCTTCGCGTTTTCCTCCTGTTTATCGTGTTTATGTAAACGCTGTTTTCAAAAATTTTGGCTTTTTGAAGATGGCTGAAGTTGCATTTTAAAAATATCGAAAAATTGCGAGAATCGTTTCAAAAATTAAGCGTGCTTCGGCTACTTTTCCACTTACTTTGATGGCCCAACAAATATTTTTATTTTGTACGTATGCGAGATATTCGAATATGAAAAAGCTCAGTGCGCCAAGTTTCGACTTACTTCAAACTAGACATAAGATGAAATGTGAGGATCGTGATTTTTGTCACAGAAGTACATACGTTAAATTTATTTTTCCCTAACATAGTTTCACAAAAGATAAGACTAATTTAAAAATGCCTATTTATTACGAATTACGAAATGCCCACGGTGAGCGACGAAAATTTCGCGTTAGCTTGCCTCGTTCAAGGAAAAAGCAAACCTTTTATCGAGGCAAGCAACGAGTGCGAGAAACAGGAAGCTTACGATGGTGTTCTAAATGTAGAAACTAGTCAAGCCTAAGCTTTTTTTCAATTTATCTCAAGCGTCCATCAACGCGTGTGAAGAAACTCTCAATTATACCCGTCACACTAATAACCATGAAGTTGCATTGAGAATAATGGAGACAAGGAAAAGCGTAACTCACGAGGAACTGTTGCTTGGTTTGTCCGCGTTTGTTATGTTTCTCGCCGATGCTAACAAGGTTGGCTGCCAGGAGCTCCGTATCGTTCATCGAGTCGATCACGTTGCTCAGGGTTGTCACCACGGCGAGGCAGTGAGCTTGGAACTTTTTGTTCCCTGGCAGCTCGTCCAGCGGTACATCCTTGAAACCCGCGAAGTCTTGGTGGTAATCTGGATGCGCTTTGAAGAAGCTTCAAGCACACGTTACAATTAATTGTTTATAACTCCCAATTAGATGCGTACAGCAATCGATGTATTCAATTTTTTTTTTTTACTTTGTCGCATTTCCGCGATACGGTCTATTCTCGTGCCAGAGGGGTTGATTTATTTTTTCCCTCCGTGGCAAAGACTTGAGCTAACTTTCTTCATCCCTTGTCAACCGTGCACTTTCCACAAAGTTACACCGGATTCTACATTATAATACTCTTACAGTCTATTTGTCAAATTCAATTCAGTAACATTTTTTTATCGTTCGTAGTTGAAAAAGAAATGGTCGTGTCGAGAGCTTTGTGTGAAACATGCCTGTCAGTTGCATTTTCACAAAGCAAATCATTTATAATTGAATCATGCAAGTTATTGACTTTGTAAGTTTTAGCGCGGCGCAATAGAAGTTGCACAAAGAGATAAATATTCATGCACTAGACTCTATATCATCGATAATCAACTGCTATATCAATCCGATAGAATTTATCTACATAACATGCCGCAGTGTAAATACATATTATCGGCTAGTGTAGATTACGAAATTAACTCGCTAATACAATGACTATGAATGTTTATCATCTCGACAACTGCGACGCACCCCAAACGAAAATAATCAGCGGAAACGCGCGACGGAAAATTGTCAACGCATAATTCGCGCGTCGAAAGCTCTCGCGAGACTTTCCGCGCTTGCAATCTTTGTATAATCGACTCTCGACGAATTTTCCGTTCTCTAGCTCGGCCGACGTGTCGAGATTGCCGATGCAGCTTTCAGTTGCCAAACGCCTTGAAATCCGACGCGCTTGTCGAATATCAATTGGCGCGCGCCAATGACATAAACGCAGCTGCACATTAATAAGTCAATGAATAAAAATACTCACGCCGTCATGATAGCCACGCCACTGGCTATGGGATCTTTCCTGCAGAGTGCCCACGTGCTTTGGACAAGTTTCTTTTGGCGTCCGGTCAGTCCAGTTGCTGGATCGACGACATTGTCGTTAGCTGAACCCCAAAACAGGCTCAGTGACGAACCCATTTCTGCGAGACACAAGGTGCAACAAAATTGAACTTTGACAGAATTAGCTCGTGCGGTTGCGTGGTTTGCGCGGTCATTCAAGGATGCGGTGCAGTTTCCAGTCGCCGGATCGTGCAAAACTCGTTTTCGCGAACACGATATCTATGCTTAATTACGTTACCGCGAGGGAACTTTTCGTCTTAAATTATTCGCTATTTCTTTTTAAATCGACTGCATAATATTTTTTAATTTTTATTTTTGTTTTTGGGAGATGACAAATTAATTTGAAAAGTGAAATGTGTCGAATTACCAAAAAGCCGCTGTTAAAATAAAACTGCATTGATTAAATGACGGCCTATATAATTTTCATGCGTTTCAAATTGATCTTCCAACCTATCGAAAGCAAAATAGAGTCACGCTTGAATATTCTTTTTTGTTATACTTTCATGGAGTTTTTCGAAAGCAAGAAAATGATATTCATAGTAGAAAGCCCCTATTATTTTCATGGAAATCGAATAAAGTATCAGAAAATTGTATACGTCTACCTGACAAAGATTCAAAGGTCGGGCCTTCCGTAAAAACTCAATAAACGTACAGAAGGCGTATATAGAACGCACGAGAGCGGGAAATAAGAAAGTCTCGCATACAATAGAAGCTCATTCGCGAACTTGCATTCTCGAAAAGAAAGGTACACGAAAGAAAAAAATACATACAGGCAAAAGAACAAAGGCAGGTCGGGTGGAAAAAAGTCCTCTCTCGGGTGCAATCAAAGCGGCTCCTTAATTGAAATCGCGCAGATTTTGATTGGCACAATCAATGCACGCGTAGCGCGCGAGACCCATCGATCGGCCTCGGCAAATTGAATTTTTTTCTATCGCACTCTCGATAATTCTTCGTTTTTCGTTGCTAAAAGAAAAATACGAAAAAGAAGAGCCAAGCCGTCGAAAAGATCGTGAAGATCGACGGTTTATTGGACAAGAGGCTTTTGACGAGCACCAGACTATAACTAGCTACCACAGTACTGCACCGTGGAATTCGTCGACATTCCGTTGCTTGACAAGAGCAAATAATTAACCAGCGTCGAGAAGTTCCCTCGCCGCCCGAATAATTTCTTTTTTGATAGTTCGTGCACAAAGCGCGACTATGCCGCACGCTCGGTCAAAAGCGTGCGCTCAAAATCGAATTTGGCACACGCCGTGTGAAAAAAAAGCCGTTAGATATATGTTCGGGAAGAGATTCTCGCCTCGCTCGGGCGTAAACGCCACACGACAGAGGAATCTACTTTTCTTCATTTTCACGTGGCCATAGAACGAGTTATATTTGCACGTGAAATTTATATTCAAAACTATTTACGATGCAAGTTTCCTCGTGCGCGCAATCACGGTTTGTTTTATCTACACGTCTGACAATAACAAATTAAAGAGTATGATTTATCGCTTTCCTACGTCTACGAGTAGTATTAATTATCTTCACGTTCGGCGAACCCGTGTTGACCAATTGAGTCAATGCTTCGAATCACAAGCCACCAAAATTGGAAAGGGTAAGAATCGCGTGTAAATCGCGGTCACAAACGTTCACTTGATATTCACTAAAAAAAACAACAAATAAATAAATAAAAATAAAGCGACTCGCAGTCGGTTTTAAGATACTCACGTGTATGTGTGTGCACAAAATAGAAAGAGAGAGGAAAATGAAAGAGCACCGAGTGCAGTAGCGTGAGAGTACGAGTGGTACGCGCAGGCGAGCAGCAGCCCGCCGAGTGATGCGCGTCTTTTGCACTGGCCAACTCTCCGGCCGGCTTTTTCACCTCTCCCCACTCGCTCCCAGACGCGCTGATGCCGCCGCTCGCGCGTGCGACGCCAAGGAGAATTTGTAAAAACCGCCTACCTCTATAGCTTCGTGTGCGCGCACGTGTGCGCCTCTATTGAGATGTAACCCGCCGGGCCATCTCCAGCTTTTTCGACTTTTTTCTTCTCGCTTCACTTCTTTAAGCTTCCTCTTATTCCGCTTATTAGTCTTTTAATAAAACGCCAAAGCGTTCAAATCCTGTATACATTTTCGGATGAGGCGTCTATTATCTCAAATATGAATATGCATAAGCAGGTGAAAATTCAACAGTTTTAGAACTGTGAAGCTTCACGCAGCTTCTTGTACTTCCTAAAAATTAGATCTCGGGAACCAACTTTTCAAACTTCTTACTAAAATAATTGTTTATAAATATATATTATATTTATAATTATTTAATAATAATTGTTAGTGTAATTGTGTAACGCTATAAATGCAAAATGAAATAAAATATTTGCGAGTGCTTTCATAATATTCTTTTATAATGGATATTTATAATCCATTACCTAAATACTCATAATTACAATCATTTAAACGATTAAAGTATAATTAGAGCATAGCAATAAAACATGAGTTTCATATTTTTACATTAATGAAGGCACTAATTTCAATTTCAAAACGTAACGAAATTACGTTTAACGACTTAATAAAGTTTAGACTGCACCCTAAAATGAGCCTCAAACATAAAATTCATTTGAACACGTTCAATATCGAAATAATAAAATAAGACACTTTTAAATTTGCCGTGGAAAGTGTTGGCTTCGTAATGATTGGCCACGGAGCATCCTACGTCATCTAGGCACATACATGTGCACTTGCACCCGTATGTGAGTGAAAGAAGAGCCAGCGACGCTCGTTCAGCGAACAAAACAAACCGTGAACAGCCGCGGCGGAAGAAGGCGGGAGGTGAGACTGGCACGTCTCCTCTTCAACTAAAAATTCACCGAACATCAATGAAATCATGATCTGACAATTCTCAAAATTCACCGATTATCGTTCAGCGCGACTTATCTCTTTGGTAAGTGTTCCAATTTTCACGCGTAGCTGCATTCTAACAATCGCATTTCGCTCGAAGCGCAACGACTAAGCAAATATTGCCAGTCGCCATATTCTGCGATGTATTTACTTCGCTTAATCTTGATGGTTATTTTTAAATATCTAACGCGCTGTTTGTTTATTTGGGCGAGAATAGTAATTCGGCGCAAAAGATCTAATGATAATGCGGACATTGTACTTATTGTCAGTTGTTTACCAGTAACAGTGACATCGACTTTGTACGCCCGACTTAACTGACATTCCTGATTATTAATGCGCTGCAAAAGCCGGGCACATACGTAATTTTTTATTTAGCTCATAAAAACAAAAACTCTTAGTTTTTGTTGTTTTTTAGTCTTAGCGTGCTTTAATTGTTTGAAAACATTTTCTAATAAATAGCTAATGATTTTCAGTCATAAAATTTGCATAACTGATCTTGTAGTATGTATTCTATTTTTTTCTTGCAGGACATCACCATCCAGTTTGCCACCGTGTCAAGAGCCTCCCGTCTTCTGCCAAACGCCAGTTTCACAGGGAAACTTTGATCACCTGACGTGCCATTAAACATCCAAATAGCAAATTTATTAACAATCATTTAACAATGGCTATTCTTCCTCCGGACCCTGTTTACATCATGAGAGGTGATATGGGCCCTGTTCATAGTCTATTATTCAGAGTCTCACCATATGTCGAACATCTTTATGCTGGAGCTGAGAGTGGAAGAATTCATATTTGGGATTTAAGAGTATGTCAATGCCTAATATTTATAAACTTTATAGCTGATCTTGTTTTACTAAAACATTAATGACTTACAGAAAAATAAGGAAATTTTTAAGTTGGATGCTTCTAATGAACCTTGCTTAGCAATGCATATTATGAGTGATGAATGTCTTGTAACTGCGAGAAAGGGTGGAGCAATCAATTTGTGGAAACCTCAAAGTTCCAGCTGGACAATAAGTGAGACTATAGAAACAGATTATCGTGGCTTTTGCCGGTGAGCATTCAAATTTCAGCATTTATCAAGTTTGTTATGTAAAATATAACAAATTTATTTTTGTAGTGCTCAAGTATCATCTGAAGATGAATTGATTATACCACTTAATGACTCAAAAACTGGTTTATTTTCTTTGAAAACACTAAAGACAGAAATTGAACTAAATCCTTTGAGCCTTCCAAATGCAAAATCTCTTGGAATGGTAATGGCAATAAAACCATATATTGATGAATCTAAATATGTATTCATTGCTTATGATGGAGGATTAATTTATATGTGGGACCTGAGAACCAAGAAAATGTTATCATCGTTGGAAGTTGAACAATGCCCTATGGCTATTGACTTCAATGCAACTTTGATGCATGGAATTGTAGGAAGTCCTTGTGATAATTTGCAAGTATGATATCAAATTTGCAGTTGAAAAAAAAATTTTAGCCAAACTATTAATGAATGCATTTGTTGTTGCAGATATTTACATTATCAAACAGCAATGAGTTGTCTGAAAAAACAAGATTGCCTTTGAAAAATCCAGGTATATCTGCTATTGCAATTAGACCTGATGCAAAAATATTCGCCACTGGTGGGTGGGACAGTCGAATTAGAATTTATTCATGGAAAACGCTGCGCCCGCTCGTCGTTTTAGATCAGCACAAAGCTACTATCCATGATATCATCTATTCAACTTGCAGAGTTGAAGCTTATAACAGCAAATGTCTTATGGCTGTTGCTGGCAAAGATGGAAATATTTCTCTTTGGGACCTTTACAATTAATTGAAAACTGATTTAATAAAGAAATATTTTCTAAACAATTGATTTTTATAGTACAAATATGAAGAAAAGACTTATTAAAAGTTAGTTGGGAATTGCACAAACAATGAATATCGAAATGTAAAAATTATTGATTCTATTTTTTTTTTTGAGTCATTTTTTTATCCATGAATTTTGATTAACACTTTTCTTCTTAAAAAAATTCATGATCTGCAAATATGTAAGTGTTAACTTTTTTTTGATTTTGTAATTTATCTGAAGAAAATTTATTTTTTAGTTAAAATTCATTTATACAAAAAGAACAATATTTTAATATCATTGAAACCACCAATTAAAGAAATAAAGGGTCTTATTTTATAATTTGAAAATGTTAATACCTTATTAAAATTGAGTTTGTTTGGTTAAAATCGGTTAATGACAAAAGAAAAGAAATAAATATTTCAAGTTTTTATTCCACCTATCAAATTTTATTTACAATTTCCAATATATTTTCTTAATTTAGTACGGATTTCTTCTTTGATATTCCTCAAACTGTAAAAGAAATTAGTTATATAATTTATTATTTCAAAGATTAAATATACAAGGGTGGAAATATTTTACCATTTTCATAATGTTTTTGGGATCATAGTGCGATTGTACTCCAGCCTCCAACTGTGCATAACCTTCATCCAAGACAATTTTACGTTTTTCTAACTGTTCTATTAAAGAGATAAATTTTTCTCTCATTTCAGCCACTTTGATAGGATTAAACTCATTAAGTTCTTTTTTTTCTTCACATACACTAGCAAGTGCTTTTTTACAAAGTCTTATACAAAAATCAACACCACCACTTTGAAAAACAGCCTGACTATTTGTACTCTTTGATGATTCAAGTATTTGTTCTGCTTGAGAAATTACTATTTCATTCATATCAAAGAGCGAGTCATACCTGTGATTTTGATCTCTTTGTATTTGTGCTTCACATTCTTCTAAATCTTTTATTAATGATTGAAATTTGTCTTTTAATTGAGCTACTGTAGTAGCATCTTGCATATTAGATTCTTCTCTTTCTTGTAAGTCAGCATGAGATTTTTTGCAAAGTTCTAAGAAAGAATAAACAACTTCCCCATGGAAGGTAGTTCGAACACTTGTACTCTTGAATGATTTAACTATTTTCTCTGTTTCAGAAATTAATGTCTCATACAGTTGTAAGACCCAGTCATTTTTTTCACCATCAGCTCCTGGTTGTAACATCTGTAATTTAATTGTTATTTAAAATGCTTCTATTCAAACAATCTTCTATAATAGAAAAAAATATATTTCAAATTTCAAACAAAAGAGTAATATGAAAAGATTATAACAATATCTCTCTACATTTGCTTTTTATGCAAATATATCCACCTTTCTAATATAAACTATTTTTACTTTCTGAAGAATATCTGCTCTTCTCGAATTGTGAATTATTTAACTGATGATTAAGATTTTCTGGAAATATGCAAAATGTTTGATTACTTACGTTTGATACAGTATTCTACCTAATCGATTGCCACAAAATAGAAATAAAATTGTTTGTTGATGGATGTGAGGCACGTAGAGGTCAATATACGTTTGTAAGGAGTTCGTCTATCAATCGTTAGCACTTGCCAAGCATGGAAAATCAATTGAAAACTGTCTACATATAAATCTGTGAGGACCATGGAGGGTAGAGGGTGGTAGAGGGTGAAACAAGTGAATCTCTGTCATATATCAGGACAAAGATATGACGCGAGCTTAAAATTCGTCTGCTTAGTGTTTACGATTTTGACCGCTCGACATGCCGGATCAGGGGTCGCGGTCGAGAGCCGTAGGCGAGTAGACACGAAGTGGCCACGACTGCTGGCCGGCCGCAACACTATACAGTAAAATGGAGAAAAGTCAAATTTGTCGAATAGACTACACCTATTTTTTCATGCTTCTACGTATTGATTTCCTAATGTGGTATATAGTTTAAAAAATCTAGATTCTTTTCTATTATCCGAAAAAAGATTTACTTCGATAGCTTTTGATTTGAGAAAGTTATTTAAGTTTTCAGTAATGTTTTTCCGCCATTTTAAGATTCTTCTAACGCTTTGTATTATTTTTATACGTCTCTGGTACGATATATACGGCTCATGGTATTCCATGGGCTTTCATGGTATTTCAAGGTTTAATATAAGAAATTTTTTATATAACCCATATAATTACCCAACCCAACTTTATACAATCTCTTAGATTTTTGCAACATGGAAAACCTATAACCTACCTTTTTAAAAATTTTATATTTTTGGACTTAAACATTTTTCAGTTGATTTTATTGAACAACAAACATTTTTCGTAACAAATTTTTTGATATAAGAAATTTTCATATAATCCGAACCCAAATAACCCAATAACCTAACTTTTTGAAAATTCTATATTTTCGGATTTTTTATTACGATTACAGCATTATATTCAACAAAAAAGGTTGGAATAATATTATTCAAGGAAACCAATATAGTATGGAAAACTATTGATGTAGATTGAAGAATAAGTTAGAGTATAATAAAAAACATTGTATGATTATCATGCCTATTCGCCTGCAGAAGTTTACCTTTCTTGAAAGGTGTAGGGGTAAATAGAACATTACGATACAAGTGCGGGAAAGTAGATTCTTGCCTCATCTACCTTTCCACCCTCGCTTTGCTGGACATAAACGCCACACGAGACAAGAATCTACTTTCACGCACTTGTATCGTAATGTACATATTATAATCGTTTTGGTGAACATAAGTTTGTAGACATGAAAGTGCGCCAATCGTCATTCACAGAATTTCTCTAGAATTATTATACATACATTAATCAGTTCGACGTAGCGACAGATATATATACGTCATTGTATTTCTTACGCAGTATTTCTTACTCTCGACGCATGGGCACTACATTCTCTTTCTCTTCGTTCGCTTTCATCACGGCATTGGGTCGTCCAACGCTTCAACTGTGCTAACGGCTTTGTCAGGTTAAACTCGACGACCTTCAATAATCTTTTTATGGTAATTTTTGATAAATAGCGTGCAGCTGCACGATATGGCAACCGTATTATTTGCAATATTCGCGTATGCGCGTCAACTGTGAACTCTTTTTGTAGAATGTGTGGCTGGCAGCTCCAAAACTAATTTGAAAATTATTAAAAAACAATTTTATCAATTACAATAAAATGTTATAGTGCACATTTCTTGTATTTATCTATAATTACGTGATCAAAATAATGATAGTTGAGTTAAATGGAAAACATCAATTTTCAATTCACAAATTGAAAAAATGAACATTATTTACGCGCATGCCCTAGTCACTTATTTTGCGCTATCTCTTGCCTAAAGTTTTATTGTCAAATATAGTTTATCATACATTTTTATAAACTATATAAAGCTAATTGAAACTTTCCATTATTAAAATGAGAAGTTGTTAAAAATAAAAGGTAATCTTTTCAAACTACGTAGATGAATAAAACATAATTCATAACTAGATCTTCAAATTTGTTAAATTGTATTGGACAGTAAGGTCAGTTAAAAACAGATGCATAAAGATTTACTCATTAATCATTACCCAAGACCATTAATTTTCGCGCGCTTCCATTTGCACCATGTAAAAGCGCGCTCTGTCTTCCTTTATTCGGACTATCCGGTCCGATGCGCCGTTGCGCGAGCCGCTTGTGTGTTCGTAGCCGTCATTTCTTTTTCCAATCGTCAAAATGGTGAGCAGTTTGATATGTTTGCATGTGCTCGCGGAATCTACTTTTATCGCTTATTTTAAAATCCATCCGTGATTTTCAATGATATTTTTCGGAAGGGCAATTGTTTATTCAAAATGACAAATCTAATTTTTATTACAGGGTATTGACATAAATCACAAACACGACCGAAAGGTTCGACGAACAGAGCCCAAGTCCCAGGATGTCTACTTACGACTTCTCGTCAAGGTAAATTACTTTTTATAAACAATTATTATATTCCGATATTATCAGTCATCTATTATCTCAACACATAGTTTCGTAAAGTAGTGGTAGACTTGATTTATGTTTTGTTGTTGCGCTTATAGGTTAGTTCAAACATGTTTTTACGAGCCATATTACAATTGTTAATAACAAGTGACAACTCTTTAACGTGTCTGTGCTCTCAACTAAAGTAGACTACTTTTATTTAATTAAAAAATTTGATTTGCGAACACACATTGAATAAGGGATTTTTACCCTCTATTCAATTCAACTGTTCGCTAAAACAAAGTTAGTCTCCTATTCAGTCTTTCTGCTCTATATGAATGGCTGGCAAGCGATTGATACATCTTTTTAATTCAAAATTTCGTTTTTTGCAAAAAATTCAATTAACAGTTTGTAACTACTTGATTGTTATACAGTTGTACAGATTTCTGGCCCGGAGGACCAACTCCAAATTTAACAAAATCATCCTCAAGAGGCTGTTTATGAGCAGAATTCACCGCCCACCCATCTCTCTAGCTCGTGTAACCAGATTCATGAAAAAACCAGGTCGTGAGAACTCCATTGCTGTTATCGTAGGCACAATCACTGATGATGCCAGAATTTTCGAGGTCCCTAAACTGACTGTAAGTCTAACAATGATTAATCATTAATCATTTTTGCGAACAGCACTCTGTGTCTGAGCCATTTATGCTCTTATCCAATTTGAACGTTCGCTAGAGTAAAATCAGTCTCCTATTCAGTCTCTCTGTCAATGCAGTGAGATCATTATTATGGCTGGTACATATTTACATTAATTCTTTTTAATTCTGAGTCTGTCATAAATATACATGACAATTTGATGAAATATCATTGACTACAACACTTTGTTTATTGTAGGTATGTGCACTTCGTGTCACAGATAAGGCACGTAGTCGCATCTTGAAGGCTGGTGGTGAGATAATCACATTCGACCAATTAGCTTTGCGCTCACCGATCGGTAGCAAGACTGTATTGATTCAAGGACCACGCAAATCGCGTGAAGCTGTGAAACACTTTGGGCCTGCTCCTGGTGTACCACACTCACATACCAAGCCATTAGTACGCTCGAAGGGACGTAAATTCGAAAGGGCACGTGGTCGCAGGCGCAGCTGTGGTTACAAGAAGTAATCCGTTTTTGCGCGTTGTAAGTGAAAAAGGCGGAAAATAAAACAAGAAGGTGTTTACAGAAAACTTTAAATGTATATTTGGCCTTATTATCTCTAAGTTGTACATATATGTCATGAACCATTTGGAGCTCTCTTATTTTCATGTTATCATATTCGACGATATTAGATTATCATCGTGATGGAAGCTGAACCATCTTTATTTTTCGTTGCTGAATCGAACTTTGCCTGGGCTTGTTAAAGGCGATGTCGTTATTACATTAAGATTGATCAGACAACTGCATCTCCTCTGCAAATTTTGCTCCTTAATATACATTCAATCTGAGCTCGTGATTAATCATAAAATGTTCAATTGTTCGACAAACCTGACGTATACGAGTGTTGATATTTTATCTCTTACTACCATGTTTGTCTTTGAATAACCACAAAAGCAAGATGAGAATTGTCATGAATATATGTAATAATTTTGTTCTGTTTCGTATTTTTCTTCTCTCTCAACATCTATGTAATCAATGTAATCATAATAACTTGTCTTAGGAAATGTAGGAATTTGGAAAAAGAAATTTGCTTGATAATTTCTTATGATTAGAAGTCAAATGATTTTGTTATAATACGCATTTCTTTTGCGTTTTCTTCGGCTTATTTGACAATTGCTTCCCACTTGATCTTCTTATCCTCGCGTTTCTTCAGTCATCTCCGAAACAGAAAGAGAAACTCTGCAAGCCGGTAATCGAATAAATAAATTTTGTTTGCTATAGAATATAGATATTTACGATTTAGACCACTTGAATTTATAAGTGTCGCCGCTCTAGTGTCGGTTGCGTGTACTTTTAGCGTTCGATTCACATTACATGTCACATCACAGCCCTAATTCACACACACAGACACATACACACACGCATACCCATATGTATGCAATAATAAATCTTGTTAGTAATGCGCCCTATGGTAGCGATCGTATAAAGTTGTAATATATATGATGTAAATACGTATGTCACATCATTATGAAAACTTCGGAATTCCACCACCCTGTCTATCAATGCAAAACCATTGGCGCTACTGTCAATGTACACGAATGAGACGTCGGCGGCTGCTGCTGATGAGATCTGTGAATCGTGGCTGGCGGCTAGTAGCTTGTAGTGACAACAACGAAGAGTGCAGAAGTCGCGTGCGCTGTACATACATACTATTAAAGAAATGTAGTGGTTTACTTGTCGTGTTGCTTGTCCTTTAAGCAGTTCCCGTGTAGTTTTTAGAATACCCTAAGGTATTCCAAAACCCGCGGTAGTTTTTTTTTGTTTCGTTTGGTTCAGCCTCTCTCACTTATTGTCACATATCCACCTCCTGAAGCCAAAGATATCTATACTTTCTGACAGACATAATGGGTGTCTTTTTCAGTGAGGTGAATAAGCATTGTTTTTTTCCCTTTTTTCTTTGACGATGTCAAGGTTGCAAGAGAGGACGATGCGTGAAAGGAGCAGCGCCGAGAAGACGAAGGAGAGAGAGAGAGAGAGAGAGAGAGAGAGAGAGAGAGAGAGAGAGAGAGCGCGCGTGTGTATGGCTGGCAGGTCGATATGTACATACGACGAAACGCCTTTTGATCTTTGTGATATGCTATGTACTGCGCGTAAGCGAAAGTGATGTTTCTCAGTGCGCTTTTCTACTGCTCGCGTTCGTCTGCTAGAGACACTAAACGTGAAGCTTCTCGTAACGGCTGCTCCTAAATGAAAAGAGAAACTATCTCGCGTCAGAAGCGATAAGTCCTAGAGCGATGTATTTCGTGAATTTTCATCCGACAGATTAGTTTTCAAGCAAATGTCCGTTTGGCTTCTTTTTGGCACGAGGCACGCGCGCGTCTGATATGTAGTTATCGAAAATAGACGAAGTCGCACGTGGACATTAGGAGAAGGGAAGGATGGTACACGTGATTTTCACACGAGGGCTTTGCAAGCTATATGTACGTACGACCGCTAACCACAGATTATATTGAATGATTGTAGAGCGCGAATGCCAATCATCATTTTCAATCGGACAGCGAATTTCTCTCGTGAATACCTGCGTCAGTCTCTCGCGCGTTTTCCATTTGGTAACGTGTAGCGTCTCGAGGTAAGGATTTAATCCTTCGGTTGAACTATTTATACTTTTTCTCTTCTTTTATTTTTCCCGAATGAAGTTTATGCGTTCAATCCGTGGCTCTGTATTTTAATAATTAAACGTCAAACAAGTATCATTTGCATTCTTAACTGGGAAATTCTTTCACGGATACGTTCTCATGGACGTCCAGTGCCATGCTACGTAAATTAATGTTTACTCGAACTTTTAAAAATCATAAAACAACTTTCATACCGGCAGTGCGGGTATTCGCCAGTTAAACTGAAAAATTGCAATTTTATCAATTTCATTTTCATCGGATATTATTTATATTCTCGTATGAAGTGCAATTCAATATAATTGCTAGCAGACGCAAACGAGCACTCGAGAGATTCTAACGAGGCTCATTGAAAGAATAAGACAAACTTAGTTTTGATTGATAAAACACGATAACAAGGTCTCGTTGAACTAATTTGCCACTTTGTTAAAAATTCCCATTACTTACAGTAGAACGAAATTCATTTCTCGATTACCGCAAAAAAACTGGAAGTCGCGAACAATTAGAGCGCTTACCGTGTGTTCAATCTGACCCAATAAAAACTCCGCTCACTCGCTACATAGACGTCGCGATTGCTGTCCATTATGTAAATGAGCAAATCCTCGAGGAAAGAGAGAGAGAGAGAGACAAACTGTTGTCGTGGTCGTCCCACAAGCGTTATCAATCAACCTGTACGTTCAAAAAAAAGCGAAGAAAGTTCAAGGCTTTCGGCACACGCGTACGTCACTGCGAATGAGGCACCGCTGCAGGCAGGAACACATGTACGTTCGATCGGCGCGGCCTTGTCCCGCGCGCCGGGCAGGAAGCTTTTGTACTTACAACTATAGGCCGATAAGCCACTTGGCCTATTGTGCGCTGACTTTTTTCTATCTCAAAGTCAAGATCTCGCCGTGCAACGCACCAGCGACGACATTTAACGTTACGATTTGACTTAACTCAACATCGCTAAACTTGAATTTTTCAGGCGTCGCGAGGATTGTTATGAGCGAATTGGCCGCCCGCGCTGCGACTTCATTATGTATTTATACGAGTTAAAGCTTAACGAGCTTTCGCTCGAAATGTCCCTAGAAATTGGACTTTGGCTCGCCGCTCGAGATGTGTGATAATTAGCGCGGACGTGCGATAAACTCACCAAGACCATTGCGGCTGTAATCTTATCTATTGTTGATTAATATCTAGTCACAATTTAATTAAAAAAAACAAGCTAACGTGATTACCTACCCCTCGAAACTTTTGTATACGTAAAAAAGTTGACGTTACGTATACGAACAAACCCATTGTTCGAATGCAATAACGTAGACATCAATCAATGGAGGTGTATTCGATAACTGAATTACAAAGTGCGAGCTTTCACTGCGATGTCAATGCATGGTACGGTACACGTTCAGCGCAAACTTTCGCAACTGATCTCCAATACGGGGGCACACAAACAAGTCGGGCAAGGCGTGCAGCAGAAGCTCGAACTCGGCGAGGCAGTTACGTAAATCAGGCGTAATCTCAGAAGAGGAGAGCGGTCAGTAGATGCGGCCCGCGGGCGTTCGAGCTTGTTTTCTACCTACACCTATAACGCTGCACGTACACGCTCTCTATACGGCGCGGCTTGGCGGCGGCGAACGCTTATTTTCGAACGGCAGTCGCGCGCTGGCACGCGCACTCGTCGGTTTGCTCTCTCTCTCTCCTCTCTCTCTCTCTCTCTCTCTCAATTGTCCGGGGTAGGCTGATTTTTCGTTGCCTCGAAGTGCGATCGCTGTCCCGTTTCCTTTCGGTCACGAATTACCGTTCAACCGACAAATTACAGTCGTCCACTCGCGACGTTACGGCATTCGCGGCGACAGGGCTGCTGAAGCGCATTTCAGCCGTGATCAGACACACGATCGCGCGCGAGAACATCACTACGAGCTTTTCTGAATGAACGCAAATAGCTGTGCGTCGATCGATAATTGAAGCGCGTTGCAAGCTAATTATAAAGTCACATCCGATAAAGGACAAAGCGACGTTCGCGGCTACCTCGACTGTGAAACCAATCTCAAGTGTGATTATATAGAATCCCGTTTCTTCTTCGCAGGCTGCCTGAACACTCGGCGCACGCGGCGCGCCGGCAAGCTTCACAGGCGGACGCATAAATGCTCTCTTATTATGCTGGCAGTGACTTAAGCCAAGAGTGGAAGAAAGATGATGGACGGTTCGTCGTACGAGCAGTTCAACTTGGCCGTTAAGAGCATCCTGCCGATGCATCGGCTCAAGCAGTGAGTTCTTGTTCCTTCGATTTTCGTAGCTCGCCAATTCACCGCCGACTGTCTTGCGTGCATAGATAACGCTTAAAAAAATAGAGGCTTATCTATCGCCCGTGCTTCTCTCTCTCTCTCTCTTCCTATGCTAAGATCGCAAACACATTAAAAACTGATACATCTCAGTATGCTATATAGCTCCTCGAGCTCCGCCGCCGAGAGACTTGAGAAGCTTCTTTTGTTAGTTGTGCAATCTTTTTGCGCCAATCGATATTGCAATTTGCGCATTTTTCTTTTACCCGAGTAGCATATTCGCCATTAATTTGTGGCGCATTGGCATTCTTTGATAGCCTATTGAATCTCGCGATGAAGATTCGTCTTACATCGCCGCGACTGAACGTTGCAGACACAGACGACTGCGTCGGTTGCGCAACACACGCGAGCTAACGCAGCAGCGAATGAAAAGAGCACGCAAATACAATAAAAAAATACTAATAAATAGAACAAAAAAAAACGCACGCGCACGCGAAGTAAATGAAGTCGAGGTTAATTACGCTGTGTTCGATCGACCGCGGAGTGTTTGATTCTCGATAGGAGCTATACAGTTGCACCCTAACCACGATGTGTCGAACATTTTCTTTTCTATTCACTTAATGATTTACGTCAAACTACCTTCACCAAGTAAAAAGCAATGAATAAGGGGTGCTTCGATACAAAAGTACACACACGCGCACAATCGAATTTGCCGTACGCGCAAAAATAATCGATGAAACGAGCTCGCGTAACTGCAGGGTATCATTGGGCTGTTGTACATCGAAATACCAAAGCTCAACGAAAAGAAAACTTTGCCAGATGAGCAAGTTACGGACGATCGGCATCGACATTCTCATCCGTTATGTTGACGTTGGAGCCGCGTTCGTTGGAAAACTTGGTTGTCAAAGTAGCCGGCAACAATAGGTCGGCTATTTGAACAACTCGCGTATGCTCGAGTGCACGCGAAACAGTTCAACAAGTCACTGTTTGTTTTGATCGACAGAGTGCAATGGATGAACCAGCCGACGAAAGAGGCCTACGTGCCCACGTACGTGGAGCACGTGGCCAACGTGATAACCCACGGTGTTTGGATAGTGCCGGCGCTGCTCGCCGCTCTCGAGCTCGTCGTCAGAGCGTCCACTTGGCCAAAATTGCTATCGGCCCTCATCTACGGCAGCTCCCTGCTCCTCCTGTTCACCGTCTCGACCGTCTTCCACAGCATTCATTATTACTTTCACAAGGGGTGAGCTTCTTTCTCCGATCGCGCTTGACCACTGCTAATAATCAGTTCAACTGATTATTCGTCCGCCATTTGTCTGGGATTTTCCGAGATGAATGACCCGAGTAACGCAGCTTTTTGCGCGTCGTCGACTTATTTTGTGGGGACGATTGACACGCGAAGCAGCAATGACACTCTCTGACCCGACGAAGCGCTTCCCGCGAGCGCAAGTGATAGTGCTACACGCGCTCGCGCACACATATGTATATGAACTGGCGTCGCCGACGCAAATGAACCTCTCGACCGCGGAAAAACAAACGATGAATTATTGCAGGAAATTCATGAGCTTGAAAGACGTGCTGCACCGTTGCGACCGAGCGATGATTTACGTATTCATCGCAGCCACGTACTTTCCTTGGCTGAACCACGAGCCGTTCCAAGGTGACGTGCTGCTGCCGACGATGCGCATTCTCGTCTGGATCATGGCCGCGGTTGGGATACTCTACCAACAGATCTTTCACGAGCGTTACAAGTGGCTGGAGACTGTATTTTACCTCATCATGGGCATCGGGCCAAGCTTCGCTGTCATCGGCATTGTGAGTTGCATCTCTACGTGCTTTCTCTTTCGCTGGCGGACAAGTTTTCGGGCAAAGTGCGAACGGAGCGAGATACAACTGCAAGGCTGCGTCGATAAGTCACGGCTTCGTCCTGCTTGATCTCTCGCGCGGGACCGGCTGCCCTTCCGACCGGGTGATGTTCGTCTGCTTTCAAATGACGACCTCGATCGCTTGGATTAGCGTGTCAGAGTGACATGGAATATTTTAAGCTCTCGAGCCCTTTTCGAGTCCTCGCGATTGTTGCTACACATTCGCCACTCTCTTTTTCTTTCGCGACGAGCTTTGAAAATGAGTTTGCGAAACCAAGTCGTAAAAATAAGGATTATCAAATCAATTAACGCTTGCTTTTTTCCTTCTAGAGTGAGTACAACGACATACCAGAATTGAAGTTAGGTGGATTAGCCTACCTTCTAGGTATAGTATTTTTCAAATCAGACGGCCGTATCCCGTTCGCCCACGCGATTTGGCATTTGTTCGTGGTGATAGGAGCGGGCTTCCACTATCACGCGATACGCCAACATCTTTACCCGGATGAGCTCGCTGTAGACTCGAAACTCTACTCGCATGCCGAACTCTAGGGAATTGCCATTATGTATGCCAAAGACGCCAGCTGCTTTCAGGCTGCGCCTCCTCGAGCCACGGAAATTGCAAATTCCCCCTCCCCCTCCTCCCTCCCTCCCTCCCTCCCTCCCTCCCTCCCTCCCTCTCTTCGCCACCCACCCATTCTTCAAGACTGATGGGCTCTGAATCTAGTGTCTTCGGGATCAAAGTGATATTTTTTTTTAAGTTTTGTGCTTCCCTTTAATTAGCTCCTCTTTTGCTTTCAAAACATGTGAGTAGTTGATACTATAGAATGCATTTGAGTAGTCGATTGATAAATGTCGCTGAAGGGATCATGAGACATTCACATGTGTCATTTATCAATTCAATACAAATTTACGGAATATACGAAACGCTACGGTTGTTTCCTCTCCGTGATTAGTGGGAAATTTGCAATTTCCCATTGTAATTTCTAGAGCCAAGTTCGAATATTAAGCTGCGCAGATCAAACAACAAATAAAAAAATATACTCTAGCAAGAAACCATGTAGACGACCCGTATTGTACAAAATTTTTCTTCCGTTGATGTGGTCTGTTTTACTACTTTTATAAAGTCAACGATCGAGCCGACTAAACATATTGCTCCACGGAATTGTTCGAATCATTCCAGAATGTACTTGAGAGATGATATGTGATCTAATAATGGAATGTTTACTCACTTGGCTCGTATGAAATGTTTCATCTTGCGACATACGAATACTAAAATCAAAATCAATCATGGGATGTTAGCTAGCTGAACTGTCATTTGAAATCAATAGAAGGAGCAACATTTTTCTAAAACCTCTAGGTTGAAGCATAGTTATATATAAATAAATTGACGTAATATTGGTACAAATTAAGATGAAATTCAAAGAGAGATCATAATTTAGTTAGAATGCAGCTTTTGATGAAATATTTATTATTTGTTCTGTGTACAAAGAATATTTGTAAGATTGGATTTTGGAATATTACTTTTTACGGAAGAAATTTATTGATCTTTTATTGTAAATTCTCGATAGGTAGGAATATTAACTAGACCACTTGAGAGTGAAACCAATATAGAAAAATGCGAATGCAAGCTATTTCTAAAAAAAGCTATTGAATCGTTAAAAATGTAGAACAAATATCTTTATAAATTCATATTAACAAAAATATGATTCTTATATCCATGTCATTCGAAGAAGTAACTTTCATCCTCAAGTAAATATTATTCAAAATACTCTTAAATCTAATAAAATTTATGGAATTGATTGCAAGCATATAAAAAATCTTGCGATAGAGGTAGTTAGATTAGTACTAGTTCTACATCTCAATTATTCTTTCATCGATGTTTTCGTAAAAATTTAATGGTTGTAAATGAAGATTTGCATTTTGGTATAGTAACATTAATAGCAAATATTAGTTTTATTCGTTCGAAAAGATGCATTTTTAAATAGATATTGTATTGGTGTGACGATTATAATTTATGTTATAAAAAACGAGACATTATCATGAGGACTTGAGTGACATTTCGAGAAATTAAATGTTGTCGTTTTTCGTAACATCAAAAATTGTGCAATCTATGGCACTAATTGCATTATCACATTCATTATAAAATATAATGTTGCAGAAAAATATATAAAAGCGTTAAATTAGAAATTATTTTTAAGTTTTATTAATAAAAATGAAGTTATCTTCAGTCACACCTACGCAATTTTTATTTAAATCGAATACTTACTTATTTTTGTATATTATTCATGAACGGTTCAGAGTACTGAGGACAAGTACTGAAAATACGACTTTAGAATTGTTATTTGAAAAGATACAAAGGAACACAAGTCCGTACTGAAAATGCAAATTAAATAAAAATACAGTTTGTAGTATACTTAGAAACGGACTAAAAGATCGATGAGCAATAGTACAAGAATAATAGATAAAAAGGCGATCATATGAAAAATATTCAACCTATATTTTGATGAAAAGTTTTGATGGTGAACACAATACTCTTATTTCATACTGTCGCGTTTTCTTCGAAATACGCGTTTAAGTTCATAGAATTATTTATAATTAATATAAGTATTTTGTCTTATTCAGTTATGAGAATACTTATGTATAGGAATTTTGACGTAATGATAAATTAGGAATAATTGATCTATTTATTTGATAATTAATTCGAGTTTCGCAAAATAATTGTGTGCGAAAAAGTAAATAAACTTTATATCAAAATTAAATTATTTATAAAATATGTGATATAGTTTACGATGTACGTCTATTTTTTTTTTGAAATCACTTATTGAAAAGAAAAGTAACGACTTTAATATGATCATGCATTTTTAAATTGATTTTGTAACTACCACAGGAACCTATAAAAGGTACTGAAATTGATGAAAATAAAGACAAAGCTACGGTTGTTATTACTTTATTACCTTTAATAAATTCACAACCCATGATTTTGTCACAATATCTACTTTATGTTACACAATATAAAAACTGTCTTATTCGTTAATTTTTAGGATGATTTTCTACTAACTACAATAGTAATTTATTGCACTGATGCTTAAGAAATATCGGAAGTAATTCAATAAACATTCATATCAAACATACATATTTTACGAACTTATTTTTACGTTATTATAATGAAATACACTAGATTTAAAAATATTCTTATGCTTACAAATTATATTTCACTGAAAGATGAAATCAAAATAACTTCAGGCCTTTGAATTTTAAAGTTTTGTAATCCTTCTTTTGTTACTGATGTGCCAGTGACATCGAGATATAATAAACTAGGTCCATGATTACAAAAGTGTTGTAAAGTTTGATCTGTCACTCCTTGATAATTTCTACATAGAAATTAATTCTTTTTTAATTTCGGTATTTATCACTTAAAAAATTGTTTTTTTTCTCCTTGAACTTACCTTATAACTAATTTTTTTAAATATGGATTGGTTGAACTGCGTACTCTTCCATGAAGTAGTTGCACTTGTTCAAGATGCTGAACAACTTCTTGATTGTTTTCACTGCCGTGATAACTTAACGAACATATAGATCTGTCAGTAACATGACATCTGTCATCATTTGCATGATTTAATTCAACATTGTTTTCTTGAACAATCTGAAAATATAATCATTTTCAACAAACATCAATGTTTCAAAAATATAGCAGGGTAGAATTATATACATACTTGTATAGCTGGTACATTTTCTTGATTAATTGCTTGAGGTCTTGGTAATTGAACTAATAATACATGCCGATTTTGATGCTGAGCCTCTGGAACATGTAATGTAGTTTCTTCACTGGGACACTCTAAATACATTTCTGTCAGAGTTGATATATGACTGAAACTACTTACAACACTGTCTCCAATAAATGTGTCTCTTACATCTAATATCTAAAGGTAAGAATGTGAACTATTATTCGCTATTGAATTAAGTGAACTGAATATTGTAATGGTTATTTACCTGAAGTTTCTTCAGTCCAACTTTAGTTGCAATACTTGCATAAGCTATATCTTCACCTAATCCATGACATGAATTCATCCTAACTTCTTTCAAATTTGGTATTTTACTGATAGCCATTAATGAATGGTTAGTAACCCACAGGCAATTTGAAAGCACCAGACACTAAAATGCATCAATGGTTAGTAAAAAATGTTCAAAATATATATTTTTCACAAACAATAAAGTAACATACAGTTAAACTAGGTATATGAAGATGTATATTATTAAGATAAGATTTATCATTAGAAAAATTTTGTATATGGCAACCTTCTAATGATAATTTCTTCAATGTTCTAGGAAAATGTTGAATTTGTATCTGTAAACATAAAATGAACTCAGAAATATTTTAATAAAATCAATTTTAACATAATTTTAACATAACCATACCTGGTGACGATTGATATAATAATCTTCAATAATTAAATCTTCAAGTTTAGGACATTTGGAGGCAACTATATTCAGAAAATTTAAATGAAGCTCTGATAGTTCACTAGCACCTATATTACCACGAATAAATAATAATTTTGTCGCTGGTTGCATAAATGTTTCATATTTATCCAAGTCTGATGCAGATAAATGTGTATCACTCAAATCAAGACTCTTCCATAAAGTTCGATCGCAGCAGAGTCTATTGAATCTTGTACAGCACCTAAAATATCACAAAAATTCATTCTATATTATCTGATTTTATTCATAAATTGTAATAAAGTATTTTATAGGTTACTAGGAAATTTTTAAAAAAACGTGAAGTCTATAAAGTTCTATTTTTATAATTTACTTACAAATAAAGCGACATTAAATCTACTGCTGAAACGAATTTAAAAATATGTAGCACAACATCGTCTGACAAATCTAATAAACCCCGGTACTTGTTTTCTTTTTCTTCTTGAATAATTTTAGGGCGTTTAATATCGGGATAGAACATTTGTATCTCATGTGGCTCGGGGCTTTCAGATTTCGTACGTTTCATAGTGCTTGCCAATTTGTTCAGATGATTAGAAACAATTATTTCAAATATTGCAAACGATGACACCAAAACACAAAATTGTTCAAATCGTATAACCTTAAAGAATCATTGTTAACGAGTTCTCATTTTGAACAACACCATATTAAATTAATTGTAAATAATGACTTTTAATATGAAAGTGCATTATCCATTTACAAATTGGAGCATTTGAAGTGAGTGTTTGGTAGTTTTTTAAAGGTCAACAAACACTAGATAAATGCTACGCGGGCATATACTACGACGGAAAGAGGGGATGAAATACTACTAGAAAATGTGTATTGTACACAATATACTGTACAAATCACAGAAGCAAGAGCTATAGTATTGTCCGACCGAAACGTAGCATCAGCGCCGACTAGTGGTCATAATTAAAAATAAGCATTTAAATTCAATCAATTGGCATAACAAGTTCCTTTGATTACGAGTGAAAAGTGAATATGTTTATGAAAAAAAGTTTAAAAAATTATCGCGATAACTAATCGAAATAGTATAAGCTTCTTGGCATAATTTATAATATATTAAAATCGTATTTTAGTTAAAAGAATTTTTATTAATAAAAACTAGAATTGAGTCAGTGATTTACTGTTTCATTTCTTAGCAAGTAAGAAAACTATCCAATAATGCTGATTCAATATAAACTTCGTTGCAGAGAAATCGCACATTGTATGATTGTATCTGCTCCTAAGAAGAATGCCTAAATATACTCTAATCATTTTTAAATATAAAAAGTACATTTTCTCTTGCTTGCATTTGTATGCATGCTTATTTCAGCATACAGTGCATTTTATTTCACTTCAAATGCACTAATTTCATTGAATAATACTCCTGAATTGACACAAAGTTTATCTTACATTATCTTTTTCTGCTTTACTATTTTTCTTATTATAAATCATATTTATAGACTATATATATTTCATTATGTATACTTTATGATTTTTAAATATGAAACGGTTACGCGGAAAGTAAATACAAAACATTTTACCTAAATTATGCTTAATTTATCAACTGAAGACATCTGACTTTCAATTGTTGCCAACCGTAATTTTAAAATAATCTCATTACTTTGATCTAAATACATTGTAACTTGCAACAAATTAATTTGATCATCAAACGCACTTAGTGAAGTTCGATCATAATTATATGAGGCGTGTTTAAAGATATTTTTCATGTAATACATGAAATAGTACCGCAACAAGTTGCGGTACTACATGTAAAATATCGTCGAACGAGCTAGGTAAAATATAATTATACTTGACTTGTTAGTAATCTCGACGTGTAGCTCATTTCTGTTACTTTAATTCTTAATTATTTCCAATCACAAAACGCAAAAGTTGCTGGCGGCGCTGCGCATAGGCCTCGTAAGACTCAGGAGTGACAAGACTGACAAGAGTTAAGACCAAGATGCAAACTGACATGATTGGTATCTCTGAAATGGTTAGCCAACTTCACTGTGCCCGTGGAAATTATCTCCTTGCCCCCCTAGTTCTTTAACACGAAGTCGTTAGGCTCAAGGGGGGTTTGACGTCTGTTCGTCGCTGTGTATAATTGTCGTCGTCATCGCTGTTTAATCTTGTATTAAATTACCACGAGTGAATATACAAGATAGGTGGGCAAGAAGCACGACAATGGACGCGAAACCGTCAAGTCGTGATCGTGAACGAAGAGAACACTGATTCATCGTCGTCGTCGTCGTCGTCGTCGCCGTCGCAAGGGAAAATAATCATCGACGAAGGATAAGAGGACGATGAAGTCAGGCAACGTGAACGAGCATAGGGGTTCGGTGCTCTTGAAGCCCGAGGAAAACGACCAAGTATTCCGGTTACTCGGTAATCGTTGCCAGGTAAGAGTTCTGTCGAAACATTTTCAAGGTGAGAATTGATTTCCACATTGCACGTCCAGACAGAGAGATCGGTTTTTTAATGGATCAATGAGCACTTTTATTGGCTTTGATTGATATGAGTTTCATATTCCTGTGTGGGTGTTTGTTTTTTGTGTCATTTAATGGGTGTGTTGTAAAAGTATAATGATAAATAAAATTTGATAAGAAGTGGCGACTTGTTTTATCACTATTTACATCTTTTATTGTGATGCTGGAGCATTGTCATTGAAATAACAACTTGATGAGTCGCTTGGTTAGCCTTAACGTGTCATGCATTTAAATGGCCAATTCTTTTGGCTTACTCTTGGATCATAGTTTGTGATAAGAATCTGTTTTTAATTTGTTTGATGTTTTCGTAATTGTTTTAACATGTATTAATAGGATTATTTTCAGTGCCTTGCTGCAGGTATTATACAGTTGTACTTGACAGAGTCTCCAAGACACAATGAGTGGATTAAAAAGAATACAGGGATTATTACTTTGATTCGTGACACATCAAAACGCAGCTTTTTTCTGAGGCTGTACTGTATTCAAAGGAAAGCCATGTTATGGGAGCATGAAGTTTATAATTCCATGGATTACAAAGCTCCTGTAAATTACTTTCATACTTTTGAAGCAGAAGACTGTATGGCTGGTTTTAATTTTGCTAGTGAAACTGATGCTATTGTTTTAAGGTATGTTTGTGATATATTGATTAAATAATAATCAGAATATATAATCAGAATTAACTTTATTGATGTGTATTTTTATTCAAAATTAATGAAACCTACAAGGTAGATCATATTTATCAAAATGATAAGCTTCCAGATTATTGGTTCATAATTATCTTCATATTTTGATAAGGGAATTTAGGTTAAGAGTCTTGTTAGTGATTACTGAAACTTAATATAATTGTTGTTTATTAAAGTCATTGATGTTATTAATTTTATCATTATCTAACAAAATAGTTTATTTGAAATATGTTTTCATTATACAGGAACATTTTAATTGAAAAATTAAATGCAAAAGCAAGGCGTAGGAATGAAAGGCATTCTAAAATGGAAATAGATAATCAGAGAGGATTGACACTTCCTAACAAAAATCAAAGTATAAGCACACCTTCTTTAGGTTTTACACCTAATGCTCCTGACAATTATTCTAATGGAAGTCCTATGACGATTAATGTTAATAGAAGCATGTCAAACATTTCAATGAGTAAATCTAAAAAGAAAAAGAGAAATCAAGAGGCTAAAAAAAAATTGACGGCTAATGATATTGGCTTGCCATTTAACTTTAGGTATGTAAATTACATGTAGTGAAAAAAGTAAGGATGAAATAATTGTAATAATTTATCAATTTTTGTTTTTATGTAGACATGTGGAACATGTTGGAACAGATATGAATGATTGTAAGATTGTGGATCCAGAGTTAAAGGCATTTTTTGATAAAGTAGGAATTAAAGAGAGTCATTTAGAACACAAAGAGACAAGAGATTTTATTTATGATTTTATAAACAAAAACGGAGGAATGAATGCTGTTAAAAAAGAAATAGTACCATCATCCTCATCTCCTATTGTACAACATCAAGTGCCAAAATCTCAGCCAAAATCAGAACCACCTCCTGTTCCAGTTAGAACAATACCAGTTAGCACAACTCTGAACAATGTGAGTAATATTTATTTTATAAATACAAAATCTGAAACGTTAAAATACTTTCTTATCGTTCAATTCTAAACCATTAACTAATGTTAATTAAAGAGTCATCAAAGGAAAGCTCCACCTTTGCCGCCTCAAAATCAAACGCAGAATCATAATCCTCCGCCGCCACCACCAAATGTGCCACCCACAGTTCACCGGTCACTTCCAGCAAGGCCAACACCTCCTCCAGCGCCAGCACCAGCGCCAGCGGTAGTAATGCCACCTCCACCTCCACCACCGCCGATGCCCCAGGATCAACCCAATCCTCCGCCTCCACCTCCACTATTACCTAACATAAGTCGTAGTCCAGAAGATAATAGTGACAGTAACGGTGCCAATCATAGCAAGACTCTTGACCCACACTCGATGCTGATGGAGTCAATCCAGAAAGGCATTTCCCTCAAGGTAAAGAAGTTGTGACTTTTTATGAGTACAACTTTCATTTTTCTTTAATTAATACATTAATTAAAAAACTAGTCAGAATTTTTTATTTTGAATTATACTATACTATTTACAGAAAGTAAACATAGAAGAAACGAAATCACCACCTCCTAAAGACGCAAGGAGTAACTTATTGGAGGAGATTCGCAAAGGAATAACGTTAAAGCCAGTAGAGAATGAGCCAAGGCCAAATAGTGCTACACCGAACCTAACGGAGGGCGGACTAGCGGCGGCACTTACGAGGGCATTGGCCGAGCGCTCAAGAGCAATGTACAGTGAGAGTGAGGACTCGAGTGACTTTAGTGATAACGACGAGGAATGGGATGATTAGTGCTTTTCGCATGCAATCCATACTGGTTAGCCTGCGTCAGACAGTGGACCATCATCGAATAATTTTTATTTCTTTGTCTTTTCTTCTAAGAAGCTCCCACTTTTTAAATTCATTGAAGTTTTAATTATTACAATTTTATGTAATATAAAAGTGAAATTTAAAGGAGCGTACTAATGATATACAAGTAGATTTACTACAAGTCACTAATGTTTGGATACGAAATGAAATTTCTTGTAGGTATTAACCATTCTATAGATTTGTGCGAGTCGCGATGCATACGGATTTGACAGAGCATTTCTCTTTTAACTAGCGTCGATACCGCAAAAAATAAAAGAAACGTAACGGTTGTTATAAATAATAAGACTCATATTGATGTCTAATGATTTTTTCAAGTTGTCACCAGTTCTGATAAGTATTATTTATATCGTTGTTTAAACCGCTAAAATGGATCTTTGAATATGTATATTAAACATGTTTATTTAATTCCATTGTACACCGAAACGAATTCTGTTCTGTACATTTTATATTATATATATTAAAAGAAATATGAACACATAAATAATGTTTAACTGAATACAATCTGTAAATCTATGAGCAATGAACAAAGGAATAACGCAATGTAATTGTTAGCTAATGATGACTAATGAGAAAGAAAATTTTTAAGATTTAGTGCCCATTACTAAAAGAAAAAAGAGATCATCTATACTTTGTCTAGTAATTTTAAGAAAGTTAAAGTGATGCGCTTTGCTATATACTTTGCCTGTCAGTGCCTCAAATTTCTGTTTCCTAAATTGTGCGTACCTTTACGCAGGATTCTGCGTAAACGTCGTGTGATCACGACGACCTACATTACAATTCAATTCAAAATTGATATTGTGTAATATCTATGTAACATCGTTGCACCTTCAGTAAAGAATTTCAAAACTATGGAAATTGTACGTGGTGGTGAAATCGATTGGCCTAAATGTAAAATTGACCTACCAGATGAAAAAAAATGTAAGCGCACCTAGTTTATCATTTACATTAACGTGTTTTCAAATGTAATATAATTTATAGGCAATGTTCGAGGCGTTTCACTAGTCTTTGAATTCATTGGCAAACGCGATAATCCATTAAATTTTGGACTCGTGGACATATAGAAAAATACTATAAATAGTTTATACAATGCATTCATATTATTTGTTATATGTATAATACATCAATTTTATTAATTTTATTAGTTAATAAAGGCTTTATGAATTCCAATTTATATTTGCTCATTGTATTTCTCATTGAATTGCAATCCAAAATTTCATTCTCATAAAAATGAAAAAAAATAGCATTTAGGAATACAGTAATAAATATTCAAACTTATGTGGAATTAAATCTATTTCTCTATTTAATGACTACAATATATTACACAGTATATTTTTAATCTTTGGTCTTACAATAATTTACACAAATATGCAAATTTAACTCTACTACTCTTTCATGTCTTACATTTTAATTTTGTAGATTTTTTCGGTTTTTAAACAGTTATAACTTATGGCCGAAATTTTTATCGAAAAGCTAATTTTTTACATGCAGTATGAGTTCATCATGACAATTTTCGTTCGCGTTTATTTTGTATTTTTTTTTTAACACATGACCGTTTAAGAACCAAAATAAATCTCTTAATCAGTCGCGTCTACAAATGTATAAGAATTTACAACGCAATATTGAAATTTAATAGGCGATGCGTGAGTCCATTAATCACGAATTATCTTTAAAAATAAAACTATTTTGCTGTTCTTTTTCTGTATTTTTTATAACGCAGGGAACATGTTACCGTCTTTTTGCATTCTTTATTTTTTCGCGGAATGCAATTGAAAAATCGATACTTTAATGCTTGCTCCTATTTTTTATTCATTTAGAATAATCATCTTTCTTATTATAAATAATAATCGCGATCAACTTCTTTCATTAGAAATTTCATTTCTATTTGAAGCTGAAAATGGCAATCGACTTTATATAAAGTTATACATTTTTAAGCTTAAAATTAAAGATTTATTTTATGAAATGCATACAAAAAAAATTCAAAGTGCTCATGAAAAGCTAAAAAAAACTGAATTAAAAATGTTATGCTGTAAATGATAGTGTAATACAAAACTCATAAACGATAAAAAACAATTTCGTAAATATACATCAATTTCTAAGTCGCGACACTTTTGATATTAGCAAAATCTATGGATACTTACAATGACATTTAATCATTTTTAACGTCTGCTCAGTGAGATTCGTACTACATATACTTTACCTGAAATTTCATAAAAAATAATATTATACCCTCGGTTTTAATGGTTTTTCTACTGTGAAAAAAGTATTTTTTTCTTGCGAAAAATACACATACTGTGGGTATAAGTCTTTGATAGCCTAAGCCACATAATGGCAAACAATGTCTCTTGGAAAAGAAAAATTTATAAATTAGTTCAATAAAAAAATACGTGTACAACAATAGTCAATTTATCGCCTTAGTTAATTAGTGCGTTAATGCAAACTTGCACGTACATATATGAGAGACAAAGCTATAGAAAGCTGAAAATGTCATTTTTCCTTTAAAGTCAAGTAGTTTGAGTCCTAGAACTTGTGATTTTCACTAATTAACCCGCAAAATTTACAGACTAAAAAATTTCTTTTATGTTTATGATTCAAATCCATCGATATTGCGATTATCAATGCAATTACAATGTTTTGGATGGAATTTATACGTAAAACGCTTCAAAAAATAATATGTCGTCTTTGAAAAAAATTTTACCAAATGTTGTTAGTTGTGACAGTGGTAATTACTGAAAATCACAAGTAGATTTTATTGTTAATTTCAAAATTTTACAAAATACTGTGTTACACAAGAACAATATTTTTATCAAACTTGGTACACGATTATAAATAGTTTTTTTTTCATTACTACAGATTTTGAATTGAATTTTTTAAACTACATTTTAACTCGTAAGTATACAGGTGTTTGGCATCTCCCTGAACCGCGTGTTTCAGTAATAAATTAATAAATCTTATAATTATGGTCAGCTAAGACTCATTCAAAAAAGATACTTAACGTTTACAAAGATTAAATATATAAACCATGTGTAATCTTCGTTCAAAATGCAATATATTGGAGCGTATCGTTCCGTTTATGCATACTGGAAAAATATATTACAACATGATATATAGCACCAGCTATAACTCGAGTTTTTAGTTTTACAAACTAAAAACTTTTTCTCTGTTTAGTATACCAACTGACAGCTGAATAATTCAAGTCAAGATTCTTTTATAAAGCTAGCTTAAAAAGAAATGTAAATTTTTTATTATACAACTTTCATTTTAAACTTTTCATCTGTATAATATATAATAAATCTGTAGTAAAAAATGTACAATTCTCATTTGTGTGAGGAACTCTTGACTCGAAATACCAGTGTCAGTTTCATGCAGATCGATAAATTAATGTGTCTGTCATTATTTTTTTCTTTTTTTAGGTAAAACATTTCCTCTGCACTCTAGGAAACATCAATTCGTTCTGATTTATAACACTTGTGTATAATACAGATTTGTTAAAATATATCAATCTTTCGTATGTATAGAATTCCCTTAAGACACTAAAAATCGACAATTTATAAATGTGTTTTTTTCTGTGATTACTCTAGATAGTTATAGGTTTTCGCCTAATACAGACTAATTGATTAATATTTGCAATTTTCTGTACTTATATGAAAAATTAAAGATCTAGGTATACTCATTCCGTTATTGTAAAAATTTAAAAATACTGAACAAAGAAAACATTTTCGAGTTCATAGAAGTTATTGAATGATCGTTGAAAAATTCTCCTTTCAATGTCAAAAATTTGTTTCGTTTTCTAGCCACACATGTCTAAAGTAATATTTTTAAAACTTCCGCTATAATTGAGATAACTCATAGGTTGCACGCCCATCTCTTATCTTACATTCCCCGAGCGACAGGCAGTCATAAATAATTTTGTCGATAAAAAACATCGAAATAGAATAAGCCTAAAGTTATATAAAAAATAAACAATCGCAATTGGAAGAATTCAACAGCCTTTCAAATTAAAGTAAAAAAATATGGTATAATAACGTGATTTACCCAAAATCTCTAGCGTCTAAACTCTAACAGTATTCCATGGATAGCAACTTTTCTAAATACACATTGTTCTCGCTCGCAAAATTTGCTTAATAAAATTAGTACGTACACATTTTTTAGCGATCCAAACTAAACCATTCGTGTGCATGTATTTAAACGAATAAAGAATAAAAACCTAGAAAAAAAAGGAGAAACAATATGGAGAAACAACTAGCTTGAGAGCAAATGAAGTCACTGTACCAGTAGAGATTCAGAGTAGACAGTGGTAACATTTCGGATCGGAAGCGTGCCCGTTAAGTTCTTTACCCCTTAAACAACGACGATCTTGTGATTGTTGCCGTTGGGCAAAAGAACGTAATAGACACGCTTCCCCTTATCTCATTGAAATTGTGATACGTTCCCTTGATAGTGACTGCTGTCAAAGGTGTTTCCTTGCTGCTGCTGCTGCTGTTGCTGTTGCTGCTGTTCTGCTCTGTCTACAACACCCTGAATCTCAATAACTGAAGGATTAGTGGCTTGATGCTGAGTGCCATTACTCATACTAGCACTGGTAATGTCCCTAGTTACACTCAATTCGCTGCTAGTTGTAGCTTGTTGTTGCTGCTGCTGTTGTTGCTGCTGCTGCTGCACCTGTTGCTGCTGACTATTATTCTGTCCATTATTAGTTTTGGAACGGTGCCTGAGCTTGTGCGTGGTGAGGTACTGTTTCACAGAAAACGCTTTATGGCAGATGTCACACTTGTAGGGCAACGGGTCTTGGGCACAATTCAGTCCGTCCACGGCCGCTGGCGCATGAGTCGTCAAGTGCATTAGGTAATAATGTTTGACGACAAATGACTTACCGCAAGTCTCGCAAATATATGGTCCTGACATGCCGTGAGTCTTACGGTGTTTATGAAGGTTGTCTTTGCGCGAGAAACTCTTGCCGCACACTTCGCACTCGTGCATTTTTTGACCGGTGTGTGATACCAGATGACGAACCAAGTGCTCTTTACGACTGAAAGCTTTTGCACAGGTCGTACATACGTAGGGCCGTTCTCCGGTGTGAAGCTTGCGATGCTGGAAAAGATGTTCTTTCCGTTTGAACGGCTTATTGCACACATCGCAGCTGAATGGGTTGCCTTGTACGTTATTGCTTATTTGCTGGATATTTTCTTCTTTGATATTGCTACCCGTCATTTCTCTCACCTGCTGTAAAAACAAAAATCCGAAACGTTATTCGCGCGAACATTAGTTTGCATAAACTTATTTAATCAGCTTACCTCGTTCAACAAATTTGCCGTGCAATCATGGCTGTTCATCTGATTGATCGAATTGAAAGTCTTGCCACATTCGCGACAGGCTATTTGTCTTTGTGGAGTTTGCTGCGAAATCGCCTGAGGATTGACGGTGACAAGAGGGGTTTGTTGATCAGATCCTGATCGGATTCGTAAAAACTCAGATATATGGCTGATGGAAGTACGTGTCATTGCGTCTTCGGCTACAACAGTAGCAGCGTTATTCTTCACAAAGTCTTTGAGCTCCTTGGCCTCGTCGCGAGACACTTGTGACGTCAACGAATCTTTGAAGCCTAGGCTCAAGAACACTTCTGGTGTCGCTTGTACCGTAGTGAATGTTTGTTGATTTTGGTGATTTACAATTACAGCCTCGTTCTTTTGTTGTTCCACAGCTGCTACTTGCAAACTTTCGTTGACGTCTTCAGTCTTTAAGATAATGTTGCTACGATGGACTTCCACCTGTTGTTGCTGTTCTTGAGCAGTCGTCACGTGAATATGCTGTTGCTGTTGCTGCTGCTGTTGTTGTTGCTGCTGCTGCTGCTGATGCTGCTGCTGTTGTTGTTGTTGTTGTTGCTGCTGCTGCTGCTGCTGTTGCTGCTGCTGCTGCTGCTGCTGCTGCTGCTGCTGCTGCTGTTGCTGCTGCTGCTGCTGCTGCTGCTGCTGCTGGTGCTGTTGCTGCTGATGCTGGTGATGATGATGCTGTTGCTGTTTCTCTATGTGATGTATATGTCTTTGCTTTTCAAACTGTTCACGGTGTTGTCTCTGCAATTGCTGCTGAATTTGTTGTGTGATATGTTGTTGAGTTGCATTTTGTTGCTCCTGTTGATTTACATTGACTGTGTTCACGTGACTCTGTTGCTGTTGCTGCTGCTGTTGGCTGACTTGTTGACTAGCTTGATTGGATGGCTGCTGAGATAGCTGTCTCAGCGTTTGTACCTGTTGCTGGATTATTTGATTTTGGCTCTGTATTTGGTTTTGCACTTGAATCTGAGTGGGTTGAGGCTGTGGCTGCTGCTGTTGCTCCACTATTTGATTTTGAGTTTGATTCTGTTGAGGTTGCATCTGTTGTGACGTTTGTTGCTGGTAGCTGTAATGAGTTTCGGCTGTGGCTTCCACTACTGCAGCAGCTACGTTTCCCGATTGCATCTGAAATTAATAGATATGTGATAGCAATGAAAATATTATGAATACCATAGAGTTGTTATATGATTATTAATTACCTGCATTGCACATTTATATTGTTGGACCCGAGCTTGTACTCCACTAATAATTTGCAGGTTTGAAGCATTGATGTTACTAACAAGAACTTGCTGAGGATGAGCTTGTGTCTGATCATTGATGATTTGAGTACTGGTGGTAGTAGGTACAATAGTTGTAGGTACTACTATTTTCTCTACGACTCCTAAGGGATCTTCTTCTTGACGTGGTTCCTCAGTGCTTATTGGTGGTTTCTCCTCTTTTATTGTACTTTTTACATAAACTTTGCCCTCTTTCAGAAAGTCTTCTGAAAATCTTAAGGAGGTAAAATAAGATTCTAGCATACTCTCTGCTTGGACCACTGTGTCTCTAAATTCAATGTAACTTTCTAGCTTCTTCACACACTCCATGCAAACAATTTTTGGCAACGAGTCTTCCTCCACAACCTGGAATTGTTTCAAAAAATGATTAATCATAAATAATTAAGAATACTTGACAGATCACTCCAAATAATCAACTTCTCATCGCTTATTAAAGAATAAACGACTAACGCGTTCGCGGAGCAACAAGTTGTAAAAAAAAGGCAGCTTATTTCAGACTCAATAAGAGTAGGTACGCCAAGGTCGAAACAATCGATCGACATGAAAATCGATTTCCCTATAGCAGCCGTAAGAGAGATAAAGCGAGTAGCCCCACAACAAATAATAAAGTTGTCGCGCTATTACCTGCACCGGAAGGTAGGTTTGGATCTTGTTCTGCAATTGCCTTCGGCGTCCTTCTTCGAGGAAGATGTTCATTTTACTGCCTTCAGTGCTGGTGCACAGCCGGCAAAGCTCGTAATAGTTGACCCGGCGGTATCCCGACATTCTGTTGCTTCTGTGGGTGCTGCCGTCGAATAGCGTCCTCGCCGCCGGCGAAACTCACTATAAACTCGCGCGCCGCGCACACACTACACGCACTATGCACACTGGAACGCACGCAACGTAAGTCACACGCGTTCGCAACGATATACCTTGATTACGGGCATCGGTCGGCCAACTATGGTGGTAATTTTCGAGGCGATCTCAGGTTGACGGATATCAGCCCACCTAAGGTGATAACCTGCATCAGCGACTCGCGGCCATTTGCAATGTGCAATCACCGCCTGCTGTCTCTGTCTCTCTCTTTCTCTATCTGTAGACTGTATGTACCTACGTGTGTGTGTGTGTGCGTTTCGCGCCGATGACGCTCGGCGGGGGCGGCGCGCCGTAGTCCTATGTCGCTGTGGGAGGGGCGGACTATTATTCGACGTTGGCATATAATATCTTTCAATTCGACGCACGCATTGCATTGTGTGTGCAAATATGCTTGGTGGCAGTTTTTTATTGCTGCGGGACCACAAGACTTTTCTGACGATGCAAACATTTTATTTCTTTTTGATCGTTTTTCTTTTCTTGTTTTTTTACAAACTTTACAGAAATTATTTATTTTATGAATTTCTCCTAATAGACAGTATTTGCATTAAACTTTTTATCTCAATTCAACCGTAATATGTTACTTATTTTATCTATTTGAGCCAATGTTTATTTGTATAAAAAGTGTCGATCAATCATGATCTTTATTGATAACTGAATTTAATGTTTTATTTATTTTACCATTTTAATATAGCAATATCTAGATTCAAAACGAAACTGAATTGATCAATAAAAATACGTTACTATAAATTGTCAAGCAATCTAGATTATAAATTACTGTTACTTTGGTGGAATAAGTAAAAATAACATGTTACATATCTTACAAGTTTAAGCTTGGCGCGTAAAAAATACCGCCACAATATATAATAAACGTGCGGCAATATAAAGATGGCCGATCCGATAACTCGTTCCTCTGTTGTTTGTTTATGTTGTTCGTAGTTGTTAATTGTTTTTTATAAGAAAAAATTATTAAGTATTAACTTTAATACAAAATATTTATTAACAATGACTGCTTCTTCTGTTAATAAGTTTGAAGAAGGTATGAATTTAAATAAAATGTTGATTTTTTCGTAATAACCGTTTCGTTTTCAAAAATTATTATGAAATAAATGTTTGAAACTCACAGGTGAAAGAGTCTTGTGTTTTCACGGGCCATTAATTTATGAAGCAAAGTGTTTAAAAGTTGACATAACAAAAGAAAATCAAGTTAAATATCTTATTCATTACGCTGGATGGAACAAAAAGTGAGGTTACCACTTATTCAATAACGTAAACAAAGGACAACTTTATAATTTGATAAATATTTTTTATCTTTGATGCAGCTGGGATGAATGGGTTCCAGAAAGTAGAGTTTTAAAATATAATGATTCTAATTGTCAACGCCAAAAAGATGTTCAAAGAGCCCATGCTGCCCAACAAAGTGCCCAAAAAGGAAAAAAGTCCAATGTTCTTTCAAAAGTTAGTTTAAAGAATCGAGATGGTGGAAAAGATAAAGATTCTGAAAGTCGAACGAGTACTCCTACGCAATTAAATGATCGTGCAAACAATAGGTATCAAAAGAACAGTGGATCTATTACTCCTACTTCTAATGATTCTTCGTCAGATGGTGTTAGGAGAAAAAGAAGGTAATTTTCTGATATATTGATTCATTTCAATTAATAAATTTATAAATTATAATAGATTCATTGCAATTTTTCAGTCGTATTGACCCAACTGTTGAAACAGAAGAACAGTTTTTATCAAAAGTTGAGATTAAAGTTAAAATTCCAGATGAATTAAAACCATGGCTTGTAGATGATTGGGATGCTATTAGTAGACAAAGAAAATTAGTTATTTTGCCTGCTAGACATAATGTTGATAAGATTTTAGATGATTATACGAAATTTAAAATCTCTAGTAAAACAAATAATCCAAATAAGTATGCTAATAACGTTTTTTCTTTTAATTTAACCCTTATAATGGTTTTTTTACTCAATACCTTTTCTTTCCACAGAGAAGTTGCTGTTTTAGAAGTTATAAGAGGTCTGCGTGAATATTTTAATGTTATGCTTGGAACACAATTATTATATAGATGGGAAAGGCAACAGTATGGAGATATCATGATTGAGAAACCTAATACTTCTGCTAGCCAAATTTATGGGGCCTTCCATTTGTTAAGATTATTTGGTAAGACTTTTTTTAATGAATAATAATATATATAGTTGGTAACTTGAGGGTTGTATTTAAATTATCTTTATTATTCAGTAAAACTTGGCAGTATGCTATCCTACACTCCACTGGATGAAAAAAGTATCCAATTATTACTCGCACATATTCACGATTTTTTAAGGTTTTTACATAAGAATAGTAGTGATTATTTTAGTCTCCAAGATTTTGCCACTGCTCCACCAGAATATCACCGAAAATGCACTTGAATTTATATAATTAGGTTTTATTATGAACAATTGACATTTTTATACGTTTAAACTTAATTGTAAATAAGTTATTAAATATTTGACAATACATCGAGCTGTTTTTTGATTAACTGAATTTTGTCGAATTTATTAATCCATTTATTATATACCAATAAAATTATACATTTTTTTACTGTTTTCACGTTAAATTTTCATTTTTGCGCGCCTTCGCCACAGATCAGCTGATGAGTGTCTGTCTATAACCTCCAAAATTGTCAATATCAACAATCACGTAAACGCAATTATTTTTGTTTTACCTAGATTTATTTATTTGAAGAATTTCGAAAATTATACTTTTGTTAACATTTATGTAATGGCAGGTTCTGCTTTGAGACGGTTAATGGCTGAATACAAACGTAAAGCATTACTTCAATTATAATATATTTACCTTTCAAATTCTAAATGAATAACAATGCAATTAAACAAATTATAGAGTTGAGTATAAATCCTCCTGAAGGAATATTGGCAGGGCCAGTAAATGAGGAAAATTTCTTTGAATGGGAAGCTTTAATTACGTGCGTTTTCTCAAATTATTTTATTTGTGTATACACATAATTTGATTAATATTTATTTCTAAAATCTGAAACAAATTTTATTTAGAGGACCTGAAGGAACTTGCTTTGAAGGTGGTGTATTTCCAGCTAAGCTAATTTTTCCTCCAGATTATCCTTTAAGTCCTCCAAAGATGCAATTCACATGTGAAATATTTCACCCAAATAGTAAGATTCACAATTTATTTTTCTTGTAATGTTATGGAGTATATTTCATAGTTTTTATTATACAGTTTACTCTGATGGTCGAGTTTGCATTAGTATTTTGCATGCACCTGGGGATGATCCTATGGGATATGAAAGTAGCGCCGAAAGGTGGAGTCCTGTACAAAGCGTTGAAAAGATTTTATTAAGTGTTGTGAGCATGTTGGCTGAACCAAATGATGAAAGTGGTGCCAATGTTGATGCAGCAAAAATGTGGAGAGAGAATAGAACAGAATTTGAAAGGATAGCACAAAAATTAGTTCGTAAAACACTTGGGATTTCAATTTGAAATTTTTTGGTATGAATTGCTGATAAAAGATACATATATTTTTCCAAACTATAAAATGTGATGATTTTATTAAAATGCATATCTTTGTAGAAACATTTTGTGTACTTTTGGTTGATGTTAAAATCAAATAATGTCAGCTTGAATCGAAAGATAGAAATTTATCAGTTTTAATGTATAGCTTCTAAAAACAATATTTCCATTTAATTTGTTTCAATATTTTCAGAAAAAATATGAAATTGTTACAAATTATAGTTATAAAATTAGTTAAGGATCTTACTTTTAATACAATAGCACCACCTCTACAATTTGCTATTGCAGCTTATGCTATTCATATAGCATAATGATTGAAAAATATAAAACTGTTTGTGAAGAAGGGAAATGTTAGGGTTTATTATATTGTAAGTTCAATTTTAAATATATTATATACCATGCAACAGTTTTTATACTTTATTTTCAAAAAACAATTTGCAATTATATCATTCTCCAAATAACATTCGCTACTTATTCTCACATATTATACATATAGCAATTATCTAGTAATTATTACATAAAAAAGAGTAAAATTAAACTTGATATAAAAAAGAAGCTTGAGTCGATTACAATTAAAATTAATAGTTGTTTGTTCCAAACAAAATACATACTACTCCCCTTAATCGCCTTGTTTGCAAAGTTAAAAAGAAAATGCCGGAGTATACATGAGATTCGCAAAATCACTATTGATTCGTTGAAAAAGGCGGGTAATGATATGCGTCTCAAAGAAATAGAAAAAGTATTTAAATAGAATAGTAACACTGACCACAATATTATGATAGAAAAGCTGTCAGAATAACGGTTGTCGCATTTAAACGAAAAATGCAAAACTGAATGAACATATAATAGCATCCCTAACATTTAGATATTTTGTCTCTCGCGCGCACACGAATCACACAGCATCGTCATCATCATCATCACAGGTTCCAGATCGAATCGTCCAAGTGTCTGAATCTTGTCTGACGATCGTTAAGTAAAGGCGAGCACTCGTCATTGGGTTGCTGATCGTCCCTGAAGCAAACTTGCCGGCATCCTACGAAACAGTTTGTAGCACACCAGCAATGAGTATTTTTTTCTCTGTAACGTGTGTGTGTGTGTTTTTTTACTTTGTTTTTTACTTTGTTGCGTATATACTTGACGTGCTTCTTGTGTGTGAGTGTGCGTGAGATGACCCCGTCGTGCGCGCACATGCTTTGTTTTTTTTCGTTCCTCGTTGGTGCTGCAGCGGCTCGAGAAAGATTGCGTGGTCGGAAGTACGGCAACGTGTGTAATCGATTCGATATGCAATCTTTCTTGGCGCGGGCGTACAAAAGAATTACAAGTGCGTTGGCTGCTGACGATCGGCAACATGTATTATTGACGATGATAATGAGGCGCAGTATTGTGGTGATAATAATGTCTCCATATGCAAATATATTTATAACAACTTACAATTATGCGCCGGCTGCTCGAGACAATCACGCTCCGTGTGTGAGATAGGTTCGCAATACAAATGATGCATATTATTCCAAGTGTTATTGTGCAAAGAAGTAATATCATATATACCCTTTTTCGGTTCTTTCGCATTGCTTACAAGATCATTGAGATCCATCAATATCACTCATGCTTTTGCACTTCATCTGTGGTTGTAACGTTATCGAGTTGCAAAGAAAGATGTTATTTTTGAAGCTTCTATGGACTTACGTTATAAAAAAAAGTTAATGACAACCGTTGACCGAAGCTCACAAGCATAAATGATGAAAAGAGAAGAAAACCTCTTATAGGGTCCTGAAAATACTCTGTACTCTAAATACTACGTGATTTTCACCATCTAAAGGCGATTTATACGCAAATACTCTTAATTTTCTCTTTTTAGCGAACACTTAATTTACACTCATTCTATAAATACCATCAAAAATCATCTCTCTTGAAAATAGTCACTTATTCTTCGCGAAAGCAAGCTCAATGAAATGAAGCCTCGTGCATCGCACTTTTCAATTGAACGATTCAATTAGCGACATTTCATAATTGTCCCCAAAGACGATTAAAAAATATTTTTCTCTTGATAAAAATCGATGAATCATGCTTGCGCTCGTGTCTTTCGCACGGGCGCTTTACGTGTCATCTATAAAAAATACCCAGAGCGGTGCGCAAAAACTCTTTCGCATCGAAATTGGCGGCGCACATTTCATTGATGGTTCTGTGAAAACTGCCTCGCACAGTTGCATTATTTCCGTCGTGTCGCGTTCATATGGGGCAATAAATGGCGCCTTGACGCGAGCTAGCTTGGACACGTCCAAAAGAATCGATCGTTACTTCCATTCGACTGAAGCGGCGTGAACGAATAAAAGGGATAGCGAGCGGCTCGTTTGCTTTTGCTTACGGGCGTGAGACTAACCGTTCTGGCTCAAAGGATCGGCTATGAATTGCTTGGCCTGCACAGCCACTTCTTCGTCGAGCGCTTTGGCCGCTTGGTCCCTCACGCGGTAGACCAGCATCATCGCCAAGGCACCCATGATGGGCGGCACTCCTGCCAGCAGGAATGGCAATCGATACGATTCTGCAACGAGACGTTCGTTCATATGTCTGTCGTTCGTCATATGTCTGTCAAAGTGGGATCGTCGAGCGAGCGGCGGCAGAGAGAATAAAAACGATAATTACGCGTGTGATCGTAGATCATGCCGGCGACCGGTGGTCCAACGGTCAGCGGCACCGAGCACAACCCCAGCAGGAATCCGATGGCCTGAGAGGCGCCTTTCTCCCCGCAAATGTCGAAGGCAATGGGTCCAAGCAGAGAAATGAAGCAGCCGTCGAACAGTCCCATGCCGAGTAGTATCGCGACGAGGCAGGGGAAGGAGGTGGTGAACGGAAGCATCATCGTCAAAATGCCGATGCTCACGAAGGATATCTGCAACGCGAGCGGAGGCGCGGCTTCTTCATTTCTATTTCTGCCTCCCGATCGAATGATCGAATACCCTCGTGAACTCGCGAACCACCAACATTACCTGCTGCAGGAGTATTCTGTTGACCCTCGGCAAGTCGGCGATGTAGCCGAAGATGAGTCGGCCGATTCCGGAAGTGATGCCGATACACATCACCGGGATCTTGTCGTCGCTCTCCGGGAAGTTCACTCGAACGAACTTTCCTATGTGGACGTAGGGTACGAAGTACCTGCAGGCAGAGCGTTGTTCGGACGGCTCGCGCTAAAGCAGAGCTGTTACTTTCGGCGCAACTTACCCGAAGAGGGCGATGGGGATCGCGCACGCCCAGACGACGTACTTCTTTCTCTTCCAAATCGACTTATTGATTAGCTCCTTGATCATGTCGACGAACCTCTTCTTTCTCTCGATCACTTGGGACTCGTCGGGCGACAGTGCCGCACCTACGAGATACAACACGACGATCACCGATCTCGGACGTTCGTCGCGTGTCGATCGCTTTTGCAATCTTCTGAAAACTCACTCTGTATGGGCTTGAAGAGTATCGCCGCCAACATGACGGCCCCGCACAGCACAGCGAGGCTCCTGAAGGTGCCCTCGAGGCCGTAATTCTTGAGCAGGTAGCCCATCAGGTAGGGCAGAATGGTGGTAAACACCGAGCTACCGGCAGTGACGATGCCGTTGACCAAACCCAAACGCCTCTTGAAGTAATGCCCGAGAATCACCAGGCTAGGCGTGTACGATAAACTCGCGCCTACCCCGTAGATCACGCCGTAGGTCAGATAAAGGCACACCACGTTGTCGGCAATCAGCGACGAGATGTACATGCCGCTGGCGGTCAAAGCACCGCCGAGGAACGTCGTCAGCTGGATGCCGATTTTGTCTGTCAGGATACCGGAAATCGGCGACAGGAAGAATGTCGCGCCGATCGTCAACGAACCCACCAACGCTGCATATTCGGATGTCGAAAGATTTTTTTATGTAGCTACAATAGGATTTCATGTAAGTAGCACTATCAGTCACCGGGGCTCAGTTCAAACCACCATCAGTCGTAATATTTATAAGCAGATTCATATCAATGGTATTCTGTGATAAGTAAAACAGTTATAAATCCGGTATCAAGTAGACGGACCGGTATAGCAGTATCCACATTAATTTTTCACATTCAACAAGGACAATTAATGAATCGGAATAAAAGCGATGATTAGCCGTGCGTTATTTTACTGTTATTCAAAGCTACATTGGACTTTGGAAAATGTCGGCAAACCTGTATATTACAAAGCGATATAATTTATAAAAAAGAATAATATAAAGTTTCCCGATCGAAATTCCAACTGAGACGATAATTGCATCTGCAACATATTGAATTTATCACTTTCGTGTATTTCAATCAATTTTATTGCCTACGAGATAACTAAATTTCAGCTCGGAAAATGTCGCTTCAGTAAAGCCGATCAATGAAAAAAATCCGATAAATTTCGTCTCTCTCTCTCTCTCTCTCTCTCTCTCTCTCTCTCTCTCTTTTGCAACGCCGATAAACTGACGCAAAAATTGCAATCTATGCGTTACGAACGCGATGCGACGCTCACGCAGCGCCGCGCAAACGATTGCGATGCACGTCATTTCATTGTTATTCTAGCCGCGATTACTACGATAGAATTGTAAGCCATTCATAACTTTTGAAATATACATTTTTTCAAAATATGACAAGAGACCTTTTCTTCTTAAAATCAGCTGAATTGTCTGTAAAACATTGTCCAGATCGAAAAAACTACTTATTCCCAATTTGTTTAAACGATTAAGATTCAAACAAAATGTAGCATTTATTTATTTACTTATTTTCCACGAAGTAATCGACATATTTGGATTCAGCGGGTCAAAATACATATAGAAGTGCACATTTTATTTGCTTGGATATAAACGGCGACCTACCCGCCTTCTGAACTAGTATAGAGAAGCTTTTTAAGCGATGATCCATCAATTTATACTTTTGATCCTTGTCCGACAAAGTCCCTGATTGACAGTATAACGTTAATAGAGCAAAGTTACAAAAATCAATTGACGTTCGGTCTGTTATGAATGACGATTCGAACGAGCGCACTAATGTTTGTTATGCTTAATAGATTTACAACTGTTCTACTTAGACAATCGATTGCATCTGCCCTGTTTATGATTGATCGCGTTCAATGTCAAGCATTCTTTCCCGAGTAATTGTCATGCGTGCGAACAACGATCGGCTCGACGATTTCAACGGTGGAATTTGTCGTGAACGTACGGTCGGTCGATGTCACGTTTTCGCATGCTCGTAATTCAAGTGAATTATCAATTCACAGAAAGTATAGCCGCAAGCGCGACGAATAAAAGTACCAGCGGAGATAATCGAGCAGAGCCAAAATAAGATCAAGATGCCACATCCGATAAAGCACGTCGAATGCGACAATTGATAATCGAAGCGTTTCCGAGAAGAAGAGCGAGCGCAGTTTTACGTGCCCGCGCGATACGGATAAATTCGATTAATTGACGATTACGTGGGCGGTGATCTTTGCGAACGGTGATTAACCCGTCAGCTCAATCGTTTCCTTCGCCGCATCAATACTCTCGTGGTCCGCTGCCTCGAATATACGTCGTCGTCGAAACTACTCGGTCGGCCGAAAAGAACCCGCGTAGCGACGTAGCGTCGGCAGTCAATCGACGAGGCTCTCTTGACTGACCTCGCCGCTGACAATGATCATTTCACTGATTTGCCATCAAAGCGGTGCCGAGAAAGTCCAATTGCCGAATGGTCGTCTCGCGCCTGACGCGTGATTGATGCCCATCCGTTCAATGAGCGGCAACACTGTGCGCGTAGCTCTCCGTTAATTATGCGTCGGCAGCGAATGAAATTAGGTGCGTGCGGACCCGATATAAATTCCGCGAAGAACGCGCCGCCGCGATCGCGCGCCAAACGGACCCGCTGGCTCGGTGACGGAGAACGCGATCGCTATGCGACTGTCGGGGGAGGCGCATCGGTGGCTTGGGCGATCGACCGACGGTCGGAGCTTACCGGCTTTCGTGGAGGCTTCATCCTCGCCGGCCGATTTCAGTCGCTGCTGCAGCTCCGTGTAGATGAGCGAGTAGCTGTTGATGATGCTGAACAGCACGCCGTTGATCACGAAGCTGCCCAGCATGATGGACCAGGCCCTGAGTTTGGTCAAGGAGAAGCTCGTGTAGTGGTCGGCAATCTCGCCACGCCGCTGCCATCGAAAAGCAAGAACGAACCTGAGGCCGCCGTCGGGTGGCTCGTTGGGGGATCTCCTGCTGCCATTGGCTTCCTGCGCCTTGCTCGTGGCGTCGATGCTCATGGAGACGGCGCGGCCATTCTCCTGCGTGGCGCGCGATCCGACGATCACGGGCTTCTTGTCGTCGCGGCTCGCCTCGTCCTCGCCGAGCAGCGTCGCCTCCCGATGGCCGTTCTTCTCGCCGTCGCCATCGACGTCCAGCAAGTCCGCCGTCGTCATCGTCCTTGGCGCCCGTTGGCTGCTGCTGCAGGCCAACGAACCTGCGGCACACGCAGACGCGTTCGTTCTTTGCCGTGCGCTTCGTCTGTGCGGCTAAATTATATCCGCGGAGGGGATCGTTTTCGGTGGCAACTGGAGGCGCGAGATGCAACGCAGATTGATCGAGTCGTCCTCTGAGTCGCACCGCTGGTCGAGAACTTTTAACCGTAGTTACGTATTAAGGCTCTCTTACACGAGGGCGGAAAAACGTTCGAGCGGCAGCGGACACCCCTGAAGGAGAAAATTTGTCCGCCAGTGTCAACCGACAATTTTCCGTCCGACAGCGGACAGACTTTCTCTTTTTGGGGCGTCCGCTGCCGCTTGAATGTTTTTCCGCTCCCACGTGGTCTCACTTCTGACGAGTAGAAAACCGTTACCGCGTTGTCCAAACAGAAATGAAGCCCAGCGGTCGGAAATTGTCCGATGGACAAGGCGCGGCGAAAGGCAGTGACGACGATCCGACAGGCGATTTTGGCTCGGTGGTGCCGGGAAAGGACGCCGTACCGCGAGAAATGTCGATTCAACGATCACTTTGGCCGTGGCCGTGCGACCCGTGGTATATATATCACTCGTCATGTACCGCGACGCGCACGTCCTCTCTCTCTCTCTCTCTCTCTCTCGCCCTCTCTTCCGTACCACGATAATTGACGAAACAGCGGTCATCGCTCTTGTGGACAGGTGTACGCATCGCTTGCGAATGGTGACCTTGCAGCGCAACGCGAGATTCTAGCCCGACCATCGTTCCGGCAATGTGGGGCTCTGTTTTCCATGCACGCTCGTTCGCTCGCTTTCGATAAGCCGCGCGCGCACGTGCTGCGCGTGTGACTTTGAACCCGGCGTTAATAATCTCCCTGATACAATTTGACGTCGAGGGTCCACGAGGAGCGACGATTTAGTTGCCGATATCAAATTTGCGTTGGAGGCACACTATCGCAGCAGCGCTCGCAAGCCGAACTTCGTGTTGCATCATTGCTCGACAGTCGTATTACTTCCTGATTCGATGCCGTGCGCGTGCGATTCTGTGCGTCGAATTCATCGAGCGTTTTCGTCGTGCTCTTCTTTCGCTACTCTTCAATATTCGACGCTCGCGAGCTTAACAGGAAAACTTGGCGACTGACCAAGAGATAAGTAGGCGCGCCGCTAATATCAGCTCACGCGGGTAGCTTTTAATGGCAATCGCCAGGCAAACCGGCAGCCATAATCGACTCGAATATTTATGCATATTTGACGGGCCGCATGTCACGTTCCGCGCGCGCGCGTTGTTGGCATTCTTCGGCAACGCTCTTTCGGCCGCGATTGTCTTGCCGAAATGCGGAAATTCATAGGAATAGAATGGTCAAAATAAGCCGTTGTTCGTCGCGCGAACGCAGAAGCGCCGACGCGTCGTCCAACCGCGGGAAACGAGAGGCAGCGGCGGAGATGCGAGCGCGCGCAATGACCGTCGGGCCGCGTGGAAGCTTCTTCGATGCGGCGCGACGGTGGCCCGCAAACGATCGCTACTCACAGTGAGGGGACTTGTGCGCGGCGAGAGGCTCAGCAGCGCATCTCCGGCAAAAGCTCCGCTGGACTAGGGGTCGGCGCGCGAGCGGCAGCGGCGGCAGCACCAAACTGTGCTGCTGCGGATAGACTGACGCCTGCGCGACCAAGCGACCGAGCGACGACCACCGCGCGTCGCGGGAATTTCGCACCGAGCCGCGCGGGGCAGCGCGCGAGCGCTCGAGCGCCGGCCTCATAGATACATCGCCGGCGCGGAAGAAAGGCCGGCCGGATAAAAATAGACGAGGAAAGAGCTATTAGCAAGCTCGCCTTACGATGGACGGTTGCGGCTCTGCGTGTGTCTCCGTTCACTGTGCGCGACGACTTTATCAAAGCGCCTTGTTTAATAAACAAACGCGTAAACAATCTCGTTGTAGCGGGACTTTGCCTCTATCGCTCTGGGGCGTCGTGTATCAATTGCAAAAAATGCTCTTCAGATTATGCAGTATACATTGTCGTTACGATTAAAGCTCGACTTTGACGACCACGCGCATGCAAAGGAGATGCGATCGGTGCACTAAGCTGCCGTTAAAGCGAGGCAACCGTTTGCGATCTTCGCGAGAATCACGTTCAGGTGCAATGACATCGGTTCATTGCTTCGATTCGTTCAGCGAGAAACGAGAACATTAATTTGATTAGCGCGTCAATTACGTAATTACATTTAAGTGTACGCCTCGTCGGAGCTCTCTTTTCAATGATGCCTTGCTGAAAAGCATATACCAATATACAGCAACTGTCTCTCTTTATTTTAGTAGAAGAATCGTAACTCTATTGAATCGACTGAAAAGCGAGATACTCGTAAGAAAACGCACACCCATTCTGCCTATTCAAGCCTATAAAGCTAATAATGTGGCATCCAAAGCGAATACGCCAGTACTCAACAAGTATCGATGTCTAGGCGTCGGCCAGCAAACGTCGCATGCAGAAGGAAAAAAAGTCGACGTGGCGTGTCTACTATGGGTGTGCATGCACGCGTGGATGTACGGCAAAGCCAAACGTGTGCGCAAATAATGCCGCAAGCCAAACGCACGCATAAAGCTACGCTCTTGAAACTCGAGAGCCTTGCGCTGCAGCGCAGAAGGAAAAGCTGCTGGCGTAAGCTTATTTTAGTCGGAAACGCCGCAGGCCGCTCGATGAATGCGATGGTTTGTTGACATACTTAGTGCGAAGGGAAAATGTGCGGCAATTCTTTTCTTGGGCGGACGTTTACATATTGCAATTACAAGCGGCCAGCAGCTGCTGATTGCTCGGCGAGGCCTCTCCGTTTCTTTTTACGATTAGATATTAGAGGAAAGTTTTTTCGCGATTGGTATCAGATCGATAACGAAGATTGGATCGGCATGATTGTTGCGCAAAGCGCTCGATTAAGTTAAATAAGCGTGATAATTCATTTTAATAAACAGCACGAGCCAACTTGCTAATTATCTACGCGAGTAATAACTTTACGCTTATTAAAATGGGCCATCATCTTTATCTGTACCCGATTGTGTAATCAAATTCTAAATTGATTCATTCGTTATTTGAGAATTAATGTAAACAAATATAAAAAATTGGCTAACAACATCATGCAAGTGCAACTTACAGGATACGAAAATGCAATTAACTATAGTACTGATTTATGCAGTAAATAATGAAAGAATATGCCGGTATTACCGAAGATTTGGTAATTGTTTTTTTTTTTCTTTTTGTTTACCATTAAAGGCGCTTGTCAGTATTAACTTATACTTTTTAATATTTTTTATGTAATTAAAAAAATTAATACAAAATTATGATCTTAAATAATGATTTTAAACAAAAATAACTGTTACAATATTATCTTACATTCGTAAAAATTGATCGTGAAAATGAAAGGTCATCACGAAATTACTTCTGATAATCCATTTGCATACTGAAATTCAGAATTATTTTCATATTCACACATATCCAAAGCGATAACGCAGCTTTCACGAACGACGCGTTTTTCGTCTTCCAAATATTTTTTTAAAATATCAAAACAGTATGGTGTAGCAATAGCACCCAGAGCTTCAGCACACTCATGCCGAACCATTTCATTTTCATGTGGATCTTCCAAAGATTCTTTCAAATGAGGTATACTGACTTCTTCTTGTAGTTGACCAAGTACAAATGCAACTTCATGTCGAAATAATGCACTGCCTGCCTTTAAACCTACAAAAATTTCCAATTTAACCTTCTACCGCAGGTCATAATGTTTTCAATATAATTACTGTAGATGCTAACCTTTTGCAAGTGCAAGAATACTTTCTTCGGTTCTCAAATTCCTCAATGAAAACATTGCTCTATACCTATCAAACAAAGATGCCTTTTCATCCAAAAGTACTTCTGTAAGTTCCTTCACATTTCTTGTTTCAGCAGGAGGAGCTGGATCGACTGAGGCATAAGGATTTTCAGATAGATTTTGTTCTCTATTTTTTGTTCCATTAATCCACTGTAATCTTTTCACAGCAAGTTCACAAGTTTCAGCAACTTCAATGGTTGGGTCTTTACTGTACTCTTCTAATACAGGTATAACACTAGTTTCTCCAATTGCTCCTAATGCCTCTCCTACCATAATTTAATGTTCTTTTTATGAAAGCATTCATTTCAATTGACTTAAAATAACAGATTTAAATAAAATAATACTAACCAGCTTCATGACGCACCATTGGTTCTTGATCTTTGTCTTTCAATACTTGTACAAGAACAGGTATAGCTCGTGTATCTTGCATTTGACCCAAACAATATGCTAACTCATGTTTTAATAGTTCTGAAGTATCACTAAAAGCTTTTGTAATTTGTTCAATTGCTAATTGTCCTCCTACATTTTTTAATGTAAACAGAGCACGGAACCTCTCCTTCAGAGGTCGAGTTTGATCATTTAAAAGATTACCTACAGATATGACCTTTTTGTCTGGGATGAATATCATTGTGATTATGACTTCAATGAACTGTGAAATAACAAAAATGGATTCTATTTAGCCAATGTATATTTAATGAAAATGGAATACTGCCTGGCATGTGAATCTCTAAATCTTTCTATGCGATTCTCGTATAATTCATAGTTTCGTTTTGATTGAGGAAATTTTGAGTTATAGGTATATTTGTCATTCATGTGCAAAGTGCATATGGAACATTAAAATGAGCAAGCATGTTAAGTGTAAAAAACTATGTTTATCTATGATCTACGTAATAGTGCATCTATTTTAAATTTGGTATAATCTCTAAGTCAAACGTTTATTACATTTTCATATACATATTGTAATATATTGATCGGTAAACCGATTGATTCAACTAACCTTATCAACACACGTGATTTGATTTCATTGAATATGCAACTGCATATATTATGCAATTCGCAACATAAACCAATAATAACTTGGAAATTAGGTTCTCAAAAGAGAATAGAAAGAAAATTAACTTAAGCGGTATTATAAAACAAATAGCCACCACTGATTCAACGACTGTCACCGTATATTTCTCTTACTAGCAGTAGGCAGTAACCACATAATTATATCATGAAGAGTGAAGACTGAAGACTGTGTATAGGTAGTGAGGGCTGATGGGCGATAGCTATCACTATATAGACCAGACGTCACGCGACACTATGAAGTTGTCAAATGATATCAAAATTACCAATTTTCAATTTGGAATTTTTTATCTTTAATTAGAAAATAAGTAGAGCTACTAACGTGATATATCTATATTATTACTGAAACGAGACTATATTGCTGTTATTGCTACTCAACATGCTGTTGAAAAATTTTAGAAATAATAATAATGAATTTCTTAAACTTATATTAGAGATGGCAAAGCTCAATCGGTACCAGCATTGCCGCTGGAAAAATTTTTTTTAGGGTCCCTAAAAATTATCCCTTTTGTGAAAAATTTTTCCAACAACAACGCTGATCAGTAAAATAAATAAACGCTGCAGCCATTAGACTCAGTTAGCTCAGACTATATTTTATTTATGATTTTCTTCTAAAAATCGTCTAATTGAAAGTCTAATTATTTTCTGAAAATTAAAGTAAAAAAAAGTGAAATTTGTACTGTACTGTAGCCTATGCACGAACTTTTCGAACGAATTTTATAGCTCCATCTACTGGATCTTGAGCTGACCTATACTAGCAGAGAGAACAGCAAAAAAAAAATAACTTAGTCAATGAAGGTTAGGCTTAAAGCAAAGGGCTCCCGTAGGTTCACCCCTGCAGTTAACCCGAAGTGGGTGTAGGATATACCCTAATATATCCTAGCACTGGGTTGGTGTATCGTGAACTATGTTCATCTTTTTTAGCCCTCATAAATTTAAGTTTTCTATGTCATTCGTTGAATAATGTCCAAAATGAGAGCCCAAGACAAGGACAATAAAACTCTCCCTGATAAACTTAAACAATTTTTTCGCTTGAATAAAGGTAAATCCCTAGATAAAAGAACAAAATCGTATATTTTGTACAAATTACATTTTAATTTTATAAAACAACCTTTATTACTTAGGAAATTTCAAAAGTAGAGAAGATATTACACTCACTCATGCTGTCGAAAAAGAAATTAGCTCCAATAGTCCAATTCATAATCGTACAAAGGCTATTAAAGACTTAAGTGAAGCAGTACTAAATAATCAATGGGAAGATGTAAGTTTTTCTCTTGATAATTATATAAGTCATATTATTTTAGAATGTTCTTATTGTGTGACCAATTTATTGAAACTTTAATGTGATCGTTTACAGTGTGCAGCAGAAAAATTGTGGTTTCTTGTTCAAGATTTACTTGGGCAGGATATTCCTAAGGAGCATAGACATATTACTTTAAATTTTTTAAAATGTCTGATTCAAGGACAATATTCAAGACTTTCACCTCTTATGAGAGTAAAATTTTTTAAGGTAATTAAGGAGCATGAAATTTCAGAAGATTTAGGATTAAGGTAATTATTCATCTGTCAATAAAAAGAAAAATCATGGTCATTGTAATATAATTAAATACTTATTCCAGATTAGAGTTATTGCAGAGCTTAACAGACAATGGGAAAGATATTGTGCACTTAGAAGAAAAAATGGCTCCTTTCCTTTTAGAGTGGATGCCCATAATAACAGGAGCAGATGGTAAAAGAGGTGCAGAGTTTTTGTCACTGCTAGTCAATATCATCAAGTTCAATTCCGCTTGCATAGATGAAGATATGATATCAGGATTTGTTCAGTACATTTGCCATTTGTGTTACTACAGCAATAACACAGAAGTTGTATCCGCAAGCTTGGAAGCCCTTGATGCTATTGTGTGTTACAGCAAATTACAGCCTGACTCTCTGCAAACGTTTATTATTGCTTTATGTCGTAGTGTTAATGTTGAATGTTATTGTCAAATTAGTTGGAAAGTAAGTGTTTCACTTAATTTTACTCAGTTTTTAACCTATCCTATTTACATCATTGTTTACAAATTGCAGATAATGCGTAATTTGTTAGGAACACACATGGGTCATTCGGCACTGTACAAAATGTGCTATTTACTTCAAGAGCCCAATTTCCAAAAAGATGTGAGGCTTCTACGAGGGGCTGTTTTTTATATAAATATGGGCCTATGGGGTGCTCATAGAATCCCTAAATTAAAATGTACACCGTCATCTGTTTTACCATCGTTTTATCAAGCTTTACTCTGTAATCATCCTATAGTTATGTATGAAGTAACGTTATCTATTCAGAGACTGGTCAACAAATATGGTAACGAACTTGAACAGCCAACCTGGAGCATTATTTTGAATATTATTGAACAAGTTATTGCACATACAGGTGACTAATAGCTTTACTGTAATTCCATGTAGAATAGTTTAGTTTCTAAATTAAAAATTCTTTTTTTAGAAAGTAGTAACCAGCCAGCAACCAAGCAAGTTTCGACAAGTTTGCACGAAACAATTAACAGCATTGAAAATTTGCTTGATTGTAATCATTACAATGGGAATGTTCAAAGATTTTATGAACTTGTTGAACGTTGTTCTGATGCTAGATCAGTAAGCTTATGAATTAAAATAAATGTATATTTTACTAAAACCGCTTTTACTCAGGATATACATGTTTGGCAGGAATGTTCAGTTCTCAAGCTTATTGACTATAGAGCTTCAATGATTGGACCAACTTATCATTTGTGGCAATCAAAATTGAGTTCGTTACTTGAGCGTTATTACAAAATTGAAACGAGAACTAATATTAGACTAAAAGTTCTTGATGTTCTGGCCAACGTTATCCAAATAAACAGGTAAGGATTTTCAATTTTTCAAAGCAAGTAAATTTTATTAAATACTCTTTTAATATTCAAATATTAATCAGATCTAGATATGAAGACGAAATGATAGAACGCATTGTAATACCCCACTTGCAACATGTTGAAATAGACCCTGATGTTTTTATTCGTCATTTTGCTGCTCGCCTATTAGTTGACTTATGTCTCGAATGTGAATCAAAAAGATGCCTAGAATTGCTTGATATATTAGAAAGAGTAAATATCATCTACAAATTGCACAAAACATACATAACATATATGTACAGAAGCCAATTTTTCTTATTTTATTTCTTAGATAATAAATAAGCCATTCAGCTTAGAGACCCCCATACAAATTGACACAGACATCAAAGATGTTAAAACGGGCATTACTGGAGTAATCAAAATTCTCACTCAGAAAGTATACAGTTTACCGTCGAGTCACGCTATCCGCGCATACCAAGTACTTGTAAATCATTTAGAATTACATTATCAAGATCTTAAGGAAATTTTTCGAGAAGTGTCTACAATTCGATACTTGGTATGTAAAATAATATACATCTCCAGTCAAAGATTTTTTAATTTTCCAACGTTGTCTTTAGATTTTCGAATGCTTTTTGAAAGCGAGAGCAAATGCACTTGGTCATCTTGGTTTTCAAAATTCAATAACGGGAACAGTGGGTCGCTATAGCCCTTATTTAGTCATAGAAAATGCTGCTCTTACAACAAGTAACACTGGAGCTAGTCCACCTCCAGCAAGTCCTGTTCCCATGCAAAGTGGATCTTCTCAAATTACAACGATATCGCTGGCCTACGCTTGCAAGGCTGTGACTACGGCAATCAAGCAGGAGAAAGGTGTTGTTATTTTTTCAAGTACTGATTGTGGTTCAAATATTAGTTTGGTCAGATGCTCATTAAATTTTTTTTCGTAGATTGGAAAGTTTTGCAATTAATACTAAAGGAGCTACCTCAATTATTACAAAATCGATCATTAATTTTGTCTCGTCACAGTAACGATATCGGCTCTCTAGCATGCGCACTATGCTCCATGGTATATTGACATATAAAAAATTAAACCCTGTTTTACGGTATGACTAAAGTAATAGAATAATTTTTCTTTATAGATCGACGATAAGACTTTCAGACCAGCAGACTCTCTGCAAAATGTATTATACAATGTCCCTCCAAAATTTACTTTCTCCGAGTTTCGCGTACAATTTTTTCCTGTCCTAGCGTCTTGTACATCTTACCACGCACATTTTGATTTAAATACTCAGCAGCGTTTAATAAAATGCTTTGAAGTAAGTCGTTTATCCTTCGTTTGCTTGGTTTAGTAATTTTTCTTCTAAACTAATTCAACATTTATTATTACAGGATGGATTACGTACAACATGCGCAAGCCAATGTGTTACAAGCCTGATGACTTGCGCTCTTGAAATGAGGGATGCAATGAGCAAACTTGTTTCGAATGTTTTGTTGAGCTTGTCTAAAATATCTGATACTGTTCACATTGCTATTCCAATTTTAGAATTTCTCTCGAGTGAGTATTTACAAATACTAGGTCTGAATTGAAAGATTAATTTTTTAAATGACGATTTAATTCTCTATAGCACTAACGCGACTTCCAAAGGTCTATGCAAATTTTACTGACGACCAATATATGTCGATATTTGCCATAATGCTGCCTTACATAAAACCAACAAAATACAATCATTACACTGTATCGCTGGCTCATCATGTTATAGCTGTATGGTTTTTGAAATGTCGTCTTCCTTTCAGACGTAATTTCGCTGAATACATTACCAAGGTAAGAATATTTTTTTTATTTTGTGGTAAGGAATGTGTATTAAATTAGATATGCTTTGCCCAGGGTCTGAAACAAAACGCTCAAATGCTTTTGCAAGAAGGAAACATATCAAAGCCAGATGTCAGCCTTAGCAACGAAGATTCATCCAATAGAAAACGTAGCTCTAGTTTGACTGAACAAGTGAGTAAAAATATTCATTATTTATCCGTAACGTTTGGAATACTAAAAATATTGACTAATATTTTGATTGTCAGGGAAGCAGAGCAAGAAAGTTTATCAGAGAAAATAGAGCTTTGGATTTGAAGCCACCGATAGACAAAACACTCATGAACTTCCATGTTGAGCTTACGGAAACTTGTATAGATTTGATGGCGCGCTATTCATACTGTATGTATTCTGCTCGCCCAAAAAGGTTTGTAATCAGTTTTATTCTTCCTTTATAATATATCTTAGTATTCGCTCCATTTCTAATCTAAGTAAAACCTGTTCTATAGACTATTAGCCGCAGACTTTCTTTTGAAAGACGGCAATTCGCTTACGTGGATTCTTGGCAATAAGTTGATAACGATAACAACAAGTGGCTGCAGTAACAAGGCTATGCGTGGTCCCTTGTGCGACAATTGCTGGGCTGCTTGTAAAGCTCACCCAGCAGACCAGACGCGTTCCAGTCACTCGAGTCTTCTTCGCGCTTCGAGTATCGACGGAACCCGTGAAGACAAATTGTCACGTCAATCGTCGGGTGGTCATGCAAGCTCCAGTGCCAACACTGCTTGCAACTCACCCACAGAGGAAAGCAAGCGATCGCTCGATGAAGTCGATTCTAGCAAAATTAAAGATGAAGAGCAACAACAGCAACAGCAAAGCGAGTCTCAGAAACTCGAACAGATGATGAATGCCGATAAGCAAGAGGAACATCAGCCATGCGCTTGCTGGTGTCAGGGATGGGCGGAGATATACGTGAGAAGGCCAACCGGAGAGATGTCGTGGATTATGAGGATACAGAATTCTATTCATATGGACACACCATACGATCTACCGCTGGACAACATCACAGCGCTATATATGCCTACAACTGAGATGTTTCCCCAGAAAAGCCAAGATCAAGCGTTTGAGTTTCCTGAAGATGAGATTCTGGTAAGTTTTGATAGTTGGCTCAATCAAAATAAAATTGATAATCAAATTTGACGTAGTTTGCGGCGGAAAAGATAGTCGATACGGCTCCATCAGAAGCAAGCAACATTTCTAGGTCTGGCAATTCATCTACCACTGGACCAATCGATATTCCAGGATCTCCTGCAAGGCCCAGTCCGTCCAGACCTAGTCCTCGTGATAGTCTTGAAAGTTTAGAGGAAGGCGAGGAAGGTGGGTAAAGTAAAATATATAGGCAAAATTATATCTTATATTTTCATTTATTTATTTTAGAATCAAGAAAATCACGTAATCCAGTACGTAGGTCGAACTCCAGTCCCGAAATGAGTTCCAACTGGAAGAATCCATTTTTAAGTAAAGAGAAGCTGAGCATACCACAGGATAGAGACGATAATGCTGATTCGGATGTTAAGACTGAAGCTGATCTGAAGAAACACTTAAAAAATACTTATTCCAAAGATATGAGGTATGTTTTTCTGTTAAGCCAAAGTGATTGAATATTTTATTATAGCGTATTCGTCATACTACAGAGTTAGCTGCGAGGCGATACCGGAAGAAATATCTGGTATGGGCACTACACCACCATCAACTGAAAATTCTGGAGAACAGCATCCCTCAGGATTATTGTCGCAAAAATCTTATCCAGGTGCGAACGCCGTTCCGCAAACAACGACTACTTCGAGTAACACAGTACCTCCGTCGCCTACAACGAGTTTAGTAAGTATAGTTCGAAAATTAATTAAATCATTTTGCTATGAAATAGTTTGTAAACGAGAGTATTCTTTTCAATAGCCTCCAACGAATCTACTCACGTCACAGTCGCAGCTTAACACCAAACCACCGCAATCGCCTACACAAGTTTACTCCAGATTAACGAGCTTAGATTCAAGCCACAATCGACAGTCTTGGGTTGGTGACTCAAAACCTCCTATTGGTCGAAATCTTTTTATGGACAAAGTAGGTTTGATTACTCGTATTTTCAAAATATAGAAGTCATAATTGATTTATTGCAATACACAGTTTAGAGAAGATAAGGCAGATCCATCGGCATTACCGCCACTCGGTTTTCGAGATCGCGGCCACACGATTTCTGTCATGAGCCCGGCAAAGATCAGACGAAATAATTCGCCTCGTATGAAAGATTCACCGGCACAAATGAATTTGCCCAATAATAGGAGTAGTGTCAATCCTAGGTAAGTTATTTCGAGATTTTTATTTGTTACCCAAACGGAGTAAATTAATTATATGTATTTATATTACAGCTCGGTGTTTTTACAACTTTATCATTCGGCACACTTTGGACCAAATTCAGAAAAGCCGCTATTAGTTCCTCAAGCCAATGCACTTTTGCAAACATCTATTACAAACCTGGACAGGATACAACCATATGAAACTCACAAGATCGGAGTGCTTTACGTTGGCTCAGGACAAGCGCAAAATGAGATTGAGATTTTAGCGAATCAGCATGGGTCATTTCGTTACGCACAGTTTTTGCAAAGTCTTGGTACGCTCATACGACTGAAGGATGCTGGTGAAAGTATCTTTCTCGGTGGACTTGATCGCAATGGCGAGAACGGAACTTTCGCATACATTTGGCAGGACGATGTGACTCAGGTGGCTTTCCATGTGGCAACTTTGATGCCTAGCAAGGCTAGTGATCCTAAGTGCACTTCAAAGAAACAGCACATTGGGAATAATTATGTTTCAATTGTATATAATGAGAGCGGTGAACCGTACAATATACAGACTGTCAAGGTAAATTCTGAAATTCCGAATAGCTCTACAAATTTTGATGGCATAATCATAATTCTTCGGTTATTTATTATTTCAGGGGCAATTTAATTATGCTTGCGTTGTAATTCAACCACTAGATCACGGAACTAACATAGTGACAGTACAAGCACGAGATGAGCTTAAAGAACACATTGGCCACAGTGAACCTAAAGTAATTTCCGATCAAAATTTAGCTATTCTGTCCCGTCAATTGGCTCTTCATGCAAATGTGAGTATTTTTATTTTTATAATAATCAAAATTTTTGACGAAAATTTAATTGGATTTTTTTAGCTGGCTTCAATGGTTTGTTCTTCTTTAAAACAACAAGATCGCAATCCTTATGCTTCAAATTGGTTGGAGCGTCTACGTCACATAAAGCGTTTGAGAAAACGTATTTTAGAAGATCTGCTCAGAAAAAATCCAAGCGACAATGGAATTAAAAATACCCTAGAGGAAGAAGATAAGTTGAGAATTGTGGACGATATTGTACAAGACTTCACAGATTTCACAACTTGAACGGATTGTTTTTGTAAAATAAGTTATTTAGTGTTTTTTCATTTTATGATGTATGCGAAAACGTTGAATGCCGGACTGAGTTAGATTTATTTATTATCAAATAATAAAATAATTATTTTTCTCACAATTTTAATATTATTGTTATTACTTCAAAGTTAAAGATACTGCAGGATGTTGTGGGGATGACCATCTTTTTATCTAAAATCTACCAGATAATAATTGCGTCGGTTTGTATGCTTGCGATGTCGGCATTGTCGGCAAGTTTTGAGAGACGAACAGTATACAGTAGTGTAGTATAGATAGATTATATGCCGCATACGCATAACCTCTTGTCCTTGCGATTTCTGATTTTCTGATTACTAAAAAAGTGTAAACATTTGAAAATTTTACTTGTTTAGTTTTGTTATAAACATGTTTGTATTATTTATATTATCGTTGTTGGTTAGTACAATTTATTGTGGACCGGAAGAGTTAGAAGGAGTAAAATATGCAGATAAATGCGAAGGTTTATTTTTGTTTTGATAAATTTTTTCTAAGAATGATAACTCTAATAATGATAAAATTATCACTAAACTTTCTTATCACACAGTCTGTAGAGTAGTTGCTACAGAACTGGAAGCAAGATTAGATGAAACAGGAAAAACTAGTGATGTTTTAGAAATTGGATATTCAGTTGACGATGTTGCTCCAAAAAAGAGAAAAGAATACAAAAAATCGTAATTAACATTTAGGACAAACAAATTTATTTAATTCAATTGAAATATACTAAAATAAATATCATTTTCAGAGAGCTAAGATTGATAGAATCATTGGAAAATGTATGCGAGAGAATTTTAGAGTACAATATTCATAAAGAAAGGACTGATAGTACAAGATTTGCTAAAGGAATGAGTCAAACTTTCAAAACTTTACATGGTCTAGTGTATGTTCATATGTACTCATTTATTTATCAATATTTATAATTTTCTATATAATTGTTATTGTATTTTCAACTTTCAGTGACAAAGGTGTTAAAGTAGAACTAGGTATACCATATGAATTATGGGATAATCCCTCAGCTGAAATAACAGATCTGAAAACTAAATGTGAGGATTTACTTGAAAACCATGAGTCAGATATTGAAGAATGGTATTATCACCATCAAGGAGATATTGCTTTAACTAAGTAAGATGATTATTGTTGCTTAAGTTCTGTACATAGTTTGTAATAGAATTAATATTGAATAATTTATTTCAGATATTTATGCTCAGAAAGAGCTTTAAAAGAAAGTGATGACTCTTGCCTAAAAGATAAAGGGGATGTAGAAAGTTCTGATGTTTCAAAAGAAGAAAAGAAATCACAAAAGAAAGTTCCAGATGAGTTGTAAACTATTCACTATTATGATTTACTTAGAATACTTGAATTTTATGACTTTGAAACATGACAGTTTATCCAGCACTGCTTATGTGCAATATGAGAGTTAATTACCATGTGATAGTATTTTATATTTATAAGATTCAAGATCTCTTTACATAATTAGATCATTCCAGGAACAACATTCATTTAGAAACATTTTTAAATGCCATCTATATAATTCAATCACGAGTATTCCTGTTTAATATCTTATTTTATTAACAACAAAATACAACTTTTCAAGAAGTAATTTCACAGATCAATTTTTCTTTCATTCTACTTTAAAACTTCAACATTTTCTTGTCTCTTTTCACCTTTTACCCAAACTCGCTTGCCTCTTAATGCCCTCAATCTTTGATACTCTTCTTTGAAATCTTGATGTTCATCACGGAAAAGACCATACCATCTAAGATTTTTCATTAAAACATGCGATTCTCTTAGCCGTGGATAGTACTGTACAATTTCTTCTCTCTTATTAACAGGCTTCTCGCTGAATAGTTTGACAACTTTCATCGATTTGGAATTTGTATCTCGCACAACTTCTCCAAATATTCTGTTACTAAGACGATTCATACGCTTTGCGTAATTCGTTGTGATATTCGCGAGGTCAACGTACTTGCTCATTGTTTTTCCTAAGTTATCAAATTTTATCAGTGGCTTGTTAATATTTTCTAGGTTAGAATAGCTTCATTGGAATTTTCGAAGGCTGTTGAATCGATTGATTGACAACTCGGTCATCGACGACTGAAATAGTAATATAGTAATATTTTTAAATAAAATAATTTAATGTTATTTTTTTAAATACATAATATTGCAATAAAATAAACGTTATATATACCCAACAAGTAAATATGCAGGCAAGTGCAGCAGACTGATACTTTTATCTAACATCTCATCTGCAAATTTAAAAAGTATCTAGTATCTAATCTGTTTAACGCGCGCCAGTAGAATTATTTTACGTAACATTAACATTAAAATTTTAATCCAAAACTTGTAAATTAATTACAAATCCCGTTCCAATGTAGGTTTAATTGAACTGAAAATAAATAAAATCCATTGTTGATCCTATATTAATAGTTGAGAGGTAAGAAATATGAAAGTGAATATTTTTATTCAAAATATTTATTTTACAATAAATGTTAACATTATTCCATCATCATTCACTAAATGATCGTTTGATTATCGAAACTATAGAATGTTTATTATCTTTGACAAAAAATCTGTCTAAACTGGTCAATGTTTATTCACGCGCAACAGGAATAATATATCATTCGTTCAACAGTTTCTTTACACGATATGCGTTTTAATTCAAGCATACTTTTGCACTCGGAAAAATTTGAAGTTTCATGTTGGTAATTATGTTATCAATTTTGTTGTAGCATCGTTTACGCAATCAAAAAAAAACGTAGACAATTGTAAATAAAGGGAGAGAGAGAGAGAGAGAGAAACAGAGAGAAACAGTTGAAATTACAAATTCAGTCGACTTTAATAGAATCAACGAAATCATTCTAATTGAAATAGGAAGGCACGAACATCGTGGTCATCCGCGACAGAATGCTTACAAGCGTAATACTGAATGAGTCGTTAACCACATAAATCAACATGTCTGCCAATACCGGCAGCTCGCGTTAAAAAGAATGTCTTTATAGTCGGCACTGGAGTTCATGGCGCGTAGCAAGGTCACAGTCAACGGAACGATTCAACGATGAACGCATACTGTCCGCTCTTTCGCACTAGAACCCAAGAAAAATCCTCATGCGCGATGATCGTCATCTTGTTCGCATTGGCAGTCGAGCGGGGTCAAGCAGATGAAATCGCCGATTCCTTTTCCGGTTTGTCCGCGTCCTTTCTCAAGCCCACGACTTCGGCTTCCTCGATGGTGTCGGGTAGTTTGGTACCCAGGGTCTCCGGGAAATTGAGCGACAAGAGGCCAGCCGTCAAACTCATGCTTCCGAAAAGTAACAGCGGCAGCCCCTCGTAGATGTACTTCGCCTGTCGACATAGCATTCGCCCATGAATATTTCATCGGGCGACTTCTCTACGGGCGTTGCGCTGATGAATAATTTGTTGCAACATTCGAAGCGTATTCTTGCACAAGCATTCGCGTCGCTGTTCAAGCGGGGCATAATTTATCGGTCTGTTACCTAATGCCAGTTGGTTTCTGATGCACGCGTCGTTAGATTTCGCCACCTAACAATTGGAAACGAGTGAAACCAACGTACCAACAGAGGCGTCTGAGGCGCCAAAATAGATCCGATGCGACCGGTCATGCTGCAAAAGCCCAAAAGTGAATGCCTCAAGGTCGTGGGGAACAATTCCGTGGTATACACGTACGAGGTGTTAAAGGCCATGGTGATGCAGCCTTTGCCGCAGATGTAAATGACGAGCGCGACAGTGGCCCAGATACCTGAAAGAAACGTTGAATTGTGATGCCTCGCGTGTGATCGGTCGCTCGGCCGAGGCGTCGGTCAGAAGCTCACCGCTGTCGGATTTAGGGAAGAACTGAATGACCAGACAGAATACGCCGCTGAGCAAGAAAGCACCGCAGAGCGTGGGCTTGCGGCCCAACTTGTTGAGCAAGGGCAACACGAGGATGTTGCCGGGAATCTCAATGGCACTGACGAGGATGAAGTTGACGTACTTGTTGCCGGCGAACTCGGTGGAGTTGAGCGACAAGCCGTAATAGACGAAGGTGTTGGTCAGCCAGCAAAACGAGCAGATGAGCAGTCGGACGAGGATCTTGGGGCTCTTGAAGATCTGCGCGACGCGAGCTTCCGGCTTGTTGTCGGCCAGCTCGGTCGATTTCTCGAGCCTCTTCGTCTCCTCCTCTTTCTGCGAATCGGTTGGACGGCAAACGTGAGCGGAATGCCAATGCGGCGTCGGATTTTCATTGATCTATCCGGCCGGGGACAAGGGGCAACGCAGCCTATGCCGCTCGACGCCACATGACGCCACATGACGCCACATGACGCCACATGACGCAACATGACGACACCGGTTTTACGCGGGAACACTTACGCTCTTCTCGCTGTCCACGCTCTTCAGCTCCATGAAGGCGTCCTCGGAGATGTTGAGCTTGTTCACTCGAGCCATTTTCCGGTAGACTTTATCGGCCAGGTCGCGCTTGTCGTTCGCCAGAAGCCACCTTTAACGAGTCGTTGGTTATATCCATTGCGACAAGCCAATCAGTCGACTATGCTCGATGATAAATACCTGACCGATTCGGGCAAAACGAAATTGAGCAGAATGACCAGCAGCCCAGGACCGTAGATGACCCTCATGAGGAGCCTCCAGTTCCTCGTCCACATGGCCGCGAGGCCCAGCCACATTTCGCCGATGGCGTAGATGCACGAGATCACCGTGCTACCGAGGATCCTCTTTTCGACTCCCGTCATCTCCATCGCTGCAACGCACAGCGTCGTATTATTCGAGAAATGGCCGGGCCAAGCCAACGACAATTCCCAAATCCGTACCGTAAATGAATCCGGAGCTGTAGATGCCCGCGGCGAAACAGGCGTCAACGAACTCGAACACGGCGAACATCCAGTAGTTGACGGAAAACGAGTGCACTAAACCGCTGAGTCCAGCGAGGCACGTGATGGTCGTGAGCACCTTGCGCCTGCCGTATCTAGGTGAAAGGGACGTTTCGGTCAAACACACCTCGAATCTTACTCTTTTCACGGGGGCGGAAGGGACGTTTTCATTTGTCTTTTAATATTACTTGTCCGAAAAGGTTGATGCGAAGGTCAATCCAACCAGTTGGCCCAGGTTGTTCAGTGTGCCGATGAGGGTCAGCTTCCACTTGTTTGCGTCGCATGTTATGCCCCACTGCGAAAAAACCCATTTACCCGTTTACTTGTAGCCTTTGACACGCTTGAGCAAACTGATTGTACGCGTATAGACACTGAATTAACGCCGCAAACAACTGTAGATATGTACAATGAAAAAAAATTTTTTCGATTTATTTTCCAAATGAAGCTAATACGGAACTACGGGTTACAGTCAAAGCTATTGAATTGTCTCGCATAGAAGCCCAATTAAGCTTGAAATACACCGCGCAGGTCTCGTTCGCGACATTGAAGGCCAGGTATATGATTTTTGCATTACTGCCGCACGATTTACTTCTCTCGAAATAAAAGCAAAAAGTTTTAGAATTAATAAGCAACGTGATTTTTGTCAAGTATGACTGATGTTGTGTGCAATTGTGTCGTTATTTTTGAAAATTGTGCTTTTGAAGCTCAACCAAGAAGAAGCGATTTATTTTTACGCGTGTACGGTACGAAATTTCAAGGTCGACCAAATGAAAGTTTTGCCCGTCGAAACTAAGATAATCTGCCATACGTAAAGTTCGCAAGTGCTTGTGAATCTTGAGCCGATTAGAGTCAAATCTAAAATTATAAAAAAAGAAGGAGGAAATGGTAATTAATGCGTGGAGAGAGAATCGTCGAGACCTGTTTTTCTTCGCAACAAGAATGTCAAGGCTTGCCGATAGCCACAGTCGTTAGCTCAAGGCTCGCCGCGCGAAATGTCGAGCAAAGGCCGCGCACGCACCTCATTGTGTATGGTGAGTTCGTCGGGGTCGTAAAGCCACTGGTCGCAGGGAATCAGCCGGTCCCTTTCGAAGAAATCCGGGCTCGCGCAGTCCTGCGCGCCCTGCCGGGCGCTCCTCGCGTAGCGCATGCAGTTCTCCTCGGGCAGCGAGTCGTTCAGCCAGAATTGAGCCGCGAGCGGCGTGCCGTCGGCGCGCTCGCACTCCGGCACCAGACACCTGCGCCGTGTGCATGTTTTCCAACGTGTGCCTCATCAGTATCCTCGTCTCGCGCGCGCTTTCGCGAGCGTCGCCGACTGCTCGATTGCGACACCGTGGCAGAGACCAACGACCAGTCGCGCTTTTCCCATTGGACAAACAGCGCCGATAAGATAATCGGATAACCCACGCTTCGCGAGATGCCCGTGTAGATCGCCGTTCGAATCGTCTGACCCGGAAAAGAAAAATGCGTCCAAGGCGTCGATACAAGCTGCTTTCGGTCGATCGGGAACGGCATGTTCAAATCATTTTGCAAATAGCACGTCGTCACTATTCAAATAGCGCGTATTCCGATACACCGATTCGAGTATTTTTTTGCTCTCCGTAGTAAGATTTGCCCGATGAGCAAGCGTTAACGAGTTTTTTATGCATCGCGTACACGCAGCAGTCGAGCGCGCTTTCACGAAGAGCGCAGCGAGACGTCGACGAGGCGACCGCGGACACAATACCTGTACTTGACTTCGCCGGCGGTGAACACATAGTCGAGGGTGAATCCCGCCGACAGTATGAGGGGCAGTGTGATGAGCACGTAAATGGTCAGCTGGTACTTGCCGAACTTGTCGATGTCGTGCATGTTGCTGGATAGCGCTCGGGCGGTGGGCTCTCCGTCGCTGGATCTCGATCCGCCGCTAAAGATCCGCAAATCGAGCATCGATTAATTTCGGCGACGCTCTCGCGGAATCGCTGCTGGCTAGTGGCATCGCGCCTCGCGTGCGCCGTGAGCGCGCGACGCAGGTGAACGACTGAGAGGTGCATCCATCGATCAGCGTGCACGCACGCCCCTTTGCGTGTGGCTTGCGATGACATGCGCAGAGGCCGGCGCGGGCCGGCGCGGGTCGGCGCGGGCCGGGCGCACGGACGCGAGCGCGTCTCTCGTCCTAACGAACGACTTCGGATTTGAAAAGCAGCCTCGGCGGCGTATAGCCCAGCGCGTAGATTGTCGTCTAATAAATGCGCTTACCGCCAACTCAATGGCGGTCCATAATGCGTTTGATTCAACGCCAATTAAGTATTTATCAACGCTGCTCTTTGTCGTCGCGTATACGTATATACGTATACGCGTCCGGCCGGATCCGACCCGTTTCCCACTTTGAGCCGTGCACAATGAATATATTACTGATGCAAAAGTTAGCGAGCTTTCGCAATCACTGCCGCATTCACGCCTGAATTCAAATTCAATCTTGCGACTTAATTGCTCGCCTCGTCGCCGTACGCGTTCACGTCGCTTTTCCAGACGAGCACGTCGGCGGGGTAGAACGCGCGAACAGCGAACCCTTGAAATCGCGCCAGCGCAGCTCGGGCGAAAGCAGAGAGAGAGAGAGAGAGAGAGAGAGAGGCGCGCGCGAGCTTCGCTCGGTCGGCTCGCGGAAATCGTGCCACTGACACGCGCGCTCGCGCGACCGGCAACAATAGCAATCAACATTTCCGATTCGTCACGGCAGCGCGCGACGGACAAAGTGCTTTATTCGCACGCGACGCAGCGCCAGGCGAACGCCGTCGAGCGGTCCATTCGCCGGCACTGCGAGGCGACGATACCCAGCGAACGAATTGCAATATTCCGCCGCGTGAAGGCCGGAACGGGAGGTTGGAATTGCAGAGCAGCCTCCGACTGGCACGTCCACTATATCGCGCTGTCGATGAGCGCGGGAACCGCGCGAAATCTAATCTCGGGGCGCCGAGGCAAAGAGTATACTTGCGTGCTGAGACTCACGGCTGTCCGTACGTCCGAAGCTGGCGGTGACCGCGCGCGCGGCGGTGGCGGCGGCGGCTGCTGCTGCTTTTTCGCGCTTTCGGAAGCACGCGGTTGTGGCGTGCGCGCCGATCAGCGCTCGCTACACCAACAGACTGCGAGCTGCGCTGAGCCCGACGACTCTCTGGCACACCGGACGATGCGTGTCAAAGCCGCGTCGCGACTACACTCCGTCTCCTCCCTCTTTCTCCGCATCTTATTTTGGAGCGCCTTTATCATCTCGCTCCCCCCGCTCCCAGCCAATTCCACGTGCTGCTTCTTCGTGCTTCTCTATATCTTCGAGGGAGAGTCGACACTGCACGACCACGACATTTGCCAGGCTCTCGTTTTTTTCCGTTTCTTCTTCCTGTTTTTTTTTCTTTTTCTCTGAAATTAACGAGAAAACTCCCGACCTGCAGCATTCTTTCGAGGAAAACGGAGGACATTGTTCGTTCGGTGCTTATTGAGTCTGAGACGCAGTGTTCGATAAACGTTGAGCAAGCGTACAATTATTTCGAACAATAATCAGCTTGTTGCGCGATGATTTTCACCTTTCATAGTGCCTTTCCTCTCTCTCTCTCTCTCTCTCTCTCGCTCGCAAGACATGCCATTTCACCGACGCAACTGGATAACTTACTCGAGCCGGAGAGAACGGAGCGCGAAGTAGAACGACAGGGTCGAGGGTGGAAAACGAGTCGCGACCTAAGCTCAGAGAATCGGCAGACCGCTCGCCTCTGCTCTAACGTTAATGTGCTTTGCGTCGATGCCTCGATCAAATGAATTATCTTATCAGCGCGACCGCAACTCGGTTATCGCGCGTCCAATGCTGCTAACGCGCATTTACACAGGCTACCATTTCGCGCTTCTGGGTCACTGACTGTGGATATTCGCCGCGGCGAGCGTGCGTCTGCCACTCCGTCTCGATCCGAGGCGCAGCCGAAAGCCGAGACTTTCGCTGAGTTGATTGTCGTCCGGCCGGCGACCAATCCAAGACACGCCGAGCCGAGTCCGACACTCATCCGATTCGCTCGCGACGCTCAATGCAACTGGTCTTCGCGCGTACTCCACAGCAACGCGAGCTCGGACCAAGATACCGAGGCCGTCGTCCGCTCCGCGGAACGAGATGGACCGCGAATACGCCGTGGCTGCTCGCCGAGTGCCGAACGCGGTGTGCGCGCTCGCGGCGCCTCTCGGGCGGCGTACGGCCGCGCGTCAGTTTCCGCGGCTCGTGCCGCCGCCAATTCGCAGCTTCTTTCTCGATTACGCTCGGCGTGGGCGTTTCTCCCATTCGCACGCGTCATCCTTCGCCAATTTGCATTGTTCGCAGCGTTTCGATCGAAACAATAGCATTTGCTCGGATCTCGTTGTTTTCGTGAAGCGAGGAAGGACAGGCGATCGAGCTTCGCGAATCGCTAATAATCGTCGGCTGGTGTAAATTCATCGACGAGATCGAGCGAGGAATGTAACTATAGTGTTTACCGATCGACGACGAGCTTCTTTTTTTTCTTCTTCTTGGCATGTAATCGCAGCGCGAGGCTTCGACGTGCTTTTCCAACATTTCGCGCGCACGTAGCGAAATATTTTTCTCCTTCCGAGTGAGTCCGATCTCTTGATATACCGGGCACTCGTGCAAGGTAAGACTAGCAGACGCCAATTAGAGGGATACGATTCGCATCGATGGGAAGCGGCTGCTTTGCATTTTTCCTATTTGCACCGGTTGTCCTTCCTAACTCCTCCGTTTTCTCTCAACTTGACTGGCTCGACGAATCGTACATCCGTGTGAAGTGTACATTACGAGCCACGTCGTGACTCGGGTATCGATTATTCAGCGCGTTTACTCGCGCCACTCTCTGCCCACCGAGAGCGCGGTAGAGCAAACCAACGCGCAGGGGGGACGACCATCGGCAGGCGGCGAGAGGCGCGCTCGCTCGCGTCAAAGGGAAAAGAACGTTGGTCAAAGTTGCACGCGGCATTATCGAATTGGAGCAAGTACACAGCGAGAGGGCAATTGACCGACGGCGCTGTTGAGACGCGCTCGCTCGCTCGCAATTGTATCAATCGAGCCGATACAATTTAATTACTCGCGCGCGCGCGCCTGTGAGTTGTCCGTGTCCCGGCGCGCGATTCGTTTATTGGGATTGATATTATTGCGTTTCAGCTGCGTCGGCGCGTTGCTCAATCAAGTTGCTCGGTAATGGGTCACCGTTTCGGCGGCGACCGCGAAGCGTGCAGTGGGACTGAAAGACAAGCTCGTCATAGTCAAGCAAAGTTTTTATCGATACAGATTCGCGTGCTGCGGTCGACGCGATTGGCCCGCCCCAGCAGAGAGGCCAGCTAAGCGGCGACATCGAGCTGAACGTAATTCTCATCGTCGACGATCTCGTAGCGATCCTCCCTGTAATGCACAAGGTCGTCGAGAAATCGCTTGCTACTCTCGTTGTGCAGTTTGGTCAGCACGGCCGGCAAGCGACGCAAGCCCGCCGAATCCGCGAGGTCGTCGTAGTAGGCTCCTTGCAGCGCTCCCATCATGTGGAATTGACGCTTGCTCAGCTGCTGCTCGCCGAAACGCCTTTCCTGTTCTCTCGCCTCGTCGGCCAACATTTCATCGCGGCTCGGCAAGTCGCGCTGCTTTTGCCAGAATCTCAGCACGAAACGCACCTGCGGAATTTCGAGTACACTTTAGTACGAGCGCTCGCTTATTTCGAACAATACAATATGTCAGTAAATGATTCGAGGATCTTATCGCGCTATTAATCAAATACTCTCCAGACATCATCGATCATTTTTAGGTATAGCCATTCAGACTTATTTTCTTGACATTATGGATTATAAAATCACAGTAGTTTAAAAACGAAAATTGCTCGAGCGTTAATGTACCTGCAGATCAAACATGCTAAACGCACAAACGTAAAACGGAAGCCCAATGAAAGCTAGAGTGGGATTGTCGATGGCGATAACGTGCTTCCAGAGGGGTGTCACCCAATTCGAGTCGACCTGCACTCCGCAATGATCCGCCAAAAACGGGAAGCTGTACTTGTAGCCTGCAATTAGTCAACTATCAGAAATTCAGCGTCAACAAGCCTTGGTCGACTTTCTCTAAGATCACACACCGGTACAATAAAACACGATGTCCGCTTGCTCCTCGGTGCCGTCTTCGAAAACGGCAGACTTCTCTTTCAGCTCGACTACGTCTTTATGCTGTTTGCGTTGGGTGAAATTCAATGGACACGTTGTGAAATGGGATTTCGTTCGACTAGCGTTTGCCGACAAAAACTACCTAAATCTTACTTGTACGACGTTGTCTGGAAACTTGGTCAAGATCGTCTCCTTCAGATGATGGCTGAGTATCACGTGCTTCGCCTTGCGAGATATTTCCAAGGCCAAGTCCATGCCTGCGTTGGATCAACAAGGACGTACGTGTGTGCGTGTCAAATCGAACATTGCTTTCAATGGAAAATTCAAATGAAATTTTCGCGCTGGCTCCCTTGAGAAAAGAGCTTACCAGAGGGTCCAGCGCCAAAAACGACGACGCGCTTGCCAGCGAAGCCATCCGGCTTGCGGTAATCGTGACTGTGCAGCTGCTGTCCCCGGAAAACCTCGCGACCTTTCAGATCGGGCAGCGATGGCTCAAAGTAATGGCCATTGCATATCATCACCCCATCAAAATGCTCTTCTAAGATCGCGTCGAGTCGCAAATCGCGAACTCGCAACTTCCACTTGTTCTCTGACGTTCGTTCGACCAGCTCGACGTTGTGCAGCAACTGGCGACGTAACAACTCATTGTTGTTTAAAGTTGAATTGTGCTCGCGAAAAGATATCGCGGCACACTTATCTATACAAGAGTGTAAATCTAACCGACGTAATCATCCCGTTAAGCTCGTCAATAGACTAACTATGCTAAAAGTTATTCACGAAGTATTCGTGTTGCGCTTATTGTTTAAGTTTGGACGATCTCTACCAAATGAATTCCCAGGCAGTATATTTGTCGCAACCCACAGTTGACAAGCTTATTCACGACAATAGCTATATTTATTCAAATGTAGACAAACGAAGTAAACTTATTCTGAAGCGCTGCGTAATCAGTACGATGGAATCTATTAACTGGAACGATAATCAAAACGAACTTACCCGAATGTTATCCCGGAGATTAAAGTGGTCACAGTAATCGTTAAGGAAAGCCAAAATTTCCGTACGATGAAGATAACTCTTTGGATTTGCGGGAATCGGATAGTCTGGGTAGCCCATCACTTCTTTCGGCAGGTTCGTTCTGCACGGTGCAACCAAGTCTTTCAAAACCGCACTCGAGAGATATCGAGCTGATGATGATTACTCCAAGTGACCTTACCTGAGGCTATCGTACATGCTCGAGTGTATCGGCAATCCGTACACGTCCTTGCCCGTCTCGGGTACGTAAACCCAAGTGCCACCGACTTCGTTGCTCCTCTCGTAGCATAGGAAATCAACTTTTCCTGCAGCACTGCATTGCCTGAGTGCCGCAAGACCAGCAGCCCCGGCGCCAATCACCGCGATCCTCATTCTCGAAGTTTACGCGCGACAATGAAGTCTGCTTATATAGCCGAGCCAACACTGCGAGACTTTGGCTTTGATAACGACTGATGACGATTTGAAAGAAAAAAAAAACAGTCTCGGAGGTCAAGAGCCTCGAGTGTGGTAATAGATTTTGCTTGAGAACTAGCGCGCACGATTTACTCTCTCGCACAACATATTGGATGAGCTTATATTTTTATTGTTGAATTTCTATATGAGAACGATGAAATAGAGTGCGCCAGTGATTACTTGGCTTATGTTCTAACGAATTATTTGAATTTCGAAACGAAAGTTACTTTACCACTTTTTCTTATTGTGTTCTCTCGATCATGTTTGTTTTTGGCTCAACTACCGTAATATATTGTACCGGATGGAAAAAAACACTGCAATTATTATAAAATGCGACAGTGTTTATTTTGAGAAAGTAATTAAACTTATATAAAAAAGCAATAGTATTTTTTCGCCCCGCTAGCTGTAGATTTTTTAAGTAGAATTAAAATCCGCTGTCAGAGCTTCATCTGCTCAACAAAAGTAATAGTTTACTTAGCTAACGCGTTTTGTAACTTTTACATTTAAAATCAATTATTTTCCTTTACGAGCGTGTTTAGTTTATAAACCTCATACGATAAAAAATGCATTTGATAATTTATTCTAGATCATGAAAATTTAATGAAAGTTTAATGGATAATTAATCAAAAGGCAAATAGAAGAATTTAAAGATGATCTGAATTTTAATGAAATGCAATCCAAATTTCAAATATAAATTTGAAATAATTTCAAGCATTTGTGCATCACGTAACAAGGACAAATAAAAATATAAAGCCTATTTGTCTGAATTAAAATTAATTAATACAAGTACTGAACTATATAAAAATACGTTTTAATAATGTACATATGCACACATTCTTACAAATTAGTTTAAAATAAATTTGTTGTCAAGGCTAAGGTTATTTTTTTCTTATTTCATTTTCCCATTTTTTTCTGAACAGTTGATATATCTGCATGGCTGTTCGTGCATCCTCAATAGAATTGTGTTCTCCTGATTGTACATCTACGCCTAGCAATTCAGATGCTAGTTTTTTTAAACTAGGAGTGTTTCCTAATGTAATCTTACGGAACAGTTTGTACCTTGACGTATCTCTTTGGGATCGCTTAGGATGAGTCAGAAATAAGACTGATAAATCATTATGAAGACCATGTCCAACAAGTATGCGCCCTTTAAGAATTTCTGATACCTCCTTTTGAATTTTTTTGAAGTCTTCACCATTTGTCAGATGATGTGGTCTTATGCCACTAACAGGAGTTCTATAGTCTACAATCTCTTCAGTTGGTTTAACATATTTGTCATAAATGCATATCCCATTTCGGTTCACAATTGACACACGAGCAAGCATACTGTCAGTTCCATCTCCTATTCCTACCATTTCACAGTCTAAGGCAACTGCTCTTGTCAATAAATTCTGAGGCTGAACATTTTTTTCAGGTTCTTTTGTATTCGCTATCTGTTTTCAAATCCAGAAAAAATTAGTCATAAATTATAATAATTGCAAACAATAAAGCAGACAATATTTTACCTGATTAACATTACTGATACAGGTATGTTCTGCATTTTTTCGACTATGCTTATAGTAGTGTTTCTTCTTCATTGATATTTTCTTTTTGAATTCTGAATTGTTTGAAGACTGCTCATTTGTTGATGTTTCTGCTATCAAATTCTTAAATCTTTGCCAGTTAGATCCAGGTACTCGAAGGCCAATAGTAGCATCTTTCTTACTGACATCTACATCTTTCTTAGTAATTACATCAGTCTCCTTTAATGAGTTCTTTGTTGCATTATTGTTAATTTTCGCATTTACAGTTTCGGATACCATTTTCCTAGGTTAATTTTTTAATAACAGACTCTATTATCTTGCACTTCAAACGTTGCATTTATAGACTACAACAGGAAACAGTCAACAATAACTGATAATTAACTATTTAACAAAATAATCTTCATTTAATATAATACCATTCAAGTTAATATTTAATAACATTTTTCTTTTAACATAAGCACTGTTGTTTTAATGCGCATATGGTTTTAAATTTTTTACAATATGCAATCCAATATGTCTTGTTCTTGTATTCCATTCAATAACCTCAAAAATTAAGCCGTTACGTTCCCGGAAAACGCTAGCTGCAACCAATGACGGCCAATCTCCTCTGGCGAAGGGTTCAAATATTCATTCGTGCCAATTAATAAATAATTTTATATTTAAAAATTATTTCCATAAATCATTTCAACAATACAATGAAGTAAAGTATATCTATAATGAAACGATAGATTTGTAATAAAAAGTAAAACTAACAACAAATTTCATGATTTTTAAATTTATTTAAAATATGAAAACTTGATTCAACCGTACACACAAATGTTTATTATACTTATAATTATAATATAAATTTACTGAAAGGTCATTAACCAAGGAGTAAAACATTAATCAAGGAAAGTATGAAAAACCTAAATGAAGGAGTTTATTTCAGGGAAAAGAGAAATAAATATTTGAATTCAAAGTTATTTAGGTTAGATATCAGGCAGATCTGTTTAGAAAAGTTCAAACTACAGATCATTGAAGAATTTATTAATATAAGTACTGTTTTATATTTTGTATTGTGGTTTATGATATCCACTGATTGTATGTATACGTATCTTGTCCTTGTTAAATAACTTCCAAAATTGAACCGTATGCTAAGTTAGGTTAATTTGATGACGGTGGGTCTTTTATATTGAGACTTCGATGTGCCAACACTCATGTGTAAATTTTTTTAAGAACGTTATAGTGAGAGGGGAATCTTAGTATCGAAATTGCGTCTCGATACTGGACCTACAATTTAATGGTTAATAATTTACATTATTTTGGCTCAGTGGAATCCGAACCACTGCGACAACCATGGTGTTGATTTTGATACATACACTTTTTTTGGGAAAAACCATTGGTTTCCCCACCAGGAATTGAACAAGTCTTTCGCATGGAAAATCCTGTGTTCTATCCTCTGAGTCACTGTCGCTCTTTTGAGCCGTATGCTACGCTTGCATCTGCGCACTCCACTATTTTGTTATTTTAAATTATTAAATGTTATTATTCATTTTCGATGATTATGTGTAAAATAAATATTGTACTCAATCATTGTATAAATATGGTACATAATTAATTGAATGTATTTTATAAACAAAGTTTACAACTTAGAACTAATTTGTATTGAAACGAAATAAATAATTAAGAATTGTAGACAATTTGCAGATCAGAGTAATTTGCTTTGTAATTTTATTTATATGAACGATTCAAGTGCAGTTTTCTGTCGTATATGAATATTTTTTCAATATCTTTCGGTAACTTAAAGGTTTCAATTTTTGGTAATAATACTCTGCGGTAATGGTTATTTAATGACTCAGAAGTTCTGTCTTGTAAATACTGAAATTAAAATCAAAATCATATAATACCTTTTAAAATTACTTTTAGCTAATAAGAATTATTAGAAAAAAATTTACCCCATCCTCAATCATTTCTATCCATGGTTTACGACTTGTACCATTCTGAATTTTACCATTTTTTATTAAATAGGCAATCATTAGTCTTTTTTCCATATACGTATAATCTCGTCTAATAAAATTTTGTTAAATCAATTAAAAATAAATCAATAATCTATTAGAAAAATAAATACGTTACCCTCGACCACGGTGTTTGATTTTTAGGCATTTATAATGTGAATTTCTCTTTTCTGGAGTTGGTAAGTACAACCACCATTCTTCCCTAAGTGAAATTACAAAATTCTTTATGTAAAAAGAAACTTATAATGATTTGCAGTAAAAATCAAAATTATTGTACCGGTTCATGTTTTTATTTAGGTTTTGAATAAAATTTTGTTCTGTATCTGATGATGATTTATTTGAAGAAGATTTGTCACTGAGTATTATTTCTGATGAACTAGATGATAATTTTTGACGTTTATTTTTTCTTTTTCTATAATAAAAATATTCATCTGGAGTATTTTTTCATTGTAAAATTATACCATATATTTTTATTTTGTATAATTTTACTATATGTATTGATAATAATCATTCGGAGAAGTAAATTGACAAAACAAATTAATTTCATTAATAAATAATTTATCTTACCTAGTTAAACATTCTATATCTGAATCACTACTACTTGTATTTGAGCTGTTGGATATTGTTCTTATTCTTTTCCATCTATCAATACTAATTGGTTTATTTACTTCTGGCTTTTTCAAAACTTGCCTTGAGCAGCTTGGTTGAACATGATTAACATTGGATATGATTTCTATAATTTCACTCTTACTTGAATCATTGTTGGTTTCATTTGCCTTATTTTCTCGAGAGATACCATTTGTGAGTGATTGAACAGAAATATGATTTTCATCATCAGTCTGAGAATTATCCGAATTTTCATTTAAATGTAAACTGTTGTTTTGTTGTACAAGAGATACATCATTTACTCTTTCCATTGATTTCTTCAATTTCAAATTATTAATTTTTTTAATGTATAAATGTAGTTTTTGGTTGAACTCATGAATATTTGCTTTATTAGTTTCTTTAGTATCTTGAGTGGAAGAAAATTTATTTTTTTTGAGTAATTCTGTTTTTACAATGCATAATTTACAAATACATTGATTGAGAAGGCTATAAAGATGTATAAATTGAAAATAAAGTTGATACAACGTCAATATCATTGAGTGCATTTTATATATGGTAAATATAATAAACAAGTATTTATTTACCTCATACATGTTTTTTTCAAAATGTATCTTGCATTCATGCAACAAAATCTTGATTGATTTGTATTTTGTATCAAGTTACTGAACCTGTTAAAAAAAACTATAGTTTACACTAATATTCAGTAGAATAAAAGCTGTTTATTTTACTTGTAATCTTCAATTTTTAGTGGTTCTTTGGCTAATATGGAATTCAGTAAATAGCTCAATGAGTAGTAGTGTCCTTTCTCATCTAAAGATGTACTTAAGGTATCTGTAAGTATGTATTGTGATTCATCAGATACTTTTGCACCCATGCTCTGAAAATGTATATAAAATCATGAATATTTCAAATAACTTAAAAATCACCCGTCACAATTTTGTATTTTAGAAATACTATAAGGCATAGCGGCAAAAAAACTGCTAATTAAGCAATGACATGTATAATTTATTAATATAATCAATAACCTTTACAAGTTTTTCAAATTTTTCTTGGATATCGGGTTGTAAACCTTCAAACTTGAACGTATAATTTTCAAAAAAATAAGGATGTTTGAAGGCAAAATTTTTTTCTTTTAGCAGAGTCAAGATCCGATCCATGCCTCACCATATATTTTTAAATTTTGGTATAAAACGTCATCAACCTGAAATTACATAAACCACAACACAATAGAAACAAAAATAACTTTCATCAAAGACAATACGGCTTTTTAAGTATATTGTTGACAACAACAGAACGAGTAAAAACGGCGCCACTGTACACGAGCATTTTCAAGTCGTAATTCGTAAAATCCAGCAAATCCACGCTGCTTGGTGGCTAATAAAATGGCCGTCGTGGAAAAATCGTGCAATCAGCTGATAGTGTCTGCTGCTGGGTTGAATGTTATAATTGTCTGGGCTTGATAAACCGTGAAATAGAAACGTTAGTGCCTGCTGTTTGCATCTAAAAAATTTTCAAGTGTCAATATAGCATAGTGTATGACAGCAGATAGTGTTGCTAAGGATTATCATTATTGACAAATCAGTATTTGTCGTGGCGATCGAAATGAGGAAAGGATAAATCGTCGGAAGGAGAGAGGAAAGAAATAAAACTCATTCACACATGTTATTGGCTCGGGCGCAACGCCGCCCATACGTAACAACAAACTCTTCTCGCGTGCGTCATTGACAGGTGGAACAAACATAACGACGGCAAGATAAAAAAGAGGTATAAAGTGTATGAGATATATCCGATGGGGGCGAATAAAATTCACGCCTATGTTATTGTATGGTTTCTTCACGGTTTTTTCAAAATCAGAGGGTTGTGGGTATAAAGAGATTGAGAAAGCGAGAGCTGTTTCGATACAGTGTTATATCGTACATTTTTTACTTTCTATACATATGATTAAGATACATGAATAAACAGGTGTTGATATTTTAATTATTATACTATAGTAAGAAACTTGTGTCACTTATGTATGTTCATCCGTTAATTTGTATGAGTTGTTAGGTAACTTGCTTATGAGTAATTGACATATATATTGAATTACAATATCAAGTTCTTACTCACATCAGTCTTGTTCTACTTTGTCTATTCAAAAGAAAGAGCATATTTATTTCTAGTTGTATAAACTTTACAAAAAACTTCTTAATCCAATGCCATTATTCTCTTTTGAATATAGTAATGAAATAGAATATCAACAAGAACTAACACTGTACAACAAACAACTAAGTGCTTGAGTATTTAAAATCAATTAAGATAACATAAGTTATTTAAATAGTTTATTTTGGCAGTTTGGAAGACTTGCACTTAAGCATAAGGAAAATTTATTGTTAGCTCATAAAGAATCAACTTATTTTAGTTATCATTATTTTTTTTTACTTACATTGAAATAAGAATACAGTTTTTATTGTATTTTTTTTTTGATCAATTTCAGATGCAAGATATCTAGTATCAGAGACACTTGATAACAAGGTGGAATTAACTGGTTCTGAAACTCCGAAAAAATCTCTGTTTGGAAATCTAACCAAACTAAAGAGGACCTTGGCTGTGATGAGCGACTCAGAACAGCGTCAACTGCATGTGCCTTATAGAGAATACAATAGTCACAACAATACTAATCCTGCGACATTGGTTGAAACAGATGCTCTTGTAGATATAACAGTGACTCCAAGTAGTAACGTATTATTAGCTAATGGTGAACCTTTACCTCTCTTACCAGAGGTCGATTTTGCTCCAAGTTCGAGTGCAGACCAATCAGCAACCATTGATTCACCTGGAATTGACCGGGAGAGCCAACCTCTCCTTGGTCGACTAGAATTGGATGAAACTTACAATCGATTTCCAGGTATAATTGCTAAATAAGCATTTCTAAATTGATAGTATTTCATTGCATTATAATAAAAGCTTTAAGAGTTAATAGAAAATGAAAATGAACGAAATTTGTTCTTGATTGATACAAAGTATTTAAAGAATAAGTAACTAAACTAAAATATACATGTAAAAGATGGAGAGTTACATAAGCAGCAAAAAAAAATGTATCTAGAGATTAGTATTTATTTTATGTAGTTTATGATAAAATAATAATAGTACAGATAACATTAGTTTCTTAAAGTAATGTATATTTTTCAGATCTTACAAGCACAGTAAATTAAAAATATAAATTTACTTTTGCAGATGACCCACAATTTTCAGAGCTGGTATGGCAGGCTGAGTGTGCAATAGATAATGGAATATATCCACAAAGGATATACCAAGGCTCTAGTGGAAGTTATTTTGTTAAAAATCCTGAAGGAGTGAGATATGCATTTTTATATCTTTTTCAAACTACTTTTTTAAAAATATTCAATGATCTGTAATAAATAATTTTAGAAAAATATCGGAGTATTCAAGCCCAAAGACGAAGAGCCGTACGGGCGACTGAATCCTAAGTGGACGAAATGGATGCACAAGCTATGCTGTCCGTGCTGTTTTGGACGAAGTTGTTTAATTCCAAATCAAGGTTACCTCAGTGAAGCAGGAGCAAGTTTAGTAGATCGCAAACTCGGTTTGGGTGTGGTGCCGAATACAAGGGTCGTTAAACTCGTAAGCCGGACCTTTAATTACTTGAGGATCGATAGAGAAAAGGCTCGCATGAAGCAGGCAATTATGGACCAATTTCCAGCAGTAGCCTCGCATTTTCATAGAATAGGATTACCACCGAAAATTGGCTCGTTTCAAGTATTTGTCGAGGGCTATAAAGACGCCGACTTCTGGCTCAGGAGATGGGAAAGCGAACCACCGCCACCACGTTTAGCTCAACAGTTTCAGTTGCAGTTCGAACGTCTAGTCGTCTTAGACTACATTATTAGAAATACAGACAGAGGTAAATAAAATAAAAACATCTGCGATTTACCTCGTGTAAAAGTCTAAAAAGACTACGTGTTAATTCATCTTCCACTTTTATTTTAGGTAATGACAATTGGTTAATCAAATACAACGCTGGTTCGTCGAAAAATGGAGTGGAAGGTGAAGTGAAAATAGCGGCGATAGACAATGGATTGGCGTTTCCATTCAAGCATCCCGACTCGTGGCGTGCATATCCTTATCATTGGGCTTGGCTGAGCCAGGCGAAACTTCCCTTCAGTGAAACTATTCGAGAGCTGGTCTTACCGCAGCTTTCAGATCAGAATTTTGTACAAGACTTGTGTGATGATTTATATTTGTTGTTTAAAGTATGTATGTGTAGAATTGTATCATTTTTTCTGATCTGTGAGGCTACTTACCTTTTTTTCTATTTGCGATGCAGCAAGATAAAGGGTTTGATCGACATCATTTTGATAAACAAATGAGTGTAATGCGAGGCCAAATTTTAAATCTCCAACAAGCACTGAAGGATTCTAAAAGTCCAGTACAACTTGTTCAAATGCCAGCTGTTATTGTTGAAAAGTAAAAGACTTGCTATTCTATTTTATACTGAAGTTACTAAATATATATTTTAACTATTTTATTTTTGTGTAATTTTAGAGCCAAAGAAAATGGAACACCAAGGCTGTTTTCATTCTCCGACCCATTAATCCAGCGCTTCCAGAACAAAAGTCCATTCTTTTCATGGTGTTGATCAATCAAATACTGTCTTTATTCGTTTCCTTCCATTATTATCTTTTTCTCTATTTTGAATACCTAAATTAGTATAATAGAGCGACGAATATTGTGTGGACTTTTATAATTGTGTTTTGGCTACGATTTTGTAATGTAATTTTTTTTTACAGTGTCTCGATAATTATCGTTTCATGTAGCTTTAAAGTTTATTATTTTTATTATTTGTATCATATTATTTTAGACCCATCTTTATAGCATTAAAGTTGACTTGATAGTTGGAATATAAATGTACATTTATATAAAACATGTTTATTTTGAATTAGTTTTCGTTATGTGTTTAAGATAAACAAATTAATTTTCATGGAAGACGTTTCAATTATCAATTATGAAAAGGCTCCAACAAATTTTTAGATTGATTGTATTTACAGAGCAACGAAGAGAGTTTTGTAGACTATGTGCCAATTGGTTATTTACCTAAAAAAAGAAAAAAGCGAACAATCCTTCAATTTGCTTTCTATATAATATGTTTAGCATTGATTTTTGGGTACCTTGCAGATCAAGGAGCGGACAAATGTGAAGTGTGTAAGAACTTGTATAAATTTCCAAAGATTAAAGCGTGGGTACAGATCTGTTTCCTAATTTAAATCAATTCTTAGGCAGAGAATTTACCTGTAAAAAAATTTTAGCCTACAAATTGCGCTGCGCTATAGAATTTTTGATATGTACATATCGTTAAACAAACTAACTCTAGCTTATTTTACTGATAATGGTAATATGTGAAAAAAGAAATGATGATATTATGTTAAAGAATTAATAACTATACAAAATATAACACGATTAATTTGACACGATAATTGAACTATTTGTTTATCTGCCACCACAGTATCTCTGTCACTAATCAAATGTTTTGATCATATATATATACACACGTAGTTGTCGTTTTGTACGTATACTTATGATTTCCAGATAACCTTTATCGATGTTTCATGTACCTTGTGATTCATTTTTCGTTACTTTGATTGTAAAATAACACTTATTTTCACGCGAAAAAGAACATGGAGGTCGTAGAAATTTGTCAAGAAAAGAAATTCTGCCCCCCAAAATCAATTAATCACAAGAAAAGTCCTGCGTCAATCAGAGTAATATTTTCTTTTTAAAATCGTTCTCGCTTGCGATCTATAAATATCCTTTGTTTGCAATGGTTAGTGTACGAAAAAATACGTTCAACCGCCGCGAGTGCAGCCTTTCAAGCCTCAGGTATCGTACTGTCCACCGAAAAATCCTGTCGATACGAAGACGACTTATCACACGTCGTTTGATCAAGAAGGCAAAGTCCAAGCTCGACCACAACCTTTCAAGCCATGCCACAACATCAATTTACCTGACGCTAAATTCGTCGACGACACGACGACCCATCTAAGCTATAAGCCAGTTCAAAGGATTTACAAAGAAAAGCCAATCCTGCCTCGTCAAAGGTACATGAATGTGCGATTGTTTTTTAACTTGACTTAATAAGATATGTGCGCAAATAGAATATGCCCGCAGCAGGGACCAATGGAGAACGTGACGACCATCCGCAAGGATTTTGCTCCAAAATGCGCACCACGAGCCGAGAAAATTGTCCCTTGCGGTCACATCAGAACGAGCACGGGTTTGTTCGAGACAAAAACTACGAGCCTGCTGTCCTACGTGAATCCTGGCCCTGTCGATCCCGTTACAAATTTTAAACCTCAGCTGCAATACTGTCAACCCAAAGAACGGACCGCTCAAGAAACCACGCAAAAGCTCAGCTATTTGCCGTACGAAGTAGGCAAGAAAGAGAATTACCCATGGGGCAAGAAACCGTGCTACAAGTATTGTTTCTCTAGCTATTATTACTATAATAATTTCTGCATTTTTAGTTCGGTTTTTAATTCGAGCAAAGCATTTCATTCCTGCATGAGAGAGAGAGAGAGAGAGAGAGAGTGCGCGCGTGCGTGCGTGCGGGTGCGTGGCGATGCAAATGGACTCGATCGATATTCGGTGAAGTGATCTCTTTCTTGTTTTGCCGAGAGTCGACTGCACATTGACCTTATTGGAAATCAATAGCTTGAGAGTGAACAGGGCGCTTTCCAAGCGCGAGTACGCTATTTATTCAACTGAGCCTACATCTTCATTGAATCGATAGATATAACGACTTGTCGAATTATCAATTGATTGTGGAGACGAACTTGTCATCGGCGCGTCCTTGTCCCGAATAAGCGAGTGCGCCTAAACTGCCGCGCGCAGGGTGTCGTTGGCCATTTCTAAAGATGCGAAAATGATCGAAGGGCGCCGGAGATATCGATGGCCGGCGAGACGACCTATAAGAAAAGTTACCACGAGAACAAAGCGCCACGCGAGAAGCCGATAATCCCAAAGGAAGTAGGTGTGTTCCCGCGCGGCAGGGAATTCCTCGAGGGAACCGTGTACAAGGAGAGCTTCCTTCCCTGCCGCAGCGAGCTCGTGACGCCCATTGTCCCCTGCGGCAATATCAGCCTGGCCAACGATAGAATGTCCGTCGACACCACCAACAAGGTAGCGAGCGCACGACGACACGCGCGCGCAATGATTAACCGGCGCCTCTCGCCAGCTGAGTTTCCAGCAAGTCAAGGCCGAGAAGCGCAAGCCCATTTTGCCAAGGCCGCGTATTTGCGGTGTCACGGGGCCCATGCCGAGCGACACCACCAACCGACTGTCCTACACACTGAAAATCGGCAAGAGACCCAATCTTGCCGTGCCCTGCGGTCACATTCGTACGGCTAAACAACCGCTTGACGCCAAAACCACCACCAAATTATCGTACGTCAGCCCTGGACAGACGCAGCAGTTCCCCAACTTCAGACCCGTCTTTAAGTACTGCAAGTACGTCATCATCTTTTTGCTTTTTCTTCTTGTCGTCGCTCTCTGTCTCAACTTTTTTTCCGAACATGACAAATACTGCGACCAGCATCGAAACAGCTTTTTTTGCTGAATCATACGTTTTACTCACTTATCATTACTCGAGATAACGCGTACTCGTTCGACACTTGCCTGTAACAAACAATGACAAACTTTAGTCACTCAATGAATAATGTCTTTTTTGAGCGCGCGGATCAAATAAAAATGATCAATCTGCGGAATTTGGTTGAAAACCGAACGCACAACGAAGCACGCAAACAAAAATATTTTTATGAAAAAATCGTCTTTTTTCTCGCTCGATCAAATCAACGTAGACCCGAGGAGAAGATAGAAGCTGACACGGTGAACAAATTGTCCTATCAGCAGTGGTCGATTGGGCCGAAGGAGAAATTGCCTTGGGCCGAAAAGCCACGTTACTGCAAGCCCAACGAAAAAATGCCTAGCGATACGATTTACCATCGAAGCTTCCCACCGCCTGGACACTTCGTCGACGAGTCCGAGCCTTCGCGAGAAGAGTGCCAGTGCGCGTCAGAAGGCGAAGACGGCCGCGACGGAAACGTGTCGTGAACTTCTTTCTGACGAGATGTCATTTTCAAAATTCAATGCATTCGAAAGACAAATTGTAATGCCGCAACCGAAAATCCGGCAGCATTACGACCGAACAAAGAGACAAAAGAGACAAATTTCACTCTAGACGTTCATTTTCCATCCGAGCTGAGAAAACGACCGAGGGACACGCGTTTCGCAAGGCGCCACACTCCCCTCTCTGCGTATACCTGCTTGGCGCGAGCGCGAAAAGAGCGGCATGGTGTCCGTCTGGTGCTGCTTACTGTTGCGGCACAGGATTTACAGGCCACCCACGTAAGGGGACCAGTGAGAGAGCAATAGCAGGGGGTAGAGCGAGCCTATTGGAAAAGCCGACCGTTTTTCTCTATTCTGCATCCGACATTCTTGTCTGCAGGCTACGCGTTGCTATGCGCTTCTTTTCCCAGGCCGACAGAAATACTTTTCGGACCATTGTTGCTATTCCAGGCACAAACTTAATAACATTATTTTTGATTATTCTCGCCGATTCTCATTTATTTTGGAGCACACTCCGATTTTCATTTATCTCATTTTTGAAGCATATATTTATACACTTATAACAACACTCTATAAACAAGAGTTCTCCTATACAAAGAGTCGCGAGTAAGAAACCAGTGTTTATCTAAACATCTTAATGCCCGGCAGCATTATAGTCCGCCTCGTTGCCCACGCTCACGTTCTTAAATTCTTTCCTTAGAAAGTGTTTTGGATTAAATGTTGTATCTGAACACGTCTGGAAGGCTACTACACTAGTTTTACATTGTAATGCAAAGATCGTTCGTTACAAGCTCGATGATACGGAGATAAAACTGCGTTACTTTCTATGTTAGACATGCCATGATTAAATAATTTTTTTAGATATAATTTCTTTGAAATAACAGCAATTTAACATTTACCTAAAAGCCTACAAATATTCGTTTCAATTATAACATCGTAAATATCGTAAATAAATCATGCCCATGGAAAAGTCACGTAAAAATAGATGCAGTTAGATCGAAGACTTTTTAAAGCAATCTATACCTACAATTTTAATTTTCTAGAGATACAAGTAAATGTATCGCTAAAATTATATGTAAAAAGGAGGGAAAATGACAAACTTGAACGAAAGTTGATATTCTCTATTCACTGTTTATTGTCCAAACGTACATCTGTGCATAAAAAAAAAACAAAAAAAACAAGAAGAAATAATGATTGATGATTTGAGGTACATCGACAGCAAGAGATAAATCTCGCTGGTGAACGTCAAACTTTATGTATCAAACGAAACACAACGAGTGCGCATAAATTGCTACATCTATCAGTATTTGTCTTGTTTATTAAACGACAGATTTGTTAGTTTCACATACAATGGCTTATCTTATCGATAAAAGTACACCCATACAACGGCTCGACATAATCTTTATATCCATAGGCTTAAAAATGCGCGTTGAAAGTGAAAAAACAAAATAGAATGAAACATGTTGGAGACTTCGCATTGTCGCGTCGTTACAATTATTCTAAAAACTACAAACTAGAAATTGTAAAATTAGTTGTGCTTATCCAACTAAAGTATCTCTCTTGAAAAATATACTATAAAGAAAAACGTATAGACCCTGATATCTCGGCGTCCTTTATACTTTCTTAGTAATTTGTCATATACAGCCTATCGGCTTATACATATACAATTAACAATTCAAAAATTCTTTTTATATACTGTACACATCCAAACAGATTTTTCATCGTTATTTTTTTTCGTATTCTTGGTTAATATTTTACCTTGTAATGCACATCTAACGTTTTCCTCTTATTTTAAACATTATATCAATATCCAACAGCCTCTCTAAAAAATTAGGTTAGTCGCAAACTCAAGTGTCGCGTGTCTTCTACCGGCAATGCTCGTAAGGCACATACATTTCAAGTCCTTTTTTTCAATCAAATTGCACAATTGAGTCACAATGTTCCTTGAGTCTTTCTGGGATTGTGTCGATTCCTAATGTAAAATCATAGAAAAACTTTCGATTGCATATCTCTCAAAATTTCGCGTAAATTTCTTAACTTGCAATGAAATAATGTTGAAAACAAGCATATCTATCCGTCGTTCTATTATTTTTTTGCTTATAATTCAAAAATACGCCAATACGAGTAATTTTGTTGATCTCTAATACGTTCTTTCGTTGTTAGCTTGCTTAAACATTTATACTACATCAATATACATTAAATGTTTGTAGAACATCGAGATCATTATGACAGGCTTCCTGTTTTATTTGTATATTTGAAATTCCATGACGTCAATATAAGTATATATAATCCTCTACATAAAACGTGTATATTATTATCAAAGTCGTTTATCACGTGCAATATGTAGCGTTGCTATTTAGGCACTAAAGAAAATAACACAACAAGTGACTTGCTAAACATCACATTAGCAACTGGGATACAAAGGCAAAGTAAAATATAATTAAAGTACAAATCATTTGCTTTTGTGTAATTGTTAAGAAAAAATTGAAATACAAACTAGAAAAAAAGAGAATAATCATTATTCAGCAGAGCATCAACAATATTGCACGTTTTTCAACATACTCGGGTAATAAATAATGCCATCCGGAGCTGATAATATTCTGCTGAGAACTGCTTAATATTAATGATAACAGGAATAAAAAAGTGTCTGCTACGTGCTACTACTCGTTATCTTTGTCTCGCTGGCGCACAATAACCTATGTTGATTAAGTAAACGTAATACTTATCCGTTACGTACCTAAAAAAATCTCACGCATCTTAAATACTAGAAGAAAGAGAAAAAACAAGAAGGATAAACGAAAATGCAAGAAACTCTAACTGCAACAATATCAATATCGAACAAGCACATCAGCCTTCAACGAAACAAAGGACGACGCCAACGTGTGTATAATCAATAACAAACTGTTGGTTGAATTGTTTTTAAGGATACCTCTACTGGGGCTTGTAAGACTGCATGAACTCGAAGTTGCCAAAGCTGCTAAGCTGATCCAAGTTGAGGTTCTCATCGATAGATGCCAACTCGCCTTGATTCATCAGGTCGACGTAGTCCATGTCCGCGTTTGTCCTTACCGACGACTGGCCGAGGCCCGGAGCATAGCTGCGCATTTTGGAAAAGTTAAGCACAACCCCAATCACTGGCAATTTTTTTTTTTCAAACTACTTTTCTAGACAAAATCAATTTGCAAAAGAGGAACAAACTGCCCGATCAGCCGGTACAACACGAGTACACATTATGATATGTTTGCGCAAGCAACCACAATGGGAAAAACTGCATAGTCGCGATTTATGAATGTAGATGATTGAAAAAAAAAAGATTTAAAGTCCATGATAAGAGGATAAGTATAAACGCTACGACACAAAAAGGCTCGTGTGTGCAAATGTATAATATGTGAAAAGACGTAATAAACAAAAACAGAAAAGGAATGCGCTCATCTCTACTCGATTGCCAGTCAACGCTTGATTAATGCGAGTAGTGATTGGAGTTGCCTTTTTCTCTTACTCTTTTCCAATAATGACAATGTGGTTGTACCGGCTTGCTCCAGGCCTTTGCTTGCCTCGCGCGTTAAAGCACGCGCGCTTGTACTTGAATATTATATATATGTATATCACTATACGACGAGCGACTATATGTGAAAACGATGTGTATATTTGCTGATTGATTATGATAGTTGAAAGTACATTAACATTCATTAAAGATTAGTATAAACATTCAACACGCTAATGCTTTTGTTTAGACAACGATGTCAAGTTTTCTCGTTTTATTTTTCAAGCCATGGATAAGCCGATTGATATTATTTGAGAGGGGGATTTGCTGAGTGAATTTGATATGTCGACATGAAACATGAATTCGACGTATAAGTGATAGATTATAATGTATATTTTGATCAGACTTAATTACTAGGATCTCAAAGAGAGATACTTTTATTTTATTATGTATTTATAAACTATCGAGTAAATTTAACTCGAATTCATCAATAGCTCGTTTGGTTAAATTCTTTCGTTATAATTTGATGGGTAATATTTTCCGATACTATTTAAAATCACAGTTCATAAATTTCCTTTAGAGAATAAATCGTTTCTGCAAGATATGAAAACATTTTAATTGACAATTTTTTTTCTTTGTTCTGAATAGATGATTCTTCAAACTCATTCAATATAATTTGTTTCTTAAATATTGCGATAAGCCTGATATCAACTACAAAATATATTAACTACGTAGAAATCATTATGTAAACACCTTATAAAAAAAGTACAGAATCAATAGAAAATTAGCGATGTCAAAAAGTTTCATCGCTGTATAATAATCGCAAAGTTATATACTTATATGTTTAGAAAAAAAATCATCGAAAAATGAGAATACTGACGCAGTATTTGGATCAACGTTTACAGCTATGAAGTTGCGCAAAGTTTTATTACTTATCACTGCATGTCGATTACGAAGTAAGTTTGACACGATGCGAACATCTTACTGGAATTCAAAATTCTGTTTAAAAAGAATCTCTTTATAACAAGATACTGTTTGTCTTAATAATTATTGTCTGTATCAATAATGTAAAGTCCTTACAAAATTACCGATCATAGATATTAAATAGTACAAATTCGCGTAAGTATAAAAAATTAATCAATATAGAAAAATCCATTTTTAGTACTCAATTTTGCGACCGAAAATTAATTTCCTAAGGCATGAAAAATCAACGACACTCAATCACAGTAGTAACAAAATAATCAATGAAAGATAAACGAATAACAATTTTGATTGATCAATAACGTCCACTCGAACTCAATAAAATACGAATTAATAATAAAACATATAGCCTACAAGGCTTTTTATAAAGATAATAATGCAATAATTTAAAGCAAAAAGGGGCCCAAAACTTTAGCGCATCTTCATAAATTGAGAATCGAAGGCAGTTTGTTCTGTCTGAATGGATGTTATGTAGCGGTTATAGCTTGCTGGCTACATCCACGGCACTGACCTAGAAGCGACCGAAGGTGTGTCTCTGGTGACCGACGAATCCGGACTGTGAGCCAAATACATGCTTGATGGCGTCGACGGGTAGCTAACACCGTGTCCTTGGCTTCCAGCACCACTACCCACTGAATGCGATGGTGTCGATCCACCTATTCCTGGTCCGCTCCAGCCCGGAACGTGCGTTACTAAGAACGGCTTTACATAACCTTTGGTAAATTGTTGATTTTCTGCAAAAACAAAAATGAAATAGGAACAAAAAATAGGAAGTCATGATTAATCAATAATTACACATTCAGTATCTTTCGTATTATTGCTGGCGAAAGAGTGTTTACCTGTGAACGGTGTATAATACTTAGAGAATGCCTGATCCTTAGATAAATCAGGATAAAGATAGAGCAGATGCTGTAGATCAGATACTCTGTCAGCCAAGCTTCTTATCGCGAAATCTTTGCTGGTAAACGGTTGTAGCATAAAAACTTCCGTGGATTCTATAATAAAAAAGAAGCATGAGTTAATTTGTATTTGACGTCTAAAGTATCTTGGTTATAAATACGCGAAATTTTACCTCCAACCCAGGCGATAGTTACGCCACCAAGTTCCGAGTCTGAGAATCTCATGAGAAATGTGCCGGATGCACAATTCGATAACATTTCCTCTGCTTGCTTCTTTCTAACAAAACCAAGTATATAACCATCGTTCCAAGGTCCTTTGAGGTGTTCCCTTGTAAGTTTCATCACAGCGTAAAACCATTCCCAGAATGTGAAATTTCTCTCAGGTAAAGGTTCTTTGCAAAACTGCGCCCAACTGAGCAGCAAATTTGAATAATCTTGACAGCCCGAACTGCTACCTCGGAAAGCTTTCTCTGCCAAAAATCGCAGATTGTCGTCGGTAAGGGCTCTTCCGGTTGCCGATTTGAACTTGATGTTAAGGGCCTCGGCTACTTGGCACCACGGCACTTTGTCAGGAACTGCAAATGGATCACGGCCAGGTTCAGCAAACGCGTTGTCCCACGTGACTGTTGCCCATGCATGAGGCTCTTGATTGCCATGTACTATTACCACTACAGGGAGACTCAGTGTCCAGACCTAAAATTAACAATTCATATACCAATAGTTGTTATTGAATACATTGAGAAATATTTTGAGAGATGTTTACGCACCTGGAAGACAAGCTCGCCTCCGCCGACGCTAAATTGCGACTGGAAGAGTAAGGAAAACTTTTCGTCCATGACGGATTCAGTGCCTTTTTTCTCAGTTCTTTTGATTTTCTTCAACTGCATGTTGCGGAAACTAACCGATAACTGTCTCGTTGCCTGATGATATTCCATAGTGCCGGTATTATTCAAGATTTCTCCGCTAGCTTCGCCTTTGTTGCCCATCTTATCACTTTTAAGCAACGCGTTAGCTTGAACCTCACTGATGATACTAACTTTAACTTGCGGTGGTGTCATATGAACGTTAAGCTTACCACCCACCAAAAGTCTTACGGTACTTGTGAAACGTGTGTTCGTCTTCATTACTTGAGGCGGTTGCTTTTCAATGATGAAGGTACTTGTAACCAAAGAACTAAGCAGTTGGGTTACCTGGGAATTCAAGGATGGCCATACATCTTGAACGCCGGGAGGCTCCAGTGCAAGCTTTTGCTTAAGACGTTCAGCTTCCTTCACCTGTTGTCGGTTCAACCAAATCAACTCGGCAAGACTTTCGCACCACTCTTGAATGGCATCTAAGTTGCTAGTAAACATGGCACCATTTCCAGCTAATTGCTGATCTCTCTTCCACCTACAGTAATGTGAATAACAAAGGGTATATAAACTCGTGAGTTTAAATCATGTATTCTTTATTAAATAATTTTCCTTCTTAAATAACTTATGAACTCTATATTAAATACATACCGAATTAATTCGTCATCCAACACTCTTGATTGCAGGAGATTAAGTTTGCTGATTGAATCTTTCAACTTATCAGCTAGAGTCAAACGCAGTTGGAGTAACATTGTGACCTTGTGATTCAAGTTTTGCTCCTGCTGTTCTTTTTGTCTACGATACTTTTTTTCTATTTCAATGGTTTGCTGATTTTGTGGTTGTGTAGAGATGCTTTGTAAATGGGCATTCAACTTTGTGCAGTCATGATAAGCAATAGCAAAAGACTCTTGTTCCTGCTCCATTTTTCGCAAATCTTCTCCTGTTTCCTGGGTTCTACGCCTCAGTGAATCCAATTGTTGTGCTATCTCTGCATGAGAATCACCCATTAGACTTCTGTTTCCAGCCATGTTCATTAGAGTACCACTGAGATTTTCCACTTGAGATACTAGATTCATTTCTGTCCCTAGGCAATGTCTAATTATTTTAAAAAGTGCTACAGGATGTGAGGTATATCTCTGCTGTGAAAAAATAATATCTTCAAGGTTAATTATGCACAGTAAGGATAGCATAAACATGATCTCTGTTTCTCATCTAGTCAAAACTTACTCTAAAATTTTTGGCTGCCTCCATCAACTTAATTCTTGTCAAAAAGAGATCATCTGTGTTGCTTAACGAAGCAGCTTTGGTTTCTAACTCTTGGATAAGAGATTCGACAAGGTTGGCAATGTATTGTTCGTATTGTGGATTGTCTGGTTCAATGTCAGTCCTGTAAAAAATAGCAGACACACGTCATTTTAATATTTAATTGAGGCATTTTTCAAATATTTGAGATACATACCACATTTTTTCTTCAATCCACGTTGATAAGAAGTGCCGTACCTCTATTGGGAAATGCTCGCCGTAGACCGATCGTACTTTCTGTAATGCCTCTGGGGGCAATTGCTGTGCTTTTGCCCACAGTGCCATTTTAGCGAGTTTCAATTACTAACGCTGAAACGTATCAGAAGATTGTTAATCACTTTATTGTCAGTTATGAATTATTAAAGTATTCGAAAAATAATAATCGCACGAGCATCGCGAATGTTACCGATATCGATCGTGATTTACGTGTGTTAGTAGTACAACTCATTAAAACTTCACTACTCTATGCGGCCTATACTAGGCGCATGTAATAAACAAACAAAACTGTACACCGAATAAATATTTGTCGAATGGTCGAATGCGAAAAAATGAGAAAAGAGAGAAAAAATTCCATTCCATCGAATTACATAATTGCACTCCGGTATCCTTCTTTTACGAGTCGGTAGCGCGACAGCGTATATTGTGACGCAGATGGGTTTGACAAGTGTCGCTTTCACCCTCGCTCAAGATGCTTCGCCGCCACGAAAGGCAAGGACGCGGCTCGCGCCAAATGTCGCGCGCGCGTACGGAGAAAAAAGAATCTTGAAAAAGTTATTTCGCAAGCGCGACTGGTTATTTTTTTGGTAACTTCGCCTTCACTACACACACAAACACACACACACACACACACACACTTTACAAACACATACACATACACTTTTTTCTTTCTCTCGATTTTTTCTTCAAAATATTTACTTGCTCTATGTGGAAGATTGGAGTATTTTAACTGCCGTGAAAATTGCGCAACTAACGTCATCACCTGATAAAACACGATTCGTCGTTTGAAATAGAACAATTAAAAAACGACAATCGATCAAGTGCGTTGGAACTTATCATATTCTTACACATACATACACTTATACTGCCCCTTATCTATATTTCTTTCTGTCTCTGAGAAAAGGATTAGCACATGCAAATGTGTACACGTTCTAAGAATTCCGATAAAGAAAAAAAGGGGAAAAAAAGCACTTTCTCTCCCTTTTGCGGGCGTATGTTTTTCTAGCGGTGCAAAAATCACCAAACGCACTCGCGGATGCCAATGGCATTACGAGGAAAAAGCTTCAAGCGAGCAAGCAAGCAAGCAATGAGTCGGAGCAGCGCGAGTGCGAGAGCGAGAAAGAGAGAGACGGCATAGCGAGTCGTAAAAACCCAGAGAATCTCACGTACGTATAGCTCGGTGCATGACGTGCTCTCTCTTTCTCTCTCTCACTCGCGCGGCTTGGTGTGTAATCTATTTTTGGAGCTATATTTTATATACACTTTACACTGCACAAATTCACATACACTAACACTCACCTACGAAAGGGGCAAGGATCACCACCACAATTCTCTTGTTAGGTCGTCCCGGGTGAGTAATAATTGTACGTCGTTTTAATGTAAAAAGGATGAACGTGCGTGCGCACGTTGCGGCTCACCTCGTAGACATCGACTGGCGGCGCGGGCGGACGGCCGAGTTGTGCGGGCCAGTAGCGCGCGCGGCGGGAAGAGAGCCGATTCCTAGAAATTCGTACCCCGAGCTCGTAGTGGCGGGGGAGCTCTTAACAGAGTGGGAGTGCATCACGTGACCATTCAAGCTCAGGCTGAATTCACATTGTTATACAGCTACGGAGTAGCAGGACCTTTCTATAAACACTATAGTACACGAAGGGGGTGCGTATATATTCTGACTAAATAGCTACCGGCTCATCGTTGCTTGTACCCGGCGCATTGTTTGTTCACGCAGCATTGTTCTACTTGACAAACAGGTAATTTATGTTTTCTTTCTTCACGTAATGAATTTTCGCGCTTGGCTCGATAGAAATTCACTTTCATGAGCTTCATTTTTCACGGATATTGAAATTTGCGCAATCCAAACGTGTGACAAAACACGTAAAAACGGGGTTTCGAATTAATTATAAAAAAGAAATTTATAATGTGTTCTCTGCAGTTTATTCATTTGAAATTTATGAGCATGCAAATACGATTTACAATGAAAAACTTTCTCGGGAACGATCAATAAACATACCGTTGATGTTTGTTGCGTTTTGCATTAAAAAAATCGTTATTGAGAATCTGCTTTATTAGAGTGTAATTAGCTTTCCGAGAATCGTAACGAAGTATGCGGGTATTTTTAATAAATGTTTTCGAAAAGTACGACAGCTCCAAAGCAATGGAAAACATAAGTATAGGGACGTATTTTTTTTGATGAGCGAGCGAAAGATAAAAAACTATACTTCGAGGTCAACCGTGAAAAAACAGCCTTTAGTCCCTTGAAAAAACCCGATGCTTTAAAGATCCTCCTTCGCTAAAAAAATAAAAGGCGGTAAACCATTGGGTTCCAAACTTTCCTCAGATCTCTCTCATTATGAGAAAAAAGAAAAGGAAGAGAGCGAAAGAGGCAACCGGCAAAGCCGTCCAGGGTCATCACATGCAACAAGCGCCCCGCAGAGTAGTGTCTTTTGCTTTCTTCCCTCACCGTTGCAGATTAGGTCTGAGGAAACGGATGGGGCGCATGCGCCAAGAGCGAGAGGCGAGATGCTTTTCAAGGAATGACAATTACCCCTCCCCTGGCTCGTACACACGCACACTGTGACGTCCGTTCTTGCTGCAGCCAGATTCCTTCTCCGTTTTCTACGTGTTTATTTGAATAAACTCGCTGGCTCATTGGCTATGTAGCTATACTGCCAAGCGCTTTTTCGTTATTGATTGTCCACTACGAGCCCCGTTTCGCCTGGTATAAGCTGCACAGGTGCAAGATATTGATTATTGGCCTCCCGTATAGTTGCCCACGAGAACTGGTGCTCATCATTATGTAACGCGTGCCGTTCTGCCGATGGCTGGCCACTGGCTAACTTTAGTTTTGTTTGTTGAGCCTCTCGGGTTTCCGCAACAGGCGCACATGTATTTTCGATTTCCGACTCTCCCCCTCCCCCCCTTATATAAGTCAACAGGACTGCGTCATAGCGTTCTTTTTACATATTTTTTATATACTACAAATTCGCTATTTATAATGCTATATTTCACGCCAACAGAAATTAATTTTATCGCGGCTGACTAATGTTCGTTTATTATAAAAGGCCATTGACTCTATTTTATGATTTGACTTAACATTTTATAAAGCCTTTTTAAAAAATATCGCACAAACAATTCACTCTTACTGTTATTAATGTCGGCCTCTTAGTTATTCGAATGAATATAGACCCTTACAGAAAAATCAACCCGTGCATAAGCGTATAGTGTTTAAAAATTCTGTCTATATTCGTTGGTTATTTAAAGTTTTTTCATTAAAACAAAAATTATTCTCATAAATAATATATAAAACTCAAGCTGAACGATTTTGTTTGCAAAAAAACTATTAAAATTAATTTCAATTAAATTTCATGGAATAGGATTTTATCAGAAAATACTGTATAAAACTTTCTTTATTATTTAACACTTTTATAAAATTGTTATTATGTTCATAATAAAATAATGTTACAAACACTAATACACTATGTTCACAGCTTTTCGTAAATTTTTTACTTTTTGTAATAATTATCAATAATACATGCATATAAATACTGTATATTTAAAAGACTTTGTTTTGTAAAATCTCTACATTTTTTAGTCTTTTTGTGTAATATTGCAATTTCTCATTTAGAACTACTTTAATATATTTTTATAAAAGTTTAACAATCTCAACTTGATAAAAGTTTATATAAAATTAATAAATCCTTTTAAATCAAATGATATATGAAGTATTTGAATTTAAGTAGACAACTTTATATTTAATTATTTAGATTTGATGAAAATGATTTTGAGTTTGAATGAATGAGACGCTTTCAAGGCACAATGTCTAAACAAAATATTACGTTATGTTCCTCAATATTATTGGAGGTATGATTAAAGCAACAGCTCCAATTAAGTAAGATGTACAGCTACCAAGACTCCAAAATGCTAAAATAAAAGTAATATAAATATAAATAAAGAAATCATTCATGATATTTTTAAGAACAAAATGTTACAATTTTACCGATTGATGCGACCACAGGTCCACAAGCTCGTGCTAATGCTCCAAGAGACCTAAATATTCCAGTTATAATACCTTTTTGATTCTCTGGTCCAACTTTACTTACTAAAGTCATCATGCAAGTCACAATCATAGCAGTAGCTAAATTAAAATGCAAATATTTGAAATGCAAATTAGCTATCAGAAAAAATTGTGTTCCAAAAGACGACTTACAAACTGCAAAAAGAAATATTCCAAAATAAAGCATCATCAAATCTTTAGCAATGCCAATACAAACAAATGATGGCACAGCAAGCCATAATCCCTGAATAACAATATATTTAGTTATCAAAGAAATTCCGACAGTGAACATAAATTAAGAATTGCTAATTCATACCAATTCTATTACAGCTTTTGTTTTGTGCTCTGGAACTTGTCTGACCCAAGTTCCCTGCAGTAAAGCCATAATGGTACCAATACCAAGGAACATCCAGCCTTGTTGCATCCTCGAAAAACCAAACGAGTAATGAGTCAAGAAAGTAAGAGTAAACTCAAGGCCACTGTAGATAAAAAGATATAAAAAGTAGGTTTTACCCAAACTTCTTAATTGTTGGAGTTCTAAAAATATATTCATCATTTAATTGTAATATACAATTTATTGCCCAGAAAATAAAATTTTACCTGTATTAGTCAAATCAGTGACTCCATTAAATTGAAATAAATCAATTGGATTGATATATACAATTGCTCCAGAAATACCATTGACCAGTGATTTTGCTCTATTTTTAATTGGCAGAGTTTCTTTCATGTTTATTGCAACATAGAATAAGTCACACATTGACAAAAAAAAAGCAAACATAGCTGGTAATGCATACCATTGACTTTCTCTGCTACCAATTGACATTTTTGCAAACATTGCACCAATCATTGGCCCCAAAACAAAACCAACTGAGAATGCAATGCCTACCAGTGCCTTAAATGAAATGAAAATTGCTGTTGTAATCAAATTCTTTGAATGAAATATTTGTCACTCATCTGAATGGAATTTTTCAGTTACCATAGCTCTTCCTCTAGTGGCTGCAGAAGTTGCATCGCTAATAATTGCCATGGACAAACTAATATTGCCTTTGCTAATGCCGCCAATTATTCTGGCTATGATGAATAAGCCAAAATTACTGGAAAAAGCCCACAACAAGTAAGACAATGCTATGCCAGTGAGACAAAGCATCATGAGAGGTTTTCTTCCGTAAACATCTGAAAGTCCTCCAACAATGGGTGTTCCAAGGAATTGTAACAGAGAATACATGGATCCCAGAAAACCTGAGGTAAAATATAAAAATTAATTTAACATTATTAACTTCTTAAATATATTGTTTAATATATACCTCCAAATAATACTGAATTAATATTTTCTGGAGCATTAAGTAGAGAACTTAGTTTGTGTATTTTGTTCAAAAAAACTGAATACAATCCGTTTCCACTATCAACACTTTCATAGTGGTCTAGTAGTGCAGGAAAAAGTGGCAGTATCATAGTAAAAGCTAATAAATCTAACAATAATGATATAAATATAACGCGGACTGTTTTTGAATCATCTTTACTTTCATATTCTTTTTCTTTGCTGGAATTTGAAGTTACTGTAGTCATGGTGATGATTCTTAATACTTATATGCAAAATACTGTATGTAAATACTTGTTACACAGCTTTCAAGGCACTACAATTGAATTTCTCTGTAAAGATTCTCTGGAAAATAATCGATTAACTAATAAAAACTGAAGATGACAGATAAAAGTTGGTAAGTACCTGTTTCCGGCTGACATTGGAATTCCGCGAATCTATTGTGCCGATCGCATGGCTAGTCACGTTCGCCGATAGCAAAACGATGTTGTCACGCTGATAACGACGGTGAAGCTGTCAGCACGACAGTGCAACCGCGGAGGTGAATTCGTCAATAAATGTTGCGTGGCACAGACACTGTGTAAATGTAACGGCTAAAAGTGAAAGGCCCTTCAACATTTTTTTTCATTTAACCTATTTTTCCCCCCGCCTTTTTCTTGCACAACTCTGTACTCCCCATACTTTCTCGCGCGATCTTTTCTTTTGGTAATGTGTGTATATACTTTCTTTGACACGACGATCAGCTGTTCTAGATTTACCGGTCGGTAAATTGGCCGATCTAATAAATTGCAATCACCGAATTTATGAAGCTTCGGTTGCATATGCACATACGCTTCCATACAAAACGCACGATTTCAGTGGAATCGCTAGAAGTTTGAGGTTATAGTTACTAATGCCAATATGATGCAAATAGCTGCGCGAAAATGAACTAAACAAACTGTAGGACTACTGAACATCTTTAAATTTGAACGCCTATGATTTATTTAATTTATTTGATTGGCTGTTGGCATCATGTTGGCATTAGTAACTATAACCCCAAGCTTTTAGTGATACCACTGGAATCGTGCGCTTCGTACAGAAGCGTAAATAGATATGCAACCGGGGCCTGAATTATAAAATGTCACGAAAATAGAGCATTCTTTTCTTGTTATCTCGTTGGAATATTTTTTTAAGTTGTTAGATTTATGAAGTTTATTGTCTCATTGTGGGAAATAAAAGTTAATTAAAACATTTGACATTTTGTACTATTTGGATGTGTGATTTCATAAGAGGGTGGAATTTAATTATAATCTCGTTCAGCATTTGTTCTAAACATTTTTGCTAAACGTGAAATATTCATCGTAAAGATATTGCCGTTTTCTAAATTCTAAAACACTATTTATAACACCAATTTTTAGCTTGATTAGCAGTACCAAATCAAAACTAAAATAACATGTAAATTGTATTGTAAACAAATAAGATAAATTCTGAGATTACACATGTAAGTATTTACGGAACTAATTCAGTAATAATTAAAAAAGTTATTTTTTTGCAAGTAAACAGATAGTAATATACTAAGATATTAAAAAATATCGCATATACCATCCTAAATATCTTCATTATACCATGCGAGCATAGTGGTCAATGCATCAAGTTCAGCCTGTCTCACCTAGATAACGCCATCATCGCATTCTCCAAGAAAAAAGTCGAATTCAACTTTGCCCTTGTTCATTTTCATTAAAAATAAAAATCAAAACAAAATCTTTTATCATCAAAGTCTTTCGATGAGTCTAAAAAACCAAGATTTTGCCATAAAAGAAAGTGAAAGTTAGTTAAGCGAAGAATCAGCACGCAACGAAAACGGTACACAGTTGCTTTTGCTCGTTTATTCAGGGCCCGCAGAGAGCAAACCAGTGAAGCGAGAAATAGCCGGCGTTCGCGAAGAGCGCGAGCGAGAGAGAGAAAAGGGCGCAACCGTAGGTCGCATTATGTGCGTCGCGAACTTCCGGTAAACGCTCACATACACACACACACACACACGCGCGCGCGTGCGCGCGCGCACACGCACGTATAAACACAAACGTGTAGGCTCACTTCCTCGGGGCCGAACAAAGATCTTTACAAACCTCGCGCTGCAACCCAACGTCAATCCCCGAGAAAAAGAGATCGCCTTTGAAAAAAGCTATATGCAATTTAATACCCGATGTGCACACATATGACGCATACATACTCCCTCGTATATGTGCGTGTGTTTTTGTTTTGTCGAGTCGTCCGCATTTACACGAGTATAACGTGGAATGTCGAGTGTGTTTATGAATTGCTCGCAACGTCGATGGGAATTTAATGGTATTAGAATATGCGTGCACAAATTTTTACGGAAAGTTCTACGACAGCACTCGAAGAAGAAATACAGGGAACGATATTTTTCTTGTCTTATGGACTTTGGCTTTCTGACCTAATCGACACTTTGCCCTGATATATCAAACGAACGTTTCTTTGTCATACCTTATCGATATGCGTTTCATTGAATGCTTACGCGGATTAACGGCTTTTCAATTCGATTGGCACAAACGATTTTTTCTATAACAAAGCTCTTATCAACGATCGATTAATGTGAACCGAATAGATGCGATAATATAGAAAGCCACTCTCGGAGAATTCGTTACACACGTGGTGCGATCTCGAAATAAGCGAAAAAGATCTGTATACCTGGGTCTCCTATGATTTCATTCGCGTGGATGATCATTGGGGCGAAATGATGCAAATGAGTGCGACCTTGGTATAGGAGAAAGAAAAGTCTGTCGCTGTATTACCGTTACAAGATTCCTCGTGCAGTCTTTCTTCTTTGTCGTGAGTCCAAATGAAAATTTCAACGAAATATTTTCCGGGCGACCTAGTCTCTTCTAAAATTCTCTCAGTCTTTCCTCAAGTAGAATCAGAAGGTATTTTTTTGTATGAAGTAACCCTTCTAGTAAGAGGTGAAACCTTATCTCTTAGAACGCGTGCTCTCTGTGTTATATTTCATTGCGAGCACTCTTTTTTATGCTCGGATTATTTTTAGGTGTATAGAGGCAAGCTGAATGAATGAATGGCTAGTACGTGGCTCTTGAAATGACTTTGAGTGAAGTAATAAAAATAATAAAAGTAGATCGAGTAGATTCCATTTGTCGTCGTTTTCGCTTGTTTTCAAAGCGTTGTTATTTTGAGGAATGCGTATCGCATCGAGTTAAGTATTATAACAAACATTCAAATAGAAATTGATCGTGAATTTAAAACTTACAGAAATATAAACGTAAACTTATATCGCGCCCTTTAAAAACATCGAATTCTTTATTCGAGAAAATTTCCTCTGTCAATTCAAAATAATACGCCAGGTATTTCAACTTATCTTCACATTCTTTTCACCAAATAGATTTTCAATAATTCAAATCTCGACACGTAAGTCTATCAATTTCTAAAGATCTAAGTCATTGTGATGATATACAACAAAAAAGTAAAACTACTGAACGTTTCTCGTCGAAGTTCCTCGACCAGATCCTCAGCACGTGTAGTGTCGACCTAATGGAAGCATCTCACTTTTAGCTGCATCGCGGGACACACACACGCGCACGCGTAAAAGCTCACGCACACGAAGCAAAAGAAAGAGAGAGAGAGAGAGAGAGAGAGAGAGAGAGAGAGAGAGAGAGAGAGAGAGAGAGAGAGAGAGAGAGAGAGAGGCAGGTGGCTGTACGGCTTCAATTTTCGAGCTGGGCCGGGCACTCTCTGCTTGCCATCTGGGGCCTTCTTCTACTTGGGCTGTTTTTCAAGTCGCATCGTGATTCTGCTCGCGCGATGTCTGTTATGCAGCCTGAGACTCGTTTTCTTTTTCTCCAATGAGGGGGTTTTTCTTTCTTTTTTTTTTCAGAGTAGAGTATACGTGCGTGCACATACGCGTACCTATCAATGTGATTTAGATCTAGATTTTCTTTTATTTAAAAGTTTCCTTTGCGCGGAGAACGACTTTTATATCTGGAAAAGCTACTAAATGGATTTTCAACGAGGAGCATGTGTGTTTGAGGTAGTTATTTTTTTAAATATTGATATAATTACGGTGTATAATGCAGCATTAAGTCGGCAAAATCAAATGGCGACATTTGTTAGACTTGAAAGTGGACTTTATTATAGGTTTCCTATTCCATTTTGTATAAAATCGGCAGAAAAGCGTACAAAATTTGATATCTACGTCTACCACTCCATAAATTACTATTGTTTATTTTTATGAAATTGTATTTGCGATTGGTGGCTTAAAATAAGTATATGACAACTTGATCGAATGCAATACTCTTGAACAGATCGAGATTGCATCGGGGTTCCTCTGACCGAGTCGACCTCTGCTTGTAGGAATGTAGTATCGCTTGCTTAGGTTGCACGGTGGCTAGAAGATTAAAGAGGAATCTCTTTATTTCTGTTGGACGCCGTATCTTTTTTGCCGTTTTCACAGTAATATTATACCTATAATAACTCGTAGTGAAATTTCATCCGATTTCGCAACCTGCATCAAGTAAATCAACACAAACGTGCAAAATCAACAAAAACTTTTTCAAGCTCGAACTGCGGGCAAAAACCTTTTCGCGTAATCGCGCAGACTGCATCAACCCCCTTCCCACTCATTCTTCTCTCTCTCTCTCTCTCTCTCTCTCTCTCTCTCTCTCTCACTCTGTCTCTTTCTTTTCGTTGCATCCAACCAAATTTCAAGTATATACCAGACTATGGAGTTCCTGTGTGTGCGTTTTTTTTTTACGGGCGACGATGCCGGGCGCGCAGGTGCTCGGCGCGCACTTTTCAATTGCACTCTCCTTCGCCTGTTCTCTCGTGGAGGAAGTGCAACGATGATTTTTGCGCGCTGCGTTCATTTCTACGAGTGTGCCGCGCGGACTGGGTTCATTCTTTCAGATGACGAAAGAAAGTATATCGCTTTTAACACCGTCGTGAATAGTACACCGAAAGAAATATCGCGTAAAAATTACCGAGCTTGTCACGGTCAAGCTGGAGCGAAATAGTAGTTTATGAAGCTTTATGAATATAAGCATAAAAATTGTTCAACACTCCAAGAAATATAGTTCCGTACTCTAATTTTTAATTATGGTAAACTGCAAAATTTCACATGGTAAAACCGTGGCGCTGCGGTAGTGCCATTCGCGCAGCACGAGCAAAAACACTTGTTATTGTTGTATGTTCTTGAATTGAGGACAAAGTAAAAAATTTAATTAAGTAACTGAACAACCGATAATGAAAAACTATCTTATAAATAAAAATTCTTTTCCGATAGGTGTGAATCAAAAAATTTTCGGATTTGTTCAACGTTTTTATAACCTTCAACATCGTAATACTTTGAACCGGATCTGTTTTATTGATCAGGAGTTACGAGTTTGGAGAGTAGGGGAATTTTCACTGTGACGGTTCTGTATATTTTATTCAGACCATGAGAACAATTTTAAGAAAATTCATAATTTTTATGCGATATCACTTAAAATTTGTAAAGCAGTCATAGTGTCCTAGCTTTACCGTAATGCATTATAATTTTTATGTTAAAAATCATCGTAGTTTTTATGAAACATTTCTTTCCGTGTAAATGTTATTCGATTTCTGACGTTCTTCATTTTATTTTTCCTGTTTGCTCGAAAGGAATTGGACGCAATCAGTTTGTCGCGAGTCGTCGTTATTTTATTTTTTCATATTTTGTCATTTGTATGATCAAAACACATTACTCGCCCATCTGTTTACGAACTTATTATGCTACGATTTTAATTAATCGAGAAATGTTCACCGTCCAAAAAAAATAAAAATTTCCCGTATCTATGATCCAATGCATATCCAATCAGATATCGACCTTATCGATCATTAAAGTTGTATAATAATACCGGCGCCAGGTGAAAAATTTCCAAACATCGTAATGTAAAAAATTTTAAA